GCCGTGGCCAAAATGTGATTGATGATGGACTAATAGCATCTCGTTCTCCCTGGCCGACGCGAGCCGGCCTTCACTCTGACTCTGCTCGTCAATTCTCTCATTTGTGACCAAAACAAACTCACGCGCGTTCAAGCTTCATAATCCAAACTTGTCAGTCGCAATGGCCCGGTCCAGGCTGTGGTCTTGGTTTAGATGATGAATGTCACTATCCAGAGGCCGTCCCATCCATGTTTCTCGTCTTGGGGCCGGGTATCCGTCCATGTGCGTCCCGCAAACATCGCACGCCGTTTGCTCATCGTTACCTCATCCCGACCGCCTCATCTGGGTCACCATGAGATGACCGCGTGGATGTAACGGCTTAGCCTCCCCGCCTCTGCCTTGCCTTCTTGCCTCGCCTCGCCTTATCACAATGTATCACAATGTGGCTGCCTTCCTGCTTGCTTAGTCTGGCAGCCAGCGAAGCCACTGATGTCTGGTAAGAGCCCTTGGCGCAAATGAAAGTTCAACGGCCGTGGGGTAAGGTAGGTAAGAGGAACCATCTGAGAGCATCGTCGCCAGTATCATGTGCCCCTTCCATTGTCTCCTCTTTCCATTAACCCCTCTTCTTCTTGCCTCCTTCTGGCCAGACTGAGGGGAAACGGAAAGACTAAACACCACCTCCTCCGTCTCCTTCATCATCACCACAAATCATTCGAAGCCACACCACTCCCACCTCTTTTGTTTTGCATGGCGAGATTCGGCACGTCCATCGGCCTTGAGGGACCAGGCACTCCAATGATTCGGCGATACCACCATGCCAGCACGCACGCCGTCTTCTGTCAGATTGCCGCCTACCACCCCGTACCCATACCGCGCGCGCATGTCGTCCAGCGCAGCTGCGCATCCAGCATTGACTCTGCATATGCACCTCATACATGCTACCTCGCCTTACCGAGCCCGGCCAGGTGTACCTTACCTCGGCCTACAGATACCTCTACTAGCTAGGTAAACCTGCTTCACCTGCTGGTATGTGAGCGGCGAAGAGCATCACTTCCCAACATTGGGAGTCCAGCCGTGCCGGGCTGCGTGTCCTCGATCGTCGAGAAGTTGGCCATACGCCATCGGACACCCCCTGCTGGAGAACTCTGGATTGCCCAGAGATTGTGATCCATCATTTGCTGCCGGCCGCCGACGCGTACCGCGAACGAATAGGCACTCGAGTCGTGTTCGAGGAAGATTACGTTTGGACAACTGCCGTCGCAAAACCCTCATGGCCGTTCGAAAGCATCCGCAAAAAAACATTCAAGCTTCTCATCAAGAATAAACACCGTCCGGTGCAGCTTCGAGCTTGAGCTAGCTCACAGCTACCCAAACCCCAGCTGCAGCTATTAACAGCTTCGCTCTCGGCCACGCTCTCCCGAGAGCTTGTCTCCGCCCGGGCGGTTCGCATTGAGCCTGGCGCAACGCTGATCTCCAAGCTCCGAAGTCAATCCACCTCGGTCTCTCATCACGGCGGACCTCTCCCAGCTCTTACTACTTCAAGGTTTAATCACTTGTACCCTTGAGTTTACCGGCACGTGCGGTGAATGGAGAAGGTTCTTGATACTGCCGGACTCAGCCTGGTGGAAGCGGCTTCCACTCACTTCAGATTGGCAGAGTCTACAATGAAGCTTTCAGAGTTTGAACGAGCGGCCAAAGCAACCTTCTAAACAAATCTTCGAATCCCATTTCGCGCCGGCCACCCCTGACATAACATCGGCTCTGGCCGGGTCCACAAGCCCCTGCGGGTTTGGACCAGTGTTCCACGTTTTTTTCTTCGTCCCTCGATGTCTCTGGACCTGCAACGGCGCGTTGCTGGAGAAGAAGACGACCCCTGCTGGAGAACTCTGCCCGTGTGACGGGAGGGTCTTTCTTGCTGGAGACGCGCTCCAGTTGGGCTGCTGCCGAGAACGATGCTCGCCATCACGCAAGACAGCTTTCATCAATCACCCGGCCAGTTTACAGCATACCAGTGAGGGGCTCGTCACTCGGAGGACGGACACCGGGGCAGCGAGAGTTTCCCTCTTCTCTCCGCGAGGGCGCATAATACCTGTTCAAGAAATTCCCAAGGCTTCATGTTCGTTGGCATTGGATGGCCGGCCACCCTAGCGCATTACTGCAGTCAAAGCCGCTCCAAGAAACATCGACATGCGCTTGCTGCATGTCACTCGAATCAGACCAGACGCTATTCGACCAAGATTCTTCCCTCCTTTCAGCTCACTTGGGTGTGAGGGGTGAACACTCGCGAGATAGGGCAGCCGGGACCGAATCAAAGCCTCGACGCGTGTTTCCCAAACTCTGGGCTGCTGGGCAATGGAGTAAAGAGGGGCACAGTCGACTCCTGCCAGGAGGCCTCGGTGTTGTGAGGGGTTCAACCTCTGTCACTTTGGTTCACGATGTGTCAAGCCACCTGAACCCTCACCTCCGTTATTCCTGGTGATCATCACGACGGATCTCGCAACTGGACATGCGTCTTGATGGGATTCGGCGCCCTCGGGTGACACATTGATGATCGGCGTTCGCTTGGCTGTTCAAACGATCGGCAGAGGCAACAGCAACAGAAGCCCAACGTCTCGATATTAACCACCATCAAGAACCGCTAGGTGTACGCAACGTTGGGCGCATGTAAGTCAATGGAAATGCCTCACTCGCGGCCGCAAAGCAACGACTGCGACTCTGATACTGCGCATCCGACGCGGCCCAACGAACCCCGGGCCACGGATCTGGCCTCAAACCTGGAAATCTCCCCTCCAGTCAAAAGTTTCGCACCGACCCCGTGGCATCTCCAAAACATCTTCTCCAGACGGAATAATCCACAGTCAGATCCATTCCATGTCCATCTGAGCCCTCCCCCACACGCAACGGGACCACAGTCCGAACCACCATCTTTTCCAAACATCGACACTGCCAGGATCTCGCGCTGGAAACGCATCTCGCGGGCTGCTTCTCCCGTGGTGCATCCCAACCAACACCAGAGTCGACATATTCCTCATCTTCTTTGTTAATTCTATCTCGCTATGATCCGCCCCAACGACAGCAGTCCGACATTACCCGATGGTGTAGCGGGCTTTCTCAGCTCATGAACTCCTCATAGGCTAAATGGCATGGCGAACAACCCTCCTCGATTCTAAGAAGCTAGCGGCATGCCAAACAAAACACAGCCCTCGCTGAACTTGATAATGAGGTAGCTCCAATTGCTCGTCGCGTCCAGAGCGGCGATTTGCATGTGGCCATCCACCAACTCGGACAACGGAAAAAAAAGGAAAATCGTCATAAATGACAGAACATCCCCGCCTCCTGTTTTCCGGTTCACATCTCAGTCGCGCCGCAGCCAGGCCATGCACAACGAGCGCACTCACATCAACTCCCAGGATATCTCCCGCGTTCTAGAATCAGTGATCCAAAATGACGGCTCGACATCGGCCTGTTTTCCCCATGGCTTAAATGGTTTCGCGGTTTCGCCATCACAGAATAGCATCTAGCGTTCGGCCATCCGGCCCAAGCGGCCACAAGCGCGGCCTGACTCGGCGAAAGTCGACTGCTCACTAGGGGCGGCCCGGTCCCGTGTTCCGTCGTCGCGGTCGTTATCTCTCTCTCTCTCTCTCTCTCCATGGGGAATTGCCAGTCCGGAGTAGTTTTACGACACTACAGCCTCCCAAGCGCCGGTGGGGGCGGTCGTCTCGGGGAGCGAAGAGAATGATGAACTACTGATAAGCTGGTGTCATTGGGGGGAGCGAATGGTCGAATGGAACGATTGGGGTGACGGGCTGATGCGCGCTTTCGCCAAGGACGCGCTGCAGAACGGATGCAGGAGTTGCTGGCATCTGCATCTTCTGTACAAGGGAGGATCGCTCGGCCTGGATTCGTTCAGCCTCTCTTGGTTTCTCTACAGATACATTGCTGTTCGTTTACTCGTTCCCGCGTCCTTTCGAAGAGACGTTGAGAAAGGGAGGAAAGCCAGTCCACACCGTCGACCTCAGGGATCGACAACTTCTGTAGGAGATCGTCTTGATCGGGCGGCCATCCGTTGAGTTCCACCCAGGTACGCGTTCTCAACGGGTTCGATGTGGTAATTCTTAGTAACGGGGCCGGGTATCTCGCGATGCCGCCTTCACCAACCAGGCCTGATTTCCCCGGACTCCCCAGTTGCAATGACGAACACCCGAGGCAGCCGCGCCGTGATGAATCCATATTTTGAGGGGTTCTCGGTCTTGGGTGTGGAGAAAGGAGATCATGGTGTGACTTGCGCCGAGGACCACCTGACACACGATGCCGCGAGGATCCCGATGCAGCTCCGTTAGTCCGCGGGTGGGGCCCCCGGGGCGGGGTGCCGGGAGGTAGCCGGTTTACGGGCCGGGATTGAAGGGAAAGAATGATGGGTGTTCTTGCGTCAGGCGGAAGAGAGAGTGCTGCCCGGCGTTCTGTCTCGTACTGGATAGGAAATCGAGAGAGAAGTGTTCAAATGCAGCTTCGAGAGCTTTGTTTCGAGAGAAGGGCATGGTGAGGCGTTCTACTATCACGATATACACGAATAAATCAAGTCACGTAGTCATGCCCCTCCTACGTTCAGATCTAGATGCTTTGTCGACGTAATTACGATTTTCATATACAGGCTCGTGGGAGTATCCCGCTCTGGAGTAGCAGTGGGTAGTGTCCTCCGAGAAAGACCTCCGTCGCATCCAATATCGTGGACGAAGCTACCTCAGCGCCGTCCGATAGCCACCTATAACCCGGTCCCAAGAAAATGATCTCTCAGAAGGCAAATGCGTAGTCAAGATGTGCCCTGACCTTCATCGAAGCATGCTATGCGCAGTACATATAATCACAACTCAAACAGCTTGCATCTTTCACGATCACGCCAATGCAAGTGATCTTACCGTCCATACTCCAAACCGTCGGGGTGAAAGGGGGTATATACTTTTGATTTTCTCTAATCCGTCTCTCTAAATCCCAAAAAAAAACTCAAGGCCCGCAGCAAACACTCAGTTACACCACAACCTCACGGCCTTATCCTTCCCACCGCTCCCCACGCGCCCGCCGTCCCTCGGACTCCAGTCCACGGCGTACACCTCGTCCTGGTGGCCCGGCAGGTCGACGGCCATCTTGTGGGTCGCCATCGACCACACCTTGAGCGTGGTGTCCTTGGACCCCGTGACGAGCAGGCGCGAGTCGGCGGAGAAGGCGCACTGGTAGACGGGTGCGACGTGGCCGCGGAGGGTGTTGATGAACTTGCCGTCGCGGGCGCTCCAGAGCTTGGTGTGGTTGTCCCAGCCGGCGCTGGCGATGAGGGTGCCGTCGGGCGAGAAGGTGACGTGGTTGACCTGCTTCTGGTGGCCGAGCATGCGCGCGACGGGTTTGGTGCCGGCGGAGGGGTCCCAGAGGTACATTGTGAAGTCGTCGCTGGCGGAGACGAGGCGCTCGGCGACCTTGCCCTGGACCCTGGCGGCCTTCTCGAAGCGTTCCTTGGCCTTTTGCCGGCGCGCGTCGTCGGTTTCGGGAGTGGGTGTGTGATCGAAGAAGCCGGTGCGGAGGGCGAACTCGGTGGAGAGGGCGAGGTGGTTGACCCAGTGCGCGTGGGAGGAGAGGGTGTGCACGAGGGTGCCCTGGACGGCGTCCCATACCTTGACGGTCTTGTCGTGGGAGGCGGTGTAGATGAGGCCGGTGCCGCCCCATTTGACGCAGCTGACGCTGGACTTGTGGCCGGAGAGGACGTGCTCCGTCCTGCCGGTGTTGACGATCCAGATGCGGACGGTGGCGTCCTTGCTGGCGGAGGCGAGGCGCGGGGTGTCCTCGCGCCAGAGGTGGTAGGGCTCCCAGGCGATGTTGGTCACCCACTTGGCGTGCCCGGTGAGCGGCTGGCCGACGGCGACGCCCTTGTCCGGGTTCCACAGGCGGACCGACTTGTCCATGCTCCCCGTCGCGAGACGGCGTCCGTCGGCGGACCAGGCCACGCAGAGAACCCACCCGGCGTGTCCGGCGAGGGTGTACTTGGGCGTTCCGGTCTCGGTGTCCCATATCCTGGCGGTCTTGTCGCCGGAGCCGGTGGCGAGGCGTTTGGACGTCTCGGGGGAGAACTGGGCGGCGAGGATGGCCTCGCCGTGGCCCGGGATGCGGTGCGCCATGCGCGTTACGGCCTGGACTTTGAAGACGGCCTGGGGCTCGGCGGAGAGGGTGATTGTTGTCTCGAAGGGGTTCGCGACGCCATGGCTTCGGAGGAGTTCGAGGAGGTTCGAGGGGTATGTGTCGACTATGATGTCTGTGTCGGGGATGTGGATGCGGAATTTGTACGGGAGGAACTCTTCCCTCTCCTAGTCTCGCGCATTAGAAACCTGGAGTGGTATAAGAAGGACGGAGTGTCGCGACTGACCTTCCCTTGCAGGGTGTTGAGGAGCAGAGTGAGGTTCTTTTCCGACGCATCGGCGAGGGGCACCTCGATCACCTCGGCGAGCTGCTGGCCGTCGCCGTCGACGAAACGGGCCTTGAAGGAGCCCTCGAGGCCGGGCGCAACGGCGTCGACATCCTGCTGCGTCTGTGTCCTCGCGAGGGTCTCGCGCTTCTGGCGCTTCGACGGCGGGGGGACTACCGTGGCCATTTTTTCGTCGTCGGTGGTTTTGTGTTGTTTTGACCGCCTTGGTGCGTCTCCAAAAGACGGCAGTGAAATTATTTCGATGGCGGCGGATGCGATGCGGGATGGTGGGGCAGAAATTTTGAAAAAGGACGGGACGTCGGGGAGAACTTGTCCGTGGTTGCGACCGTTCTCCACATTAAAATCCGACGAGGATCACACTCCAGGTGGGAGGTCGCCGCTATCTGGAACTGGTGGGGTGAAGAGCGAATCTCTGTTAAGACCTGACGGGGGCCCGGATGTCGAACACCGACAGCGTCCCCCGGCTGGATAGGTAAGGTAGGGAATAATCAAAGGACGACAAACTGACTCCGGAGCGCAAATCCCTGCGACTCCATTCCCAAAACTGTGCTTTTCCCGCGAGGATAAGAAAGAATACGCAGGAAAGAAGACCATGTCCATGTCCGGCCAGGCCTCGCACCTGTCCAGTGCATATAAACGCCCCAATTCCTCCGTACGGTGCTTCCAAATACTCAGATAAAACCTCCGCGCCTTTTTCCCACTCCCGCATTAACCACTGGCAGTCTTCACAACTGCAAACCTCTTCGGCCCCCTCTTGTTCAGACTCGGATGGAGATTCCTACCTCATGTGCATGCTCGCCTCGAGATTCGGATCCAAGGGGGTCTTCTTAGGTCGACCTCGGCGCTTCTGCTGGGTTACTGCCGGCGTGCCTCCGCCTGCTGATGCACCGCCAGTGTTCGCCGGTCCGTTATTATAGTGTCGGAACACCTGGTTATTAGGTCCCGGCCCGCCTTGCATGCCGAACTGCGGCAACGGAACAGGTGTCTGCTGAACAGGCGTTTGTTGCACGGCGTTACCCATGTGCTCGCGGGCCATGTTCATGAAGCTTTGATGGCGGTGGCCCACCTCGGCCTGCCGGTCACGATACTGCGCGTGCTCATCGTGGCCTGGCTGCTCGAACGGGTGTTTTGGCATGCCCGTCATGCTGTCCCGGGACATCTGGGTCATCTGATGCTGCTGTTGCTGGGCAGCACGATTATGGTTTTGATTATGCACTTGAGCGTGGTTGTGATTATGGTTATGGTTCTGGGCCTGCTGCTGTTGATGCTGTTGATGTGACGGATGTGTTTGGTGTTGCGGTTGATGCTGCTGCTGGTGTTGTTGCGGTTGTTGATGATGCTGGGTCTGAGTTTGCTGTTGGGTTTGACCTTGAGCTTGCTGCTGCTGCTGTTGGTGTTGCTGCGTTTGTTGCGTCTGCTGTGTTTGTTGCGTCTGCTGTGTTTGTTGCGCGCTCTGAGACTTCCGACGGGTGTCCTCAATCTCTTGGTGTTTCCTCTCTTGCCTTGCCTGACGTTCTTGCCTTTGCAGATCCTCGTTTTCGATGGCATAGAGCGCCGCTATGCGCAGCTGCAACTGGGACATGATGCCGAAGCGCTCGGGTTTGGACATTTTGCGATACTCCGACTTGAAGTTGTGGAAAGTCTCGCCCGTGAGTCGCATCTGGGCGTTCGAGACACCGGCTACAGCCAGAGCAGTCGAGGTATTAGAATCTATAGCGGCGATCGAGTTGTCCGGTTCTGGCACTGTTCAAGGTCAGTATTATACAACGACGAGATACAGCAACGAAGGGTGGAACACACGGGCTGAAGTTTCCTGGACATCCGCATCGCCCTCGGCGTCTGCATCCTCCTCGTCGGTCGGCGGGTCGGGCGTCCTAGGCTCGTGGTTGTGTTCATCGCAGATGATGGTCAAGAGCCACGCGCCCATGGTCTTGCGATTGACTGCCTTGGCCTTCCATGGACAGTCGGTCTTCTTTGTGGTAGTCTTGAGCTGGGTCGCGGTGCATTTGTAGGGCTGGCCTCCACGGTCGCAAACGAGATCGCATCGCACGACCTCGCTGCCTTTCTCGTAGGTACCGCCGACCTTGTTGCGATGGGTACGCGACTTGACGACCTTGTAACCATCCTTCTGCATGCGCGCCTTGAGGGCGGCGAAGAGCTCTTCGAACGAGCCATAGGTCTTGGTGTTGTTGTCGACATTGACTGCGCCCAGGATGCCGAACATGTTGGGCGTTTGGACCAGGATCGGAGCCCCCGGCGGTCGCAGGCAGACACAGGCCAGACACGGTCACCCCAGAAAAAAAGTCGCGATGGCTTCACCCACTATCGGGTCGGTGAGTAGTCTAGATGGGGGGGTCCTTCTTCGGTGTCGAGGGTGTCGCGGCGCGACGCGGTTCGGGTCCTGCGCAGAGCAAAGCTGTGTGGATTGTCTTGGTGAGCCTGTGCAAACTCTTCCAGACGTGTCCGCCTCGGTGAGGTTGCTCCACTGCGAGTCATCCAGGTCATCGCATTGGTGGCTGAGGTGGGGCGGATTTCACGTGGTCTGTGCTGATTAAGACCCACATGTCCGGGACAACCCCGGCTGTGCTTGCTGCGTGTAAGTCGGGCAGGTCCGCCTGTCATGTCTGGTCGAGACTTCCATTTGGAGCTTCACGACTTGGCCTCTAGGCTTTCTTCATTTCTTTCCGCGGCTTCCTCTATATTGGAGATGTCGTATTCATCCGAGCTGGACAGCCTCATCCTGTTCTTCTCCTGGAGAGATTGGAGGAAGCGTCTTCGACTACGAGTACGTCTACGCCTCTGCCCATCATGGATCCCTTTCGGCCGCCAGTCTCGAAGTCGGTAGCTTCGTTCCGCACGACACAGACCCGTACGCCAGAGCTGTCCAGAGGGTCATCGCCGTACTTCTCAAGTTCATCTCATCACCCCATCATCGACCCTTCCACTTCTACCTACTTCACGCCATCCCCTGAGTCGTCCTCCTTCCGAGACCACAGGCCAGGCGTGGTACATACCCCAAGCTACGACTACTACGGCGAGAACAGCCAGACTGGCTACACAAGCGGACCATCTTCCTATAACTCTCAGCCCGCCAAGTCTACAGTTTCTCGTGCGAGCACTTCCTGCACCACCCGAACCTCACGGACATCGCGAACTCCCCTGCCCGATGGCGAGAATCACAAGATCGTCTGCGCTCTGGCTGAGGCGCGTGGGGTGACACCTTCTGTTGGAATGGCATCCATAAACATAGCCACCGGCGAGGTGATCCTCAGCCAAATCTCGGACAGCAGGTTCTTCACTCGAACCATCCACAAACTTCAGATCTTGGAGCCAACGATTGTGTTGATGGTCAGCTCAAGCTGCCCTCCAAATCCAAAGTCACGCTTATACAGCCATATCGAGGACAACATGCCCGGCACCAAGATCGTTTCTCTTGACAGAAAGCATTGGTCCGAGACGGAAGGCATGGAACGTGTCAACACGTTCGCTTTCCGAGAGGACTCGGAATCGATCAAGGTGGCTCTCAACGGAAGTTTCTACGCTACTTGCTCATTTGCCGCTGTGAGTGCACTGTTGTACATATTTGCAACTTGCTAACTGTTTGTAGGCCATGAGCTATCTGGAAACCCAATGTGCGTTGCGGATCTACCACAACTCCCTTCGTGTTCGATTCCAGCCGTGCGAGGACACGATGATGATCGACGTATCCACCATTGTCTCCCTCGAGATTCTCCAGAACCTACGGAACCCGAAGTCGAAGGATAGCCTAATTGGTCTGCTCAGACACACGCGCACTCCTATGGGCGCCCGAGTGCTTCGGAGCAATCTCTTACAGCCGAGTACGCTGAAAGACCTTTACCTTGATCCGAGATACGAGGCGGTGGAGGAACTTCACAGATCCCAAGACATGTTCGTCGAGGTTAGAAGTGGTATGTTGGCTCTTGCAAGCATCAAGGCATTCTTCCTGACGTTCAGCAGCTCTTGGTCCATTCCCCGACATTGAGAAGATGTTGACACAGGTATGTTTCCTACGACCTTGAATTAGTACACTGTCTAACTTCAGAAGCTCGTCATCATACCAAATCAACCATCCGTTGCCGCAACGGAAATGTCGATGAACAATGTTCTGAAAGTCAAATCATTCGTTGACGCGATGTCAGGCCTGTACCAAGCTTTAAGCCCTGCCGTCTCTCCCCTCCTAACGAAGATACGGGAGCCCTTTCGCCCAGAGAAAATTGCACCAGTCCGAGATCTCATATACGAGACTATTCACGAAGACGTCAGATACGCCAAGAACTCGTTGGATCTGCGCAACCAGAGGACGTTTGCAGTCAAGGTAAGATTCCACTGTATTTTTTGGTCTTCCAAGCCGCTGACTGCCGTTGCCATCAGCCTGGTGTGAACGGTCTCTTGGATGTAGCTCGACAAGCCTACAAGGAGAACACTGAGGAAGTTCAGAATCATGTAGACCTACTCAATGGTGCGAATAGCCGTTTCCGACGTCCAAGCAGCAAATATCTGACATTTCACAGCCGAACTTGGCCTCCCTGCCCAGATACAATACGACCACAAGCGCGGATACTCCCTTCGAATACGGGAAGTCGAGTTCAATGATCGTCCGATCCCACCTGTTCTGGTCAACGTGACAAGGAAACGTGGCAACATCGAATGCATGACGATACGCCTGAAACAGCTCAATCAGCGTATCACGGACTCTGTCTCTGAGGTTGCGATGCAGTGCGACAAGGTGATTCAGGATCTGATCGACAGCATCAGGACTGAAATCACGTCGCTGTATCGGATTTGCGAGTCTATCGCCTTACTTGACATGCTCGCATCTTTTGCGCATGTCAGTTCGATGAATGACTGGGTACGGCCGCAGATAACAGACACATTAGCACTGAAGAACGCCAGACATCCCATCCTGGACAAGGTACGTCGAACTATGCTCTGTCTTTTCGGCCTTCCTGACGATAGACTACAGAATCTCAAACAAGAATACATACCTAATGATTACTACGCAAGCGATGACTACCGTTTTCAGGTCGTTACGGGTTGCAACATGAGTGGGAAGTCTACCTACATCAAAAGTATCTCCTTGCTACAGATCATCGCTCAGATCGGATGTTTCGTTCCCGCAGAGAGCGCCAGCTTTCCAGTCATTCACAGCATTTTTGCTCGAGTAACCGCCGATGACAGCATCGAGGCGAACTTGTCGTCTTTCTCCGTGGAGATGAGAGAAATGGCCTTCATACTCGGGTAGGTAGCATTACGAAAGAAACTGTTCGCATACTGACATCGTGCAGAAACGTCGACAACAAGAGCATGGTCATCATAGACGAGTTGGGCCGAGCTACGAGTGCGCGCGATGGACTCGCAATTGCCGTGGCGATGGCCGAGGCACTTGTACAAAGCCGAGCCAAGGTCTGGTTCGCCACTCACTTCTCGCAGCTTGGTGAGCTATTTTATTCTCGGAAGATTCGGAGGTCAATAGCTAACTCGCGACAGCGGAGGTTCTCAACGACCGCCCTGGAGTGCTGAATCTCCACCTCGGAAGCCACCTGTCGAACTCGGCCAACGGAGATCCGAAGATGACAATGACCTACAGGGTCGAAACCGGCAAGCTCGAACAGGAACTGTACGGTATCATCCTCGCAAAGGCCATGGGCTTTCCGGAGCGTTTTCTGGAGAAGGCGGAACAAGTTTCTCAGTCTCTCCGCGAGCAGAGAATGAAGAACAAGCAGAGCTCCGAGGCGAGGAAGGTTCTCAGCGAACGCAAGCTGATGATTCAACTGCATGCGCAGCTGGAGCAAGCCTATCAATCCGAGATGGACGATTCAGCGCTGCGAAGCTACTTGAAACGTCTCCAGGTCGAGTTTGTGAATCGGCTAGAGGCCCTTCATGGTGGTGATGAGGCGGAAGAGGACAACGTCACTGAAGTGATGGACGAAGATGATGGCGACGCCGATATTTATGATGACGAGGATGTTTTCGACACTGTTGATGTCGAATCTCTATCTATTAGAAGCTGAGTGAACGGAGTACTGTGGGTAGCTGCGCGGAGCTGGGAATGATTCTTTATGGCAGGAGATTTTGCTGCAGGACTAGAAGGGAGTTGTTATCATCTGATGACCGGATGATTTCGGTCTTACTTGCAGGACTGTGAAAACCAAAGATTGACGAATTCGGAATTATGTTTCATAGAGTATCAATATCCAGATCAAGGTGCTCTGTCATTACTAAGTTTCTGTGCGTAATTGTGTGCTTTCACGATGGTGCTCCGAAATAAATAAGACGACTATAACACAGCATTAGAAAAGAAGAAAAAAAAATTGCGGCTTCTAAATAAAGGAAGGAACTCTTGCCGCCGCAGCTCCTGCCTACTCTGACAACAGCCCCTACCTTCTGCCTGTGGATTTCAACTTCCAACTTCCCGTCGTCTTCCAGTCATCCGAACTTTCATTTTCTTCTCCCCTCCAACACAAAGACGATAATTTTCGTCGGCTACCTACTTTTTAGCCGTCGCTTTCATCCTCGACCTTCGATCACTCTTCCGCTTTCTTCCAGTCAGCGACAGAAACACCGGCCAACCACCTTTCAGCTTCCACCATGGCAGATGCCGACGCGGCCTCGTACGAAATTCGTCGAACATCTCCTATGGCACCTGCTAATCGTTTCGCAGCCTTTGGGGAAAGAATGCGGATACCGACATCCGCCTGGTCATGGGCAGCAACGAATGGAAGCTTCACGAGAAGGTCATCCGCGGCAGGAGCGATCTAGTCGACCTCATCCTCGATGAGCAAGCCTCCGTGGTACGTGGTCACCCTTCGCTTACCTTTCAGATTGCCTCACGATGCGACGACATGCGATATCCAAATGACTGACCAAAACCCACAGGACAACGGGATCAAAGTCATCCCACTCAAAGAGCACATGTTCCCGGCACCCGCCCTGGAAGCCACGTTGAAGTACTTCTACGCCGGAGGTGACTGCTTCCCACTGGCTTACACACGTTCCCAGGCTAATGCAACGCAGACGATGTTCTGGAGGACACAACCGAGATTGTCGAGCTTCTCGCAATCTACGAGGTCTCGGCGACCTTGCTCGTCCCGCCCCTGGAGAAGAAATTGGCCTCCCGAATCGGCGAAGAACTCGGTAACATCTTGCAGGATAGAGTCGACATGTTGGATGAGTTCATGATGATTGCGGACATCATCGTGAACGAGGAGGGCGCAGCCTGGGAGGGAGTTCATCGCGAGCTCCAGACCGCTATTGCTCCTCACCTGGTGATGCTTCTGCAACAGGCAGAGTTCTCCGGGTTTCTCAAGGGTCGCCCGGAGTTCTGTTTCGCGACTTTGTCGACGGCTGTCAAGCAGATCGAACACATCACCAATGACTCCGAGACGAAACTTGCCAAAGCAATGGAGAACATGAAGGTTGCAAAGACCGACGACGATACTCCCACTACGATGCCAAAGACGCCGATGACGAAACACTCCACGAGTACCAAGCAATCCCAGGATATTCAGACCGCTGCGGCCACTATCAATGTCAAGATCGAGAGCCCAGATACCACGGAAGTTCTGCCTGCTTCTCCTTCGCTGCGAACTGTTGATGCCGGATCGACTCCATTCCTTGGCTCTCGCTCCCGTAATGCGATTGGTATGTTACATACCAGTATCTCCGAGAGCCCTTGTTGTTTTCTCACAGCTCAGCTAATCACCGAATGTAGACTCAAAGCCTTTCAAGTTCGAGTTCAGAAGCGAGAGAGCCTTATCCCCTACACCACGTGCTGCAAATCGGAAGAAGTCTCTGACGGTCAAGTTCTCTCCCACGGTTACCGACGGCAAGGCCGCCTCTGATGACGAATCCCTTGTGTCCGAAGGTGGTAACATCTCTGTGTCCGATACATCGTCACAGTGGGAGTCATGCGACGAGGGAACTCTCCTGGATCATTCAAAGGCAGAGCAGCGTGGTCGTAACGCATTGGTAGCTACGACGATGGCGAAAAGATCGGCGCAGACCACAACCGAGATCGCGAACAAGAGTCGAGCCATGGTATCTGATGATTCTGCATACTCATCTCCTGCGTACACCGCCAAGGCTACGACTAGACTTGAGGAGGAACAGTCAGTCGGGGTCGAGCCTCTCAAGAAACGTACCGGCAGCTATCACTTCAGCAGCAAGCAGCTCCACCATGACCAGACGAGCGACTACGCTCCTCCTGCTGGACGAAGTGGCATGAAAAACCCCAGCAGCTCTATCTTTCAAGAGCCTCGGGTTTCCACGGGGGTCCAGGAGAGTTACACCAACACCTCCACAACCGCCTCGCGTCCCCGCACCTTGCCTTCCGCATACGCAGTCCCAGTTCAACACCCTGCGCCCTGTCCGGAGCCGGCTGAGCAACGTCCGATACTTGATCGCAAGACAACCCGGCAGGTGGAGAAGGGCCGCCTCCACGTTGAGACATCTGGTAAGCCTCAGAAAGCATTTGATTTCTGGTGGTGCGTAGACCCTTTTACCACTCGTCTCGGTTTCGTAGATATTCAAATTTTATTCGATGATTGCTAACAACGCATAGATACCTTCGCATCATCCGGTCGAAACCACGCGAGATCTCAGTTGGGGAGCCGCACTGATGAGGCTCCGATCGCTTGCAATCCTTCTTAAAGAACGATACCGCCCATTATGAAGCATTGCGAAATACCGAGTTCTGAGGTTGACGGTCAGGTGACCGAGGAGTACGATTACGCGATGGCGAAACCGAATTCGACATCGTTGTACGACGTATTACGGAACAAGAATCCGATTCGATGAGCTCTGAACGACAGATGTTTCCTGGACGGGCAAGATCGCGTTGTCATATTTGCAGTAAAGAATCGGACATTGGAGGCAGATGGGTATCAATCTTGTGCAGAGAACCCACAGTTCCAGTAGGTAGACCAAGAACACATGGCTCAATTGACCTTGGGAGTAGATTACAACTGAGCTCTTTCAGTACGGTTTCCGTTCTCGTCAAACCAGATTTTCTGTCCCTTAATCATCGACTCTTGCAGAGCAGCGCCAATCTTGACAGCCGCCACAGCAGTCGTCAGCTTGACCGGCACAGGCTTATCCTCCAGCACGCTCTCGGTGAACTCGATGGCCTCCGTCGTGAAAGCCGCCCTGAACCTATCCCAGTACGTCTGCGGCAGCTCCTGCCGGATTCCTCCAGGCTGGTAAATGCGCACGTGGTTCTCCGCCGGGAGAATATTCACCGTCAGCTTCCCCTTGGTACCGATGACCTCTGTCGAATCCTCCTGGCCAGCAGCCATCATGCGCGAAGCATACAGATACGCGATGCGACCATCGTAGAACTCGACCGTGCCGACGGCGTTGTCGCGGTCGTTGTGCTTGCGCAGGTCCGGCTCGACTGCCGTGATGCCCACCGCGTGCACCGACTTGACCTTTGACTTCTCCTCGTCGAAGAACCACAGCGCGAGGTCGATGTCGTGGATGCTGCAGTCCACAAAGATGCCGCCGGAGAACTGCGCGTAGGCGACGAAGAAGCCCGTCGGGTCCAGCACGTCACACGTCTGGCTGCGCAGCACGGCGGGGCGGCCGATGAGGCCTTGTTGCATCTTGGCGTGGGCGTCGCGGTAGGAGGCGTCGAAGCGGCGGGAGAAACCGCACATCACCTTGAGATCGGGCCGTTTGGCGGCTGCGTCGACGACTGTTTGGGACTATCACGGTATCACAGTCAGCATACCACTTTCGCCGAGCTCGACTCACTGAAGGACAAGGACACCAATGACTTACCACTTCGACCGTCGTGCCCAGCGGCTTCTCACACAGGACGTGCTTCCCCGCCTCGATGGCCTTGATGGCCTGCTCGGCGTGTACCGCGGTCGCGGAGGCGACGCAGACGGCCTCGAGGCCCTTGTGCGCGACCATGCCGTCGTAGGACTCGTAGACGGCGACGCCATGGGGGGCGAGGTTCTCGGAGGCCCATTGGCGCTCGGCGGCGTCCGGGGAGGAGACGGCGACGAGGGTCGCGCGGGGGACGTTCTGGTGGAAGTTCAGGGCGTGGCGTTTGCCCATGCGCCCGAGGCCGGCGACGCCTACTCTCAGCTTCTGTGTTGACATTGTGTGTGTCGTCGACTGAGGAATGTGAAAGGACCGGGTAGGGACGGTGGGATGACTGAGACTTTTGAGTCTCGCTTTGGCGGCAGTCGTTCGGGACGCTGGCGAAGCGCGAAGGTCGAAAAGGTGAGGCCGGAGGGGTGGGTGGTCTGGGGTATCACAAAGAGAACGGCTGGAACGGGACTCTGCTTTGTCTCTTTCTACGGGTTCCGCTGGACGCCTCTCGAGCAGCTGCAGAAGCAGCCGGCTGGGCGCATTATATACTGTCTCTCCTTTCCCATGCAGGCCTCACCGTTTTTCTTCTTTGGAGCGCAGGCGGTCGAGCTTTCATCCATGCTCGGGGCGTGATCGGAATCCGGTTTCCGGCATGATATGTCTCATATCGTGGGGCGTCCGCCACCGACGCCAGCCAGCAACAGAGAAGGTATCCTTCCAAAACACGTCAAACGAGCCCAGTTCTCCCATGCCTCGTGGACTCGAATTGGCCTATGGCAAGCGGAAGCGCGTACGCAAGAAGCTCTTTGGTGAGCGGCATCCCACTTGGCGACTTGGAGAAATTGGAGACGTGGAGTTGGAGGAGGCTTAAAATTGGCATGAGGCGAAACCCAGACCGGCCGGCCTCGACAGGACCCTTATTCTCGAAATAATTTGCCTGGAATTCCGGAAGAGGTAGGTGGGGGTTACGGCGATGCGTAAAGCGATGTCGGGGATTGGTCGGTGGTGTTTGTCGGGGAAAGTTGCCCCGATTTCTTATGGGTGAAGACGGCAATTTCGCCCGATCTGTGCCATGGATGACATTCGCAACGAAGATGGGACTCTTACCCCAACGGTCTAAACCGAGACTAGAAAGGAAACGCTGTGATGAGACTTTGACGTAGGTCTACCTTACCTGTTAGATTAACGTGCATATGTCGAGAGCTGAGACTTGATCTTGATCTCGTCTTTTCTCCGCACGTCACCCCCCCGAAATATTGGATCCGCTCATCTGGAACTGCATCGCCCCTCCATTCCCCCTCATCTGTGGGATCCGGGGTGTCTGGGGATACGAATTCCGGGGTTGAGTTGGTTAGTTTGGAGAAGTTGCGGTTAGTCTCACCGACGAACTCGGACTCGGGACTATTGTTGTTGGGAACACTGTCACGAGGGATGGGCGGTGCAAATCCTGATACGACTGGTAACTGAGAAAACAAGTCACGTTGGCTATGCAGACTTTATTTCAGCCAGGAATATTGGGTAGAGTTTGATTAAAGTTGTCTCCAGTGGATTCCCACTTCTGAATTGTCTTAATGTCTTTGCAACTCAATATTCTCATGAATCGTCTTCCCAACCCCATGCCCGCTTCAGGTGCGACTGAGCCGATGCCGTCGGCCACATGTGATGTACATCCGTCTTGACTAGGATATCGAGAAGAGCTTTTTGTTCGGCGTGATCTGTGAATCTGTCTCCGCAGGCCGTTACGCCCATGCAGGCTGTGAACATGGCTGGGATGGTGTCCTTGTTGGAGAGGGCTGTGCCGCAGAGTTCTCTGACCTGCGTTCTGATGTCGTTCTGTAAAATCTGGTTAGAGACCTCGTGTGTTATATTGTAATGATAGGAGGGTCGTGGCTTACATCAAGTTTCTGTCTGGCTATCCTTCGGCCGGGGCCTATTCGAGGGATGCTCTCGTCGTGACACATCAGAAGTGCTCGAGCTAGGGTGCCGTGTACGTTTCCGATTACTTACGGATGCTCAGCAAGTGCCTCTCTTAGACAACTCTTCGAGGGGTAACTTACCGACAGCGTGGTTGATATAAAAGATCCGGGGAAACGCCTGGTCCGCCGCGGGATCCGGCTCGCTGTACGCAATCGGCAGCCACGACAACGGCCTCGCGCGCAACCAGTTATGGTCATACTCGACAAGCCTCTGATACTCGCTCTTCCTATTCTCGACCTCGCCAAAGCAGAACTGCACCACCTCGGCGCAGTGCACGACAATCCGGTTCGCCCAGCAGTCGTCGTCGGCCGGCGAGAAGGAGCGGTCGATGAAGAGGTGGTCCACCTTGACCTTGATCGGACGCTGCGTGGCGAACGCCATCGTGATCTCCTGCCTGAGCCCGACCCAGAACGAGGCCTGCCGCAGGGGGCTCGGCGGCGTGGAGGACGCGTTCTGGGTGTTCATGAAGAGCTGGATGCCCAGGAGGTGGCCCTCGTGGTCGGTGCCGATCAGGGGCACGTCGAGCTCCTCGAGGGTGCGGAGGAGGATGGTGGCGGCGAGGAGGTCGTCATTCGTGAGGGCGGAGGAGTCGTTGGAGATGGTGGTGAGCTGTTTGAGGCATTCTTGGTGGTAGCGGTCCGAGGCGTAGGGGTCGTATTGGTCGTGGAGGCTGAGGTGGCGGGAGGAGAGGGCGAAGATCGCGTTGAGGAGGGTCGGGCAGGTTATTGCTCTTTGGGGGACGACGATGGCGAAATGGCGGCGGGCGTCACAGAGGTCGAACTGGAGAAATGTCAAGTTCACGGGACTGAGTTGGTGCTAATGAGACGCGACTAACCCATGTGCACATGTATTCTAGGTAATACTTCATCAACCTCACTTCGTGTGGTTGGGTAAATGGAAACACAACGTCTCCGTGGTGTTCATAGTTAGCTAGCCCGAGGGTCGAGCCCGGAGGTATCGAGCTGTAAGTCGTAGGCAACGGTACAGGAGTTTGGGCATCTTTCCCGGCCGCGGCTGGGGTTGAGCTGGGCTGGCTGAAAGGACTAATTGTTGCAGACTGGTCCTCGTTGACGACACGATGAAGGGACCGAGGAAGGCTGTGCGGAGGAGTTGACTCTGCAGCCGGACATTCTTCAACTGCAGGAAGAGAGTGTCTCCCCGATGGCGAATTCCCAGTCTCTGACCAATAGAGGGCTTCAAGTTCCTGCGTCTCATCGACGAAGTGGACTATCAAGACTCAAGAGACCCGGTTAACGATGAACAACTCATCCCAATACGTACGCACGCGGTAAATGGAAGCGAGCACGACAAATCTCCAGTCTCGAGCATATCTGCCAAGACACCGAGATCCAAGATACGGAAACTCACGGACAACTTACAACGCCGCGGGTAACGCACCCAAGTGTTCCCTACTGCGCTCGGCGCCCTGATAACGACGAATAGATCAGCGATCTGTTCCCGCAAAATAATAACGCAGTACCAATGCGGCGCCCCTCGTGACAATAACACGGCCGACGATAACGCCAGAGAGGGTCTCCAGAAAAGAAGAAAACCTGCAACAGGAAAGTCGCACGTCGGTCACGGAGCCCGCGCGAACGTGGGGCCTGGAGTTCCCGTAGCTTACTCGGTCGAGTGCTTGAATCGAATGGCGGGGGCCGGGATGCACTCCTTGCCAGTCGCCCTGCATCGAATACATGAAGTCAAGGTGCTGTCGGGCCGGGAGGAGGTCGACGGCGGCGGCGGACCAGCGGGAGCGGCGTCATCTGTGCTCCACGCGCATTTGAGATGCTGCCGTTTGCAAGTCTGTTTTTGGCAGTGTTGGGGGCTCAAGGGCTCTTCTGTTGCGTGGGAGGTGGGTTTCAATGTGTGTGATGCTGAATGAGGTTTGAATTTCCGAAGGAGATCCAATCTTCAGATCGCCGTTTTTACCCATCTCGGCACGCAGCAGAAGAGGTGCGCCCCCGGATAAGTCAGCAATCAATTGATTTCTTTCTCCATCACAAAAACGCCAGACTCCAGACTGCTTAGACGAAATCCGGGGTAAAGTAGACTTTGCGGGATGACAATCTGGGGTAAACGGGTTGAAGAATAAGGGGGAAACGTACCAGACATGTCGTCGACATGATTTGACCCTTCACCCCGTCTTTGGCGTCCTCAATCGCACGTCTTTTCGTGAAAATGAGACGATTGCGGTGACCAAGGGAAAGTCGGAGGATAAAAGCATTTCCCGGTTCGTAATAATGGGAAATAGCCGCATCGGAGAGATCTGCTCGGGCTCGTTGGAAAAGGAAAAAAGTTCCTAGCCCGGGCGCGCGCGGCCCCTCCTCACAGTTCACGCGGTGAGAAGCTCACACCGGCTCGAATTACCGCGTCCCAATGTTCCTTGAACCCCCCATGCCTATGACGAAGATGTTAATGCAGGTTCCAGCCGTAAAAGCGCGAATACCCCTGACTCGCGTCAACAGAGACGATGTCAACCAACCACCACCCCGGGCCATCCCCCGTTCAATGTGGAGCGTTCCACGGCCAGATTCCGGAGCTTTTCGAGCCTCCTCGAGACTTCGAAGACGCCGCCCAAATACCCACCGAACCCGTCCATCCCCACGGGCAACTCATTGCGAGAATCTTCCAACGACCACCCCTTGGTGTTGAATGGAAACATGGGTTCTTATCGAAGAGCCCGTTGGAAGTTGGGGCATCAGACCACTCACGGCTCTTCGTCTTCGATGCTCTTCTACAGTCCCGCCCGGGTGCTCCATTAACGGGCTACTCCAACGCCGACAAGGATCGCACGTCAAGCACTGTCATCGGCCTTGATTCCACCTCGAACACGTTCTCAACGACATTGGATCGAATTGCAACTTGCCTCGCGTTCCCAGCTGCTGCCAAGTTCTTCCCAAACTGCCGCGGGCATAACCCCGGTCCTATTCTCGCCCGGACTGATGGCCGCCTTTGACGTTGACAGCGTGGTGAATATGCGGAGAGGATGTGTGTGTGTGTGTGACACGGATTCCCCAATTCCCCAGAAACCCTCTTTGCCTCTTTTGGCCTCCCCCACGATTTAATTAGCGGCTCGCCGTTCCTTGACCAACTAGCGCCCGGTCATTGGTCGTCGCGGCTATTCCCACAGCTCTTGTGTCAACGAGCATCTACGGCCTTCCAAGCGTTGTGGGTCGCCATTCTTGACCCCCTTCGATGTCGTGAATTGAACGGGCGTCCTCGGGACCAGCAGTGCTGGGTTGGCATAGCCAAGGATGGGGGAGCCGGGTTGGGGTAGTCTAGATTTGGAGAAGTCTATAAAGACTTCGCTGTGCCGTTGTTTGAAGTTGAAGTTGGTCTTTTGTGATTCAGTCGAGTGCGACCTCAAGTCTCTTCTCATCTGTTTTTTTTTGATACCCTCATCTTCGTTTCTCGGTTTATAGACCGGCACATTGACCACACGTTGCAACACTGATCACTTGGTTGCACACCCGTCTCTCAAGGTACTGCCCATCCCAAGTGAGTTCGTCCCAAACCGGCCTCCCCAGATACGACGCCCGGCTTAGTCAGGGTGTCGTTTCATGTCAACACCACGTTGAACCGTCGTGAACTAACCAACAGTCTCATAGATCCGATAAGCATTGCGGTTCAAGATGGGTCATCGTTCACCATCCGCCTCCGACGTGGAGAAGACATCGACCAACTATGGCGTCTCCACAGAACAACAGGAGACAGTCCTGTCTGATGCGTCCCTCGAGCCTTACGGACCTTCAGGTACATCGACTCCTTTCTCACAACATCTCTCGTACAACCATTGACTCCTCATAGGTTTTCGTGGTATCTTCGCCTCCCACTATGTAGCTATGTGCGCAGCTTTCTCCGCAATTGGAGGGTTGCTGTTCGGTTATGACCAAGGTGTAATTTCCGTCACGCTGGTGATGGACCAGTTTCTCGAACGCTTCCCCGAAGTCTCCGACCATGCCGCCGGCTCCGGGTTCAAGAAGGGTTTGATGACGGCTATGATCACTCTCGGTGCCTTCATCGGTGCTCTCAACCAGGGATGGATTGCCGATTGGCTTTCTCGCAAGCGTTCCATCATGGTTGCCGTTGTGGTCTTTACCATCGGCTCAGCCATCCAGACATCGGCGCTGAACTACGACATGCTGGTCGGTGGACGCTTCATCGGTGGTCTGGGAATCGGCATGTGAGTACACCCTCTCTCAACTATTCAGACTTGATCTGACCAGGACAGGCTCTCAATGGTTGTTCCCCTCTACATCTCCGAAATCTCGCCTCCTGAGATCCGTGGCTCTCTTCTCGTCTTCGAGCAGCTCTCCATTGTGGTCGGAATTGTCGTGTCATTCTGGATCACTGTAAGCCCAAACCTCTTCTCTCTTATGTATATGTTAGCTCACAAGTACGTTTAGTATGGCACCAAGAGCATCCCAAATCACTGGTCCTGGCAGCTGCCTTTCCTCATCCAGATCATCCCGGGTCTCCTCCTCGGCTTCGGCGCCGTGTTCCTCCCGTACTCTCCGCGATGGCTCGCGTCCAAGGGCCGCGAGGAAGAGGCTCTCCACAACCTCTCCAAGCTCCGCACGCTTCCCGATACCGATCCCCGAGTTCGTCGCGAATGGATGGAAATCATCGCCGAGGCCCGTTTCCAAACCTCCGTATCGGCCGAACGTCATCCCAACCTCGTCGGAAACAAAGACCTTGCGAGCAGCTTCAAGCTGGAGGTGGTGTCGTGGACGGACTGCTTCAAGGCTGGATGCTGGAAGCGAACCCAGGTCGGAGTCTTGCTCATGGTAAGCCTCTCACGTAAACCTGCTGAGAATTCAAGAATTATGTGACTAATTCATCCCACAGTTCTTCCAACAATTCGTTGGCATCAACGCCTTGATTTACTACTCCCCCACTCTCTTCGAGACCATGGGCTTGGATCGTAACATGCAGCTCGTCATGTCCGGTGTTCTTAACGTCGTGCAACTCATCGGTGTGCTTCCGAGTTTGTGGACTATGGATCGCTTCGGTCGTCGGTCGATTCTCCTGATTGGTAGCGTTGGCATGACCATCTCTCACACGGTTATTGCTGGTCTGGTTGGCGTCTACTCCCATGACTGGCCGAGCTACCAAACCCAGGGATGGGTCAGTGTCGTCTTTTTGATGATTTGTGAGTACTCAAGTCTTTGGCAACCATCAACTATCGCTAACCAAAACGTGCAGTCATGTTTGTGTTCGGAGCCAGTTGGGGACCTATCCCCTGGGCCTTGCCTTCCGAAGTCTTCCCTTCCTCGTTGCGCGCCAAGGGTGTCGCCCTCTCCACGTGTTCCAGTAAGTCGCCAAACTTCCCACAGAAAAATAGCTCAGGTCAGATACTAACAACCACGCAGACTGGATCAACAACTTCATCATCGGTCTCATCACCCCTCCGCTCATCCAAAACACAGGTTTCGGAACCTACGTCTTCTTCGCCGTCTTCTGCCTGCTGTCCCTCGTATGGGTTTGGTTCTGCGTTCCGGAGACCATGGGCAAGACGCTGGAGCAGATGGACGAAGTGTTCGGCGACCGCAGTGGTTCCGCCGACGTGGCGAAGAAGAACCAGATCTTCAGGGAGGTCGTGGAGGAACACAGCCGCTCGACGGTGTCTCAGGTGGTGTGAGCAGTAGTAGATAAGATACCCCAATACTGGAATTCAAAGTACGTCGTTGAACATGGCCATGTGTTACACAGAGATTGCCCCGCACTGAGTGACAAGTCCGAACCAGCAAATGGCTTTGTTGGGTATTTGTGAACCAGAGTTGAGTGTGCATGCTTCGGAAACGATCGAATGAGAAGAGCTGGTGCCTGAAATGTGCTAGTGTCGAGATCTTCTTAGTGACGTCGCCAAAGTGCGGCTGCCGCTCGCGAAATACCAATCGCCATCGTGGGATAAAACAGAACGAATCCAATCCAGCATGCTGAAATACGCCCTCTCCCATCAATGGTAAAGTAGCCAGCTGAACATGTGATGATCCTACTCCAACGAAAGCTGATCCCAGCTGCGGTCGATCGAGGCCCTTTGAGGTAGACCTTCCTGAGTGAGAAAGCTGACAGCCGGCGATCATCCTCTAAATCCCATGTGTCAGCAGCGATTGGACCCAGGGCGATGCCCAGCTTTGCTTGACGTCAGATTTCTAGCCAAATACCAAAAGGGCTCTCCGTTTGCGCGACGTAAAGACTGCCACACGTACGATCGTGGCATAATTGTCGCCCTGCTTGTATGAGTGTATTTTGTAGCTGAGCTTGTCCTCGGGCGCGATGCGTCTCAGACTCTTTCACTCTAATGTCCTCTGCAGTATAAAGCCACAGTCATTTACAGTTTGTGGTTATTGTGGTGGTCGCTTGTACTCCTCATTCAATCAGAAAGACCGAATACTTTCGAAACTCTTAAGCAATCTTTGCTACCAGTATCAGTCGTCGAAGCAGAGTAAGCATGTTATCGCGGCTTCTGAACGCGGTCGGAGCGGCGGCTCTGGTGGTGTCATTCGCCCTCCTCGTCGTCTCTTGCGTTTCAATCCCAAACACCAGCCTGCCAGTGTTCACAGTCGATGTTGGTCGAAGAATCAACCGCGAACTACGTTCAGAAATTAGAGTCGACTTTGGACTTTGGGGTTATTGCCAAAGCACGTATACGCCAATGTGAGCTTTACTCCAGAACTACACTAGTTCCCCCTTTCCTCCCTCATCGAGCAGTGAGAGAATTTGGTATCTAACGATCAGTCAAGGATCCGATTCCAGGAAGGGTGTGTCAAAGTCAATGGTCCAGGCTACGACCCTACCGAGATATTGAGCAACATTACACCATCGGATTTCGGTTCGTCGATCAAGACGAGAGGCATGAGAGACCTCACGCCCGGATTTGCACTCCCCGCGGTCGCGACAGCTATTGCCGGACTGGCGATGATATCAAGCGCGATCGGTGTCGTCAAACGCAACAGGGTTACGCCTCTCGTCACGACGGTCTTGTCGGCACTGTCACTCATCTTCGCTGCTGCCGCTATCGGTTGTGTTTTTGGAACCTTTGAGAAGATTAGGAAAGCTATGCGGAACCATATCATCCTAAGAACCACAGAAAGGAACGGACTGGAGTACAGGTTGTCGCCGAGATATGGGCCTTGTGCCATCACACTGGTGGTTGCTTGCGTCATCCTGTTGGTCACGACAATCATCGCTGCCTGCGCATGGCTGGCATCGATACGTGAAGGTCGTGAAAGGCGTCGTAACAATGTTGCTGAGAAGCACTACAGCTCAGACTACGAGAGTAGGGCGTCAACTACAGCGGACCACTAAGGGACGACTGTATTATTGAGGCTAACTAGGTTAAATGTCAATTCATTATCTAAATGCTCATGGTTAACGAGCATTACAAGGGCTGAATGACATCAAAAATCATGTCAGCTTATGACCGTGCGTAAATACAACAGCGGCATACGGCAGCGAAACTGGGAAGACATCAGACGTTTCACCATCGGAGCTTGGTCCCGTCTTGACCTCGGATGTCCGGGGCCGATTATTGTTGCGTGCTACATAAAGCTTGAGATCCCCAGGATCATAGCTCGGTGGCTTTGACAACGTCTTTCGTCCGACAAAACAACCTCACCTCACCTGCGGTAAACAAACGCTCGGAGATACAGAAGCCATGTCAACGGTTTTCCACGTCACCGTCCACGTCGCACCGCGAAATGTTGCCCGATTCCTGGAGGCCGCGGAGCCAACTATTGAGAAGTTGAAGAGGGAGTCTGCGTTGATGTACTTTGAGATGTACCAGGTTCATGACTCACCTGGGACGATAACGTGGATTGAAAAATGGTAAATGAGTTACCCCTATTTTCCATGTTAGTCGACCACACAACTAACAACGGCAGGTCGGAGCCGGTGGAATGGATCATGAAGGTAATAACTTTTCACTTGTTTGAATAATTTTCTTGGAATTGCCATTGACACTCATCTGCCATGCAGCATCAAATGACGAAGGATTATTATAACGATTATTTCGATGCGACGGAACCGTTCTACGTCGCGCCTCGAGAACTGAGGGTTCTTAGTTCGTTTGGACCCCGCTACGCATATCAAAAGACATAGGCGCAACTTATGAACAGAATTTCATGGTATATCTGGGCTCAATAGAACTGATTCTGCGTTGCATTAAATTGAAAGTCACCAATGACATCAATCATGTGATCCTCCCGCGCGCCGTCCCTTCCTTCGACGGCGCGGTCACACAAAAGCGGGGTAGCTTACGACGGCCGACTACACTTATCACACAGGAAGCTATCAAACAACTTCAACCAACAACCATCAGCCTATTCAACTGCTTTCACACAGTCACTCGACGGAGCCAAGATCACTCACAATGTCCGACTATCCAATCCGCCCACCAACGCCTCAGGCAATGCTACACCGTCTGCCCGACAAGTCCGACGAACCGCGGGAGAGCACGAAGCCATCCAAGTACATCATCGTCATCATCGCCTCGACTTCAGTGGCAGGAAAAGTACAAATCGCCAAATCAGTTGCCGCCGGCCTCTCTTGCCCTCTCTTTCAAGGCGACAGCTTACACGAGACCTCAGCCAAGGCTGCTACCGTCGGAGCGAAGAAAGGTTTTCCTGGAGGTAAAGATGACGAGCAAGGCTTTGGGCCGAACGAAGCGAGATACCAGCGCATGTGGCTGTCCAAGATGACAAGAACCGGTCTCCTGTTTCCCGAGGAGTCGCGGCCTGCCAACGAGGGCTTCTCTGGTTTCGGCGGATCGTCGTCAACCTCGACAAGCCGCCGCGGTTCCGCCAGCTCAATCGCGTCAGCATCGTCATTCTCGGATACTACCAACTCTACGGCAAGCATCACCAAAAGCTTCGTCTCACCCACCGCCAAGTACATCAACAAGCCCCCTGCGGCCGCCTTGTCAGAGAACGAGAAGCTTCGGAAGGCGAACCCAGCATTGATGGTTGTCACTCATCCAGAGCTTCAGCAGTGGCACAAAGATTCTATCAGGAAGACCGTGGGAGAGTACGGTATTGGCATCATTTTTGTGCCGCTCTGCGAAGAGGAAGACGACGACCTACCCGTGTTGACGCCGCTGGACCCTAGAACCATGACCAGCTTCGCTTGCCTTGGTTCTTTCAATTTGATCAGAGCTATGACCTTGGAAGAAGAGACCGTATTGAGAGTCAACGTGGAAGGGAAGGTTGAAGACATTATCGATGAGATCATTGACCAGACACGGCAAATTATGGACGGATGAGCGGATAGGACAGGTTTATGAGATGCTACATAGATGAGAACCTCAGTTCCGTTTCACACTCCTAATGTACTGCCCATCAGCTTCAACATGCCAGTTCTGGGGCCTTTCCTGTGTTTCCAAACAACATCGTGAAGCAAATATAGCCACAAAGGTGTCAGAATTCACGGCGATAAAGCCAGCCATTGTATAGCCAATCCTGCCACCTGTCGATTAGTGGCAGCTTTTAGCCGCGTTCAGACTGGAACGTTTTGAGACGGCAGTGACATCAGCGCTATGAAGTCGCTCTGAGCTTGTACCGATTCAAACGACAGGCGCAGCCAGCTGAGATGCCGAGTCAACACGGCCAGTCAGTTCCATGTTCGACAAGTCTATGTCGAGGTCGACTTGAAGCAGGTCAGGCCATTCAAAGCATGGATTGGTCCCATCGTAGTCAACAGGGCCAAGAAACACAATCGCATGAAACTCCCCCTATAAGACACGGAATTCAGTTACAAAAAGCAACGTTAACGACATTCGAAGTACTTCGGAAGGTCAGGGTGCGCAAAGTTTACGTCCTTAGTCCGATGCTTGGTTTATATCGATGGTATTTCCATATATTCGCCTACGAACTCGAGACATAATATATTGTATGAAGCGCTTGTAACATCCATGATGCGTTCCAACTTAACGAAGTGAGCCAGTTGCCATCGACACAATCTGAGATATTTAAATGGAAGAAAGCTAAGTCTGCGTCTCAAGGATATCAGCATTATATTAGTATTATCTGCGACTTCGGAATCAAAATAAGACAGATGAAACTCTGGAACCATCGCCACAGATAAAGATGCAGATAACCTTCTTCTGATCAGTAGCCTTTGCTGGTCTGTAGGGCTTAAAGTACTTGATGTTTTCCAAAAGTCTGCGACTCGTGTTCAAAGTTGAGACATCCACAACACTCCCATAACTCTGGACAGAACGGTTTGCCCAATCGACTGACGTTTGCTCGAAGCCAAAGCAGGACTTGACATCTATTAGACAAAGCTAAGGCATATGCTTGCCCAGATTGCATTCTGTACGTTCCCATGGACTTTAGCCTATCCACCAAGCCCATACCCTCTATGTCGGGATCAGGCTTTCTCGAGTTTGTATCTAAGTACATGGCCGGAAGCACAGTTGATGAACATTATAAGCTCCCTTACGACAACTCTCACAGGCCTGTATAATGAAGGGATCCACACGATCTTCTTGTTATCTTTGACGATCCATTCCCTGTCAAGGCTCAGACCGTATTCACAAATAGCCACCGCTGGAACGCCCCTTTCTTCAGTCAAGCCTGAACATGCTGAAGAGTCAGAGTGCATGTCGATAATTCCAAACTCAGTAAGTAGGCGTGTGTTGGAATTCCTGTCAAAAGCCAGGTTGTCGATCGCACATCGTACCTTTATTGTCCGAAGTAGACTGCCCGCGTCTAAGTCCCATATTTGTATTGTTCCATCGTCTGATGCTGAAACTATGGCTTGGCTGTTGGGAGAAAATGCGACTAGCCTTACCATACGATCACGTTCGGGTTCTTGTAATGCTCTGAGCAGGACACCTTTATCAGGGTCCCAGATTTGTATGTCATAATGCTCGCTGCTTCCAAACAGGATATTGTTGAGCTGGACTGTTGCGAGGAACTTGCTGTCGGGGGAAAACGATATTGCACGAATTATCGAACTGCTGCTTACCCTGGAGTACACGGGACCCCGGAGCACTTCCAGGAGTCTGCGTCTTGTTATATCCCAAAGTTGCGTTGGCCCATAACCTGCGCTTATTGCCAGAAGGGTGTTGTTAGGCGAGAAGGCGAATGCCCAAATTGGTCCGTCGGGGCCCTCGCGTATTTGTTCTAGTGCGCCTGTTTTCACGTGACATAGATAGACTGAGCCATCTGATGATCCTGACGCTATCATCTGGCTGTTGGGTGAAAAGGCGACAGCGAATACCTCTTCACGAAGGCCCCGGAGAATTTGCCGTGGTGCGCCCGTTGTAGTATCCCAGAGTCGAATAGACTTGTCTTTTGATGCCGAGGCGACGAGTTGTTTATTCGGAGACAGAGTAATTATTCCAGAAATGGTCTGACTGTCTCTGAATACCTGTTGCGAGACGTCTTTTTCTATGCTCCAAAGCCGTATGGTTGCGTCCAGTGACCCTGATGCTATGATCCTGCCATTGGGCGAGAAGGCGAGTGAAAAGATAATTTCACTGTGACCCGCGAACACATGCTGCAGTTTACCCGTCGCCACGTCCCAGAGCCTTACGTCAACGCCCGCTGCTGACGCTACTGTCTGGTTATCCGGCGAAAAGGCTGATGTGTTGACAGGGCAGTTCTGGTGGTGCAGGATATGGCGTAGCTTTCCGGTGGTTGCATCCCAGAGTCGTATTCCCATTCACCTTCCCGAATATGATGTGATACTTTGGCCATCGCGAGAAATGTCGAGATCCCGGATGTGGCGGTCGTTGGTTTCGAGTACGTGCTTCAGTGAACTTGTCGTTGTGTTCCATACCCATACCCTACCATCGCGTGGTACTAGTGCCACAATCTTGCGGTTCTGAGAAACGGCGATGCAATAGCCAAAGTCGCCGTTGCCCCAGTTATTGTCGCTATTAGATGAATAGAATGTTGTGTTCGAGTCGGCACTACTGCAATCAAGTGTTTGCAATAATGCGCCAGTCAGTGTGTCCCAAAGCCGCACGGTGAAGTTGTTCGATGTCGTTGCTACAACTTGACCATCGTATGAGCAAGAAACTGCTATCAATGAATTCGTGTCACTGACAAGTGTTCGTGGTGGTTTACCAGCTGTTCTACTCCACAACTCTACTACGTTACGGGATGATGAAAACGCCACCATTTCACTGTTTGTTGTAAATTTGATACTGCTGACAGGGAAGTATTCGAAGTCGAGCGTTTGCTGTAATATGCCCGTTGACGCGTCCCAGAATCGTGTTGTGTTATCTGACGATGTCGAGGCAACGACCTCACCATCGAGAGAAAATGCCACTGCCAAAACCCCTCTGTGGTGGCCTTCAAGAACTTGAAGACATAAGTCCCATTTACGTTCAATTCCTTGAATGCTGTCATAGCTTGGTAGACGCTGATGCCAAAACCTCTGGCGTACTTGACTTGCTGTTGGGGAGAAGTACAATAAAGCGCCGTAACTCTGAAGAGGCGCGCGTCCAATCATAGAAGCAAAGTGTGTGATTGACTCCTTGGCATCTTGAATTAACTCAATCAGCTCTACAGGGATGTTGGGAATTTGCTGTAACCGGAGTTAGTCAGAGGCTCTTACAATGGCAGATTTGGCTACCAACCTGGAATGTGCCTAGAAGCCTTGTAACCGCAATCACCCCGTTTGAAAGACTTCTCAGGAGGGAAAGAGCTTCCAGCCAATGTAGAAAGTGCTCGTGAAGAAAGGTGCAGACATCGTCGACCATGGGGCGTCCGCTACATTGCAAGTGATGGTTCCAATGAAGACAAGCATATCTGAGGTGGTCAGGAATGTGTTCGTCAATCACCTGCTCGTTGATGTCGTCCAAGAAAATGTCTAGGTTCTGGAGATTGCAAATATCTTGTTTGAGCTCTGTCTCCATGCATTGAAGACAACCCGACGCAAGTGCCGCGTGTATCTCTAGAGCATCGACTCTATGAAATCTCGCAGTAGAATTGTCTGGGGAGAGGAGGAAATCGCTGAAGGACTTATGTAAAAGTCGGATTGGGTGATGAGGCTCAGCAGATATGTCCAATACTGCACGCAACTCTGGGAGCCACCAGTTGACATCATCCATGTCTAGGTGAAGGAGGGAAGCCAGAGATGCAGCCGCAAGTGGTGTTACGAGAAGAACTATAGCACCCAGAAACTGCAACTGCCTACTAGACTCACTCTCAGAGGCACTAGAAAATGCTTGACTGAGAACGGTATCGTATATCTGATCAAGCTGAGACTTGTTTTCTTCACACTGCTTGAGCCAAAGCTTTAGCTGTGTCTTCGGGTTCCTCGGGCGTTGTTCATCATAGATGAAGCGGCAAAGAGTTGCGGCGTAGATGAATAGTGGTTCGGGATTGGTGGCCAGCTTGACAAGGCGATCCAAATCATCAGCAACAGGCCACGGGGTTTGTTGAACCGTACGCTTTTTCTTGATGTCCGCAAACCTCGCCTCTAAGAAAGTGCGGATATCATCCTTGGTATCTTCCGGAAATTCGCGGTGGAGTTCAAGGCTTAACACAACCTTGCTGATGACGAGCGGCTCTATGGCGTCAATGATCTTAGGAGAAGACCTGCTTGTGATTAAGATGCGCAAGTTTACCGTAGTAATGTCGCAAAGCCTTGATAATAGTCCAAGAACACGTGAATAGTGCTCAGGTCGCTCGCATTCGTCTAGGGCGTCGATGATAATTACTTTGGAGCCTTGACTGGTGGAGACGGGTGGCAGAGCCCCTAAAGGGTTCCAGAGGAGTTTGTCAAATTGGAATTCGAGGCTCCTCTGTTCTATTGCGTCTTTGTCAAGGCTGTCCAGCGATTTCTGAAGATAGCATTTGAAAAGCGGGATTGCCTCGATTAGCTGCATAGCTAGGGTGGAAAATAGTCGAGTTGTGTCGTTGCGTCCCTGTTCTCCTCTCTTGAAGAAGTAGCCGGCAACTAGTCGGTTTTGGCTGGCGAGACTGTCCACCACGCTGCGCGCAATGGTGGATTTGCCGGTCCCTGCAGGACCAACAAGCCAGAACGTGATTTCAGAGGAGTCGTTCTCTGCCCATTGAGTGATCCTCTTCATGACTTGAGTCCGAGTGCCCATCTCGCATCTTGGACTGTCTCGGACGTTTGCACTGTCGTAGTACGCTTCGTGAACAACGCGAAGTTCGATCGGGCGGTCCTCAAGCAATTCGCTACCTCTATTAGTTAAATCCTACAAAGGCAGTATGAGTTACCTACTTGGTACGTTTATGCTCGACGAGATGCTCAGATGACACGTTGAGATGCTGAGTCGTGACCTGTAGTTGTTCCTTCGCAACTAAAGATAGGGGTCGTATGTCAATATGATACTCTTGTGCCATCTTGATGCCTCCAAGACACATAGAGCTACGATACTCATGACGGTCGATGGATTCCGAGTGCACACTCCAAGATATTGATCTTCAAGGCTACTCTTTTGCGATCATCGTAATGAATTGCATCCCAACTGACAATAGGCAGTCAATGAGAATTACTTACCAGAGACTAGTTGTGGTACAGGCTGTTCCTGCCGGACCCGTTCTGGTGGTATAAACGACAGAAGCTCTTTTGTAAATGCCGCCGCTGTTGCCGCTGCGTACTCTTGCCACATCTTGTTCTTGTGCGAGTCCGCATAGTCGCAGATACCGCGGATTACGAGACACGGGAAATCTTGAAGTCCCGCTGCCTCCATCTCAAAACACAACGTCCCAAGTGCTTTACTGAGCTGATCACGCGTCTTTCCATGCTTGATAACCTTATTGCCAGATGCTATGTTCCCGTAGTGAATGACTGGATCCGTGTCATCCCGTGCTTCGCGCCGAACCTTCTGCGCGGTATCACACTGGCTGCAACCAGGATCCACAGCGTCCCCAGAGTCCCGATCAGGATGATCATACTCTGGCTTGAAGAGGCAATCGTTGGAAGATCCCTGATAGCTGAATTTCTTCTTCATTCTTTTCGGGCTTTTGGCGACGAGCTCTGATAGAAACTGAGGGATAAGGCTTTCTTTGCTGAGGTGTTCGGCCTGAAGACGACTCAGTGCGGTTAGGAGGAGCTGGGGTGGCATGTTGAGGGATCCTGTGCGTTGAAACTCCCCTTCTTGTACAGTTTTCCCCCGATCGTACTGGATGAGACCTCCATGAGTCCCAGAGGGCTTGCTGACCACGACATCGCCCAGTCGAATATCGTTTAATGATGATGGTGCACCGCCTCCAATACCAACCATCAACCCGAACCGGACCGACTTGAAAGTTCGCAATAGATCCTTAGCAACAGTAGCAGCTGGTGTGGTTCCGTAAACACCCGTTGGAAGGCATGCGATAACGATATGGTGGCCCCCAATCCGACCTAACATATAGCTGTTATGATCGGCTGGATCCTGTTGTTGAAGGTCCGAGTATGATTGATCGAGCATCCCTTTCGCAGCGGCCATTTCCAGCGGAAGGGCGCACACCCAGCCGACCGTAAACTCCTCCGCGGCAATCCCGGGCTCGGCATCGGGCGTATCGATCGCTCGGTTTCGTTTTGATGATTGAATGTTGGAGCTTTTCGTACATGTAGCTAAATGCCATACCAGCTTATCAGTTTGAGAGATCTGGTAACGCAGAGGTATGAAGGCTTACGAGACTCTGGCCCACGGCTGCGCTTGAGCGTGCTGCGCATGTTGGCTTCCCCGCCTATGGCGAGGTTGTCGTTTGGATTCGGCATTGGCGTTAGATTCGGCTTCGACGTTGAAGAATATTAGTGTCGTTGCATGAGCTCTGCGAGGTCGATGGCGACATCCTCAGCCGCAGGACTTCCTCTGGACTTCAGCGTCCTTGGGATTTCTTACGCCTGGTTTGGCGTGGTGTTGTCTGCAAGATAATTGACAGAGGCAGTGCTGAGCGGGAAAAGCAGGCTACATACCACACCCATAACTCGGAGCCATTTTAGGCAAACACTGATCCCGACCTTCATTCGACATATGCAGCTTACGTTACAGTAACGTCTAGCTCTTCTCAGCAGCCGAATGCTTGGCCATTGCATATCAGCGAATGAAAGGCGAATAGCTTGAACGGTTGTGGGCGTTGTTTCCACTTTGAGGCCTCGTGTTCGACCAATGCGACAAGCCCACAACCCCGCCTCATGTCCAAGAGACAACCACCATGATACAGATCCTGTAAGCCGTCTCGGCCCATTGCCGAGATCATGGGGAACCTGATAAGCGGTAACTGGCAGAAAGAACGCATCGATTGAGAAAGTCAAGGCTCTACCAGGCGGTCTGTGGGAGTGACATCTTTTTGTCACTTATGAAATTCAAACAACACACGAACGGTAACTTGTCCTTGCGTGTGTGAGCGTGTCCAACCCAACATCCAGTATTCTCGATGGCTTGTAGCATTGCTTTCGGCCTCAGTCCGTGTCGTATCTTCTAATGTCCAAACAAAACATGTCGGCTTTCACTTGTTAGATTACACGTAGTTGTACTGGGCAAAACACGAACCTTACCTACTTCCTCAGCGCCAACGATATCTTTTCCCTCTACAACCTATCACCTGTATGAGCTCCAATAACAATCATGAACAACCTGAACACTTTTTCTCGTCCCTTTGAGACAAACGTTGAGGAGTTGTTAATTGCAGTGAAAGTAAACCAGCGGGGGTCTAAACGTTTTCAAGGAGGCTTTGCCGACCCCGAGAGACGAGCTTTGGTCCGCAAAATCGATTTCCAGATCATTTTGCCAGAAATTCCTCACAAACGCTTCAAAAAGATCCAGAGCAGCTGCGAGGCCCAAGACAGCAGCGAAATCGTAAGGAATGCCGTCGATGACTTGTTCTCTCGCCTTGCATGCTGGAACACAGTCAACGCCAGCGATAACGATGGCCCTAGCGATATCACATTCACGCTGAAAACCTTTTCCGAACGACATTTTAACAAAAGTATCTCAATTGTGGGCATGATATGTGGATTGCTGTAATTCCTGCGATGTGAGTCGAAATTAACCAGCCTTCCTCTAGCTAAGCTCCATCAGCCAAGAGCAACAAAATCGTAACCTAGCATCATAGCAGTACCCGAAACCAAGGTAAGTAGGAACAGGGTCCTTGTATCGACTTGGTGGCTGGACTTGATGCGGGGCACTAATCCTCTGCTGCCAGTTCCGAGGGTCACAACACGATCTCGAATCATGGTTCAGCGGGTGTTGATCCCGAATATGTCCGTTGACATATCCAGGGCCTCCTAACTTGACTGAGTCTAAACAGTTACCTAGAGTATCAAATTCATGTATCAAACCCGTGATGACGAGTACACAGATGAAGTTGAGCCGAATACTTTAAGCTCTCGTGGGCACTGCTGACAAACGACAGGGAACCGACATCTGAATTTCGTCAAGCCTCTAAGAACCTAGGATTTATGCATTGGGAACGCCTTCTAAGGCTACTTTATGACATGAGAGTAAAACTCTGCGTGACGTCTTCCACTGAAGGTTCCAACGAGACATTGCCTCTTACTGGATCCTTGATGTCCACCACGAGTACGTTGTGGCCGTAAGAAACATCCTGGCTTATGACTATTTCGAACTCGTCGAACAGTTCGAACTGACTTTGTTGTAACACTCTTACAACTCTTGCAGTAGGGCTACCCACCATTGGCTCGCTAGTCGTACATGCTCCCCTCCATTCAGCCGCTGTGGTAATCTCTTCTGGAGACCAATTTTGAGTCTCGCGCTTAATGACATCTCCAACTTCGCCCAAAGAATATCCAGTAGGCAACACCACTATCCTTGCGACTATGTCTTTTGGAGAAAATGTATCGTCAATATGATGATATGCCGTGTTCAAGGCCTGTATGACTAATGCTAAATCTGGCAAGTCCGTTTGATGGAGACGCACGATGGTGGGACGGCTTAGCTTTTTGTACACGTCGAGTCGTGACATGCCCACCGGAGAACGAAACGGAGCGAATGCCCTGGGGTGGTTCAGTGGGAACATCTGTGTTGCGATGCGCCATTGTGGCAAAGTGCGGAGAACGAAACCTCTATTCCTGTGATTCCGTAAACGTTGTCGCCTTGAATCTTCCTCCTTAAACATGAGCATCAATTTTCTGCGTTTTGCTGCCCATACTGCTGTCTGGACAGGAAAGAGAAAGCTCGATACCCTGTAGCAAGGAATCCGCTTTTTCTCGACTCCGGACTCGTGGGCGGTTGGAGAAGGACTGGTGAAGGAGAGTGCAATGCATTCCAGGGGAAACTTCTCTCTTCTGCACTGTAGCGGTACCAACATGTCGAAACTCTTGACATCCTTAACCCTGAGAAACGAATTCCCATGTTCGGGACCTTTCCAGAATGGAGCGCTGACTGCGATGCCACCATGTTGAACCTGCAAGACCGTCTCGACTTGACGCGTTCTGAAAGTGATGATGTCGCCTGAATGTTCGAAATCCTCCGGAGAGTTGGCGAGGAGATCTACCTGGAACCCAAATTTCGGATTGTGGCGGTCGCGTATATCAATTTCCTGTAAGGCGGCCATCCGTCCCCAAGCGAGGATGGACTGGTCATCCACCTCACGTAGAATGGCTTCCTGGAGCCTTCTTAACGCTCTCTTGCCCTCTCCGTAGATCAGAGGCATATTGACTTGAAATAAACCAAGCAAACAGTATGCCATGTCTTCAACCCTGGTGGTATTCCTTTTTGCGGCCCAAGACATGCGCCGAGCTACACTGGCATCATTGATCGGCGTGTCTGTTTTCAAATAGATTTCGTCGATGCCAGTGATTGACGCAATATTGCTGCTGATCTGAGGTTTTGATGCGATAAGCCTCCAGTCAGATGAATAAAAGCTGACCGAACGTGGAGCCAAAAGTTCTTGAAGAGTCCATCCTCGAGTGAACCACCGACTGAGAGCCATCTCTCCGAAAAGCTCTTGAGAGCCTACTGGACGACAAGAGACATCGGAAAGATAGGCGATGCACCAAAATGATTTCTGATACCATTCGAACATAGAGTTGATAGATTCCGATAGCTCTGCGCTGCTAGACTTGTCGATACAGCAAGTGTCTATCCAAATCCAGTCGTAGCTGTACGTAAGGGCAATTTTGCAGGCGTTGGTGACCTTCTTCCACCCGGCCTTTTGCCTTGGATCACGATCAAGGTCTTCGAACAGAACTTCATCGGTCTCCCACGTATGCGACAGGATGGCGTAAACGGGTATGTTGCCGATGAATTCGGTAAGCCGTAGGGTTGACGTATTGAGTAACCTCATCTTGACAACAAAGCTGAAGATCTTGTCACGTTGATGATGCTGTCGATATGTGCGAACAGCTTCCTGGTGCATCAACTTCAACGAAGATGAAGAGAACACTGCGGAACATCGAGGTGGGCAGGTTTGACGACATGCGCGGGGTAGGGCCAGCCTGATCAGGACGTTGGCTGTAGACATCAGTCTTTTCCACTTGATCACTTTGCATGGCGCGGGTAAGCTGCAGCAACGAATCAGAACGTGTGGAAATACGGGCTTGGCAATCTAGAGACGTTGGCTGCCATGCACCTGTCCAAGGTCCCCCTCCACGAAACCTGCACACCATGTACCGTCAGCCCTTTACGACGACGCCTCCTCTCCCACGCTACTGACGTCTTGATCGCGACATGGGTCCGAACCGAACTTCACCGGAAACTGCCTGAAGGGGTCCCGGACGATTCTACCATCACGTCATCTCCTAATCCACCCACGATCAACGAAATCTCCAGAGACGCAGAAACGCCTAAAGCTGCTTTTTCGGGTGTGGTTAGGATTGGGTACTGATGATATCAAAGCCAGAGATACGGCGACTATGTTCGGAGCATAAACACCCTTCATTCTCCGTCCGGCAGAAGAGAAGTCTTGCTAGAGGTCCTCGTATTCAAGGTTTAATGCGTTGCGAATATCTCTATGTCAGATCAAGGCGGAAGATCGAACCTTCATGCTGGCTTAAGAGGATACCTAACATGCAATTGGATCCATAGACCCATGATATCAGCCAGATGAAGTGTGAATGGTGAGCAAATGCTAACCGATCCACGAATCTCCACCGCATCAAACCCAGTATATTATATACACTTAGCCCTTATCAATGTTCTACGGCTATGGCAGGTCATAGAGAGGTTGAGGGCATTCAAGGTGTTGAATCGGGCCGCCTGATGATCCATAGTCCAAGACTTCCTGCAACCGTCAAAACTTTACTCAGAGACATCGTTCGCGCCTATGTCACCGTTGGAAAGGCAATTTGATGTTTTAGCGGGACAAGACAAGTTCAATTCTACAAAACAAAGCTCTCTGGGTATCATCAACATCCAGTCATCAAGAGAGCAGTCTCTTCCCAGGAAGAATGCCTCCGAAAAAAGTACTTCAAGTCTGTTCCCACTTTCCTTGACTTGTGCAGTCACAGGAGCCCACAATCCATCGTTGCGTGTAAATGGAGTATACGATGCACCATACGGGGCGAAAGAGAGACCGCTGGCGTTGTCCTTGAAAAGTTTCCCTTCTCTGGAATAGGGTGCCAGTGACCTATCCGGTGCCACTGGCTCGCGACGATGCGGAAGCCCAGCATTACTTGCGAGCTGGTGGCTCGTCGTCGTGGTCGATAATGTCACTCTCATCCTTGTTGAAATTGGCATCGTTGAAATAAGACTCGATTCGATAGTCGATCCGAGGTGAGGAAGGCTCCGCACGTCAAATGTGTACTCGTTGGGTATGGCGAGATATCAATGACCAGAATAATAAGGGTAGCTGCATTGTATTGCGCGGCATATTGCATTTGGTGGGAAAGGCTCCGCGTATATGGAGGACTCTGTACACTGATCAGCAAGCATATTCGACTTCGATGGTGTAGACATTGACGGAAACCTGTCATTGGATTGTCGCTGCTTACCAAGTAGCATGCTGCAGATCATGGAGACTAGAGCCAAGGCCTTGTCCATGCTAACCGCGCCTGTCAAGGCGTCTTTCACCGCGTTGGTCGTGTCTCGAGCAGAAGTGCCTCTGGGATGCACCTCGCGAGTTTCAGGACTTGCTGGCTGACGTTGTCGTTCGGCAAATCACACACCTAAGGCATGGAAACCGCCTTTTCGTATCCAGCTAGCGTGAAGTTGCAATTGATGACCTTGTCTCTCATGTATGCATCAAAGTGTTGACGGAAGATCTCATAACGTTCGACCATGAACGGTGGTTTCAAGGCACGCCGAGCGAGGCATTTGTCAAGAAACTGCTGGTCAGAAGTTTCAATTGAGCTGGATGTGCATATGACCAGCACGTTGATAATGGCCTCCAGAGAGTCGAGTCCACGCACGTAGTCATCAAGGAGCGTTTGGGATTCGTGAGGTCGGCCGTGGCTGAAAGCCTCATCGACGTCATCCACGATGACTATGAAGTTGTGGTCCGATTTAGCAAGAGCGTTCCTGGCCAGAGCATCGAAGTCGAGCGTGCTGCTCGGGGTTGCGTGCTGAAGGTGAATCTTCTGGTAGCGCGTGTGAAGGAATATGGAGATCTTCTAAGCGAGGGCTCTGGCGAAGGTCGTATTGCCAGATTCCGATGGGCCCGTGAGAAGAATGGCAGTGTGTGATGGGTTTGAGGCTGCTCCGCGGGCGAGGTCAGTGAATATTACAGAACGGTGGAGAAGGAAACAAAAGTCTTACCTATATGCATAGCCCGTCGAAACAGCCAAGGCTTCAGATTACCGAGAACCAAGTTACATGTTGGTCAGGATTAGCAGCTAGGCAGAGAGCAACATGTTAATAACGGTATTCTGTAGGGTAGAGTTGGGTGTCGTACAGCTCCCAAAGACCGTCATAGTGTGAGCTGGGCAGAACGGTGACCGTGTCGTCGTCAGAGGTAGGACTGGCGCTGGGGTCAGAGGGCGAGTCGTCGAAGCCGTAAATGTTGATCTTGATGGTGACATCATGCACCGGGACATTGCGCTCAGAGGGAGCGAAGCCCTGTAACTCAACAACGCGCAACGACTCGAACATGTCGGGTACGCCTCGTTTTACTGACAGGTGGTTAGGAATGGGTATGAAGACGTCTGATGATTCACCAAACCTACTTATGGGGTTGTCGAGAAGATCGCTGTCGAGGGTAATGCTAGGACCAGTCTTGGATTCCGTTCGGCACCTCAGCTCACGCTCCAGTTGGGCGATGAGCTGGTAGGGAGTCAGCGTCGTGGTACGAGCAAAGACAGGTAGCGGGTATTGAAAGTTACCTGCTCGTAACCCCTTCTGGTATGGGAGGACTGTTGGAAGTGTGAGCGATGTTTTTTGTCGTCAATTGTGCATGAAGCAAGAGCACGTACGTCGGATTTCAATCGCGCCTCGACGAAGGCAATGCCCTTCCGAGGTTTCGGGACGACGACGAAGTCATCGGCCATCATGATTGTGTCTGGTGTGGCGCCAGGCAACGGCGAGTCAATGGCTAAAAGTATGTCGTTGGAGTCGTCAGCGAAGACGAGGGCGGAAGTAAGATCGCAACGGAGCAGATTGGAGACGTCGGTAACACGTGTTTGCGTGGTTATTTTGCGAGATGAGAATGAATTGCAGAGAATTTTGGAGGGGTAGACGGGACGGCCTTCAATTCAAGTTGTGGGCCGAAGAAAGCCGGAGAGGTAGCGTCGCAGCGAGGAAACGGCAGTGACAGTCTGCAGAAAGGTGCGAGGCGAAGGCCGCTGGAGGTCTGGCCAGAGTCCGGGGAATGACGGGAGGAGGCAGGTCCCAACCCGGTGAGCCGGTTAGCAGGAAGGAACCTAGCTAGGGAGGGAGGGAGCGGCAGGGAAGGGACGGACGGGAAGGAAAGCGCTGGGGAAAGCAGGGGTGACAGGGGGAAGGAGGGGCCTAGAGGGGACAATCCGCGGGGAAAGAGGGAAAGAGCAGGGGAAATTGGCGCCTCCCTTGGACATTTTTTACTTAATTAATAAATGGGAGGTTCCGGAGCCAGCAACGGCAGGTACCTTGAAGGTGAGGTAGGTAGGTAACTACTATTGTAGGTATGTAATGTACCTCAGCCAATACAGATCATTTGATAGGTAACAAAGGCGGAAGGAGACTTTCGATTGGCCCTCGATCCCTCGAACTTTGCTGAAAGTTTTCAACATTGGAAGGTACTGGCCAAGGTCGATCTCGGCCGAAGCCAAGATGATGCGCCATCTTCCATCTTATTCCTCTCTTTATTCACCAGTTGATGTATGGAAACAGAAAGAGAGCCAATGAGCGACCGGTCACATTCAAATCTGAGCTCTGAGCTACATGGTTTTTCGATTTCATCCTGGGCTCAACCGCGCCGGGCCGCAGCTCGGCACTCGACCTGCAACGCTGTTTCGGCTCAGTCTCATCATTCCCACGACGTTTTATTCGGCTTGCTGCCTGCAGGGTCCCTTTCTCGAGCCTGCAATTCATACTGACATTATTCCAGGGCATCAGCTACAAGCAATGGGACTGCGCATCGGCAGCATCTTACCCTCGCGATTTCAATGTCTTTTGGACTTGGTTCTGGGCGTGATGTCAGTCTGAACTCAGTCCCGCAAACGGCTGCAAGAGGACGCACAGGACACGCCAGGTGGCTGGCGACGGTGATGCCTCTCCTCTTTGTCCACGCCGCCACGCTTCTCCAGGCAGCCCGGGATGAACGAAACTAGGGTAGTCCTTCGTGGACATTGAACACCAAACTAACGCAACAGGCGACCATGTTGGAGATCAAGCAACAGCACAGGGCAGAATGCAAACATTTAATGTCGGTGCGTCGGCGGTCCGCGGCATCAGAGCCCCGGAACCTCCCAACTTTTGAGGCGACGTCGTTGGTCATCCCAAGTCTGATTCCACCGTAGAGTTCAACTGTGCCTGCGTGCTTCCAAATGGTCAAACCGAGATCATGGGAATTGCCACCACGAGGCTGTCTTCGGTGTCGATGGCCAACACCGACCTCGGCAGGAGGCCCGAACATCGAAAGAGCTCCATCAAAATAGGGCTGAGTGGCTGGGAGACGTCCTGCACGCTGCCTTTGGAGGCTGGGCCTGGCCTCTTCACGTTTTTTGGGAAGACTGTTTGGTATGTGCAAGCTAAACCGATAAATCCTGAGCTGAATCGGGTTCGCTTTTCTTTTCATGATCAAATGTTGATAATTTCAACTTGGCTCATTTGGCTCGTGGATCCAAGTCTGAGCTGTGGGCATCAGGCAGAGGTGATAACCCAAAAGACCAATCGAGAGAAGTTAATCACCTGCATGGAGGCTCTGGAAAACCTGGTGAAGAGTTGGAAGATACCTCTCATTGATCTGACTACATATCAGATACGAAGATTACTATTGTGGTGGTGAAAAATTCGTCGTGTCTGCAAATTCCGGAAATGACACTTGAGGAATTGGGCGGCCGGCCTTCACGTGTCTTGGTGGCCGTTGCGGTGATTACATAACCGAACGGTCATTCTCCAGCTGCATCATCACGTCAGAGGTTCAGACGAAGTGGAGACCTTCCTTCCATTCTCGCGCCTTGACACTGGAGCTCCAGCTTCAGTTTCAACCCACTTCACGTCCAGCTCCCACCAACAGCATCTCCAGAATCCATCGAGCAGTCCTTGGCCGCTTGTCAGCTGCATCTACACCGCCAACCTCTTCAACAAACCACCGACACCGTCTCGAAACTATGCCGCACGCGAAATGGACGCGCTGATACTAAATTCGACCGATCGGTGTGATAACCGTAATGTCACCGAAGCCATCAAACCAAACACCCGCGCTGTCGTCGTGCAGCTGGCTCTGTCCTTGATTCTCGGTGTCTCGGCTTTCATCGCATTCTGCATCCTCCGTCCACGATGGCCTACACTTTACGCGGCGCGCAAGCGTCGACTCAACCCGAAAGTCGGGCTCCCGACGCTTCCCAACACCTTCTGGGGATGGATTCCGGCCCTGTATCGCGTGACGGAAGAGCAGGTCCTCGCCTCCGCTGGGCTTGACGCCTTTGTCGTATGTGCTGCATGATTCGCCCTGCACCAGGTCGCGTTACTGACTTTTGCAGTTCCTCTCCTTCTTCAGGATGGCCATTCGAATCCTCGTCACCATGGCCCTGCTTGCTCTCATCGTCCTCTTACCCGTCAACCTTCGATTCAAGCCCGACGATTTCCCTAAACCCAGGTTTGACAGCCTCGACTGGCTGATGTCAATGCCTTACCATGCCTCGGACGGCGCCGCATACATTTCCGAGGGCAAGGGTGGTGGCGACGACGACGACACCAAAGACCCCGACCGCAGCTACCTCTGGGCATGGCTAGTCTTTGTGTACATCTTTTCTGGGCTTACCCTGTACGTTCTGAACAAGGAGACCTTCAGGGTGATTCATATTCGCCAGGAATACCTGGGTACTCAGTCGACTATCACGGACAGAACCTTCCGCCTATCAGGCATTCCTCAGAAGATGCGATCTGAAGACAAGATCAAACACCTGATTGAAAAACTCGACATCGGCCGAGTGGAGAGCGTCAGCCTTGTTCGCGATTGGAGACAAATCGACAGCTTAATGGCGCAACGGGCCCAGGTGTTGGCGAAGTTGGAAGAAAGTTGGAGCGTGTTCTTGGGGAAACAGTCTGCTCTGCCCAAGTCGGTTCAACGCCTCCGAGATCCAAATGCCGAGCCATCCGTCCTGGAACCTCGGGAGGACGAGGTTGACACCGAAGCTGGAGAGAACGGCCGACTCCTAGGTCACGGCGAACTTCAACCCGAGCTTGCCGAGCGACAGCGCCCAAAGGTCCGGCTCTGGTACGGCTTCCTTAACCTGCAGAGTCGCAAGGTGGACGCTATCGATTACTTCGAGGAAAAGCTCCGCCGGCTTGACGAGGTCATCTACGAGGCCAGAGAGAAGGACTACACGCCGACCGATCAGGCCTTTGTCACGATGGACTCCATTACGGCCTGCCAGATGGCGATCCAAGCCCGTATCGATCCTCGGCCTGGTCAGTTCCTCACCAAACCCGCACCCGCTCCTTCAGACATCATGTGGGCCAACACGTACGCACCTCGAGGTGTCCGTAGGCTGCGGTCGTGGACAGTCACAACTTTTGTTGCAGCTCTCTCCATTCTGTGGATTGCAATCCTGGCAGCCATTGCAGGTCTCCTCAGCGTCTGCAACTTTCAGCAATGGTTCCCCTCGGTGGTCGACTTTCTTAAGAACTTTCCCACCATCAAGGACCTGATTGAAACATCGCTAACGACGGTGCTCGTTTCCTTGCTCAACGTTGCAGTGCCGTACTTGTACGACTACCTCTCTTACCAGCAGGGCATGATTTCCAAGGGCGATGTGGAGTTGTCCATCATCTCGAAGAACTTCTTTTTCACGTTTGTCAACATTTTCCTCGTCTTTGCCGTCTCGGGCACTGCGCTCAGCGTGTTCAAGATCATTAAGGACTTCCAGGATTCCTGGGGCAGCACACAGAAGTTGGCGCGATTGATCGGATCCCAGATTGAAGCCTTGGGTCTTTTCTATGCCAACTTCATCATGCTCCAGGGCCTCGGTCTGTTCCCCTTCAGACTGCTGGAGTTTGGCAGCGTTTTTCTGTACCCGATCTACCGCATGGGTGCCAAGACCCCGCGAGACTTTGCAGAGATTATGGAACCTCCAGTTTTCAGCTACGGCTTCTACCTGCCGACGGCGTTGTTGATCTTCATGCTCTGTCAGATCTACAGTACGCTGCCGTTCGGAGTTCTCATCCTGCCGCTGGGAGTCATCTACTTCACCTTCGGCTACTTCACCTACAAATACCAGCTGCTGTATGCCATGGATCAGCCGCAGCACGCGACCGGAGCGGCTTGGAGAACTATTTCGTACCGCATCGTGCTGGGTCTGGTCGTTTCCGAGATCGTCTTGTCCAGCGTCATGGCGCTCCAGACTGGGTTTGTGCAGTCGGTGCTGGTGCTGCCGCTCGTCGTCTTTACGGTTTGGTACATGTTCTACTTCAGACGCCGATTCGAGCCTTTAACGCGCTTCATCTCGTTGCGCAGCATCCGGGCTGAGATTGATGCCGAGGATGCCATCATCTTCGACGAAGACTTTGAGGGGCCCAGGCCTTCCCAAGGTCTGCTGAGACGTGGCAGCACTGTCGACGAGGACAAGGAGAAGGGCATGAAGTTTATGAACCCCAGCCTCACCGCGCGGTATGTCCTGGTCTCCTCTTCACTTTGAATCTGTACTAACCTTGCATAGACTTGAAAAACCGTGGATCTACCAAGACCCTCCTCCGGCCGAGGATTCGGAAGAAGAGAGCGGGCCTGAGCAGCAAAGCCAGGAAAGGCCGAGTGCGCCCGCGAATACTGCCTCGGGCGCATCCGATAGCTCAATGAGCCTGGGCGACACGCACATCTGGCGCCAGCAAGCCGACAGCAGCAACCGTTGAAGCTGTAGCGTTGGATAGCTGCCTCAATGTAGCAGCTGTAGATATTATTCTCAGTGTAAATGGGACCGGAATGTGTTGATGAATGGAGCAACGGCGGTGGGTATTAGCGGGGATAACAGTACTATACCACTTTGGAGTTTGGAATGGCCTTAATTTGCACGGGTAATGATACGAGTAACTTGGTGAGAAAGGATAAAATGAAAGAATCATCACCAACATTTGATCTAGTTCTTTCTCACCTACGCTGTTGTCAGTTGTGACGAAGTCGCTTACCGGGGCTTCCCCTGATGATCCAGGGCGGGCAGGCGGTCAGCTCCCTGTTTCGGTTAGCGAGGTGCCCAAGCTCCAGGAGAATGGAAGGCATGGCGGGTAGCTCCTCCACGTCATTCAGCACATTTCGTTGGTTCCCTCCATGAACAGGTGCTAATAATTGCGGTATCACAAGAGGCAGAATGCGGAAGGGAAGGCGGCCATCTCCAAGCCAAGGCTGACACCCGACCTGGAAGGAGGGGACAAGCCTTGGCTGAAGGTGCTTCCATTGCCTACCGCCTGAAAATTCCCTCGACCGACCTCCTCCTTGACCACAATCCTCTCCATCTTCACCACTCCGTTCTTCTTCCACCTTGGTCTTTTGGGTTCCTTATCATCTCAATCCATCAACCAGCAGCATCTTCTTGTTCAATTGCATCATTACTGCCCATCAATCAATCGCCCATCATGAAGCTCGCCGTCTTCAGCTCCAAGGCCTACGACAAGAAGTACCTCAACGCCGAGTACGAGGCCAAGCAGGGCAAGCTCGCCAAGCACATTGCGGGCGACTTCGAAATCATCTTCCACGACTTCTCCCTCTCTCCCGATACCGTCTCCCTCGTCAAGAACGTTGACGCCGTCTGCGTCTTCGTCAACGACGTCCTCACCGCTGACGTGCTCCACGAGCTGCACAAGGTGGGCGTCAAGGCAGTCCTGCTTCGATGTGCGGGTTTCAACAACGTCGACCTTAAGGCGGCCGAAAAACTCTCAATCTTTGTCGCCAACGTCCCCTCCTACTCCCCCGAGGCCGTCGCCGAGTTCGCCGTCTCTCTCCTGCAGACCCTCAACCGACGCACCCACCGAGCCTACAACCGTACCCGCGAGGGCAACTTTAATCTGGATGGACTCCTGGGAAAGACCGTACACGGCAAGACTGTCGGTATCATCGGCACCGGACGTATCGGTGTCTCCATGGCTCGCATCATGAAGGGCTTTGGTTGCACCTTGTACGCGTTTGACCCCTTTGAGTCGGATGCCTTCAGGGAGCTCGGAGAGTACTTGCCCCTCGAGGAGCTCCTGCCCAAGTGCGACTTCATCAGCTTGCACTGCCCGCTGATGGAAAAGACGAAGCACATCATCAACGAGAGGACGCTGAAGATGATGAAGCCCGGCTGCATGCTGGTCAACACGTCGCGAGGCGGGCTGATTGACACTAAGGCCGTCACCCATGCCCTGAAGAGTAAGCATCTCGGCGGCCTGGCGTTGGACGTGTACGAGGGCGAGGGGGACCTCTTCTACAACGACCACTCGGGACACATCATTGACGACGACGTCCTCACGCGCTTGATGACCTTCCCCAACGTGCTCATCTGCGGCCACCAGGGCTTCTTCACCGAAGAGGCGTTGCAGGAGATCTCCGAGTGCACCTTCCGCAACCTCGAGGACTTCATGCTGGGTCGCAGGTGCCAGAACTCGCTTGTCAAGGAGGAGTTTGTCATGTCTCGCAGAGATTCTCTGCCGGTGCGTATTGTCTAGGCTGTCGTTGTCGTTAGCTTGGGCTTGGTGGGAAACGAAACACCTGGGATTGATGATTGATGGATACCCTACTTCTCGACTGGCTGGGGACAAATAGGTAGTTATGGATCACGACTTACGAATTGTGTTACATGGCACTTGGTCTCCAACACCGAGCATTCCGAACTCCGTCTAGGTGATTATGATTTCAATTTTCGTCAAAATTATCTACGGCATTGCCGTCTATATGTCTAATGGTCTAGTATGCCGGCCGACTCCTGGATTCCCCCACCCAACGCCAATCATTACGCCAAATGAACCACATATGATGCTCAACTGACCATGGAATCCAAAGAAAATGGCCGATTTCTCGACAGAGCTGCCGAAGGCAGTGTCAATGCCCGAATGACATCGGTCTAGAAGATCGGACTCGCTTACGCGGGCTCGAAAGTGCGGGTAGGCGCCAGCGCGTTCTTCTGCGGCTTCGCCTTCTCCACATCGGACCCAGACGATGCCTGCTCGTCCTCCCCGGAGTAGGCATACTTGCTCCTCTCGCGGATCTTGGCGCCGTACACCCAGAACAGGAAGGGGATGGCGCAGCACGCGAGGCCGATGAAGGCGAGCAGGGTGGAGGCCCACTGGTCGCCGAGGCGGTCGTACATCTGCTCGGTGAAGAGGACGACGGCGGCGCCCCAGAAGGAGCGGATGCAGGTCTTGGCGGCGAGGGCGGAGGCGGCCTGGTGCTGGTACGAGTCGACGAGGTAGTTGTTGGCCGAGTTGTAGAGGAAGATGAAGCCGAAGCCGACGGGGAAGCCGCCGAAGGCGGGCCCGGCCCAGTGCAGGTCCGGGTAGGAGGTCCAGGCGAAGATGAAGAGGCCGACGGGGATGAACCAGCAGGAGAGCATCATGGGGATGAGGCGGATCTCGGCGGGGGGGTTGCCGTTGTGGCGGGCGACCATCTTGAGGTAGTGCCTGTTGACCCAGGGGGAGCACATGGCGGACATGACGACGCCGACGGCGAGGGGGATGAACATGAGGCCGGTGGAGGAGGCGGAGTAGCCCTTGCGCTTCTGGTAGATGATGGGGAAGGCGACGAAGAACATGTAGAGGAGGCCGTAGAGGACGGACATGTAGATGGAGATGAGGAAGACGATGAGCTCGCGGAAGAGGAGCTGGAAGGGGCGGACGAGGAAGATGCCGAGGCGCTCGGAGAGGGGCCGCATGTCGATGTCCTGCTCGGTGACGTGGGAGGGGTCGGCGGTGGTCTTGCGGAGGGCGGCGGCGCGGCGGGAGAGGATGGTGGGCGCGTAGGTCTCGGGCACGGTGAAGGTGATGAGGACCCAGACGACGAAGGCGAGGATGAGCTGGATCCAGTAGAGCCAGCGCCAGCCCGTCGCGTCGGAGAGGAAGCCGCCTACGAGGGGACCGACTGGGACGTGTTATTTATCGCGGTGTTGAGGGGGAGAGGAAGGGGGTAGAACGTACTGGCTGGTCCGATGAAGGGGGCGGCGGAGAATGCGGCCATGGGGACGCCGCGCTCCTCGTTACGCCAGAGGTCTGCGAGGGTGCCGCCGACGAGGGTCATGGGCGCGGAGAAGGCGATGCCGTCGATGGCGCGGCACACGAGCAGAGTCGCGAGGTTCTTCGCGACGGCGCAGGGGATGATGAAGACCACAGCGACGAGCAGCGTCGAGCCGTAGATGACCTGTCTGCCGTAGACCTCGGAGAGGGGAGCGAAAAACATGGGGCCGATTCCTAGGTACGTTAATCAGTGCTTTGCTCTCCATTTGTTGAATTACCCTGGACTTACCGAAGCCGATGACGAAGACGGAGATGCTGACGAGGGCGGCCTCCTCGGAGACGCCGAACTCGGAGGCGACGCCGGCGATGTCGGCGGTGATGACGGAGGAGCAGAAGGCGACGACGAAGCAGGTCAGCGCGACGACCATGGTGCAGTACCACTTGTAGGCCTTTGACCAGTTCTTTGGGTTCTGGGGGTCTCCCGGGGTGAAGGTGACGAGTTTGTAGTTGGAGGCCGGGCCGTCGCCGGCGGGCGGGCCGGGGATCTGGCCATCGCGGGTCTCGACGCGGTACTCGTCTAGGTTGGCGTTGGGGGAGAGGGTGCGGTAGGGGAGGTTGAGGTCGAGGTCCGGGTCGGCGACTTGTTCTTTTGTGGTGACGGGGTGGAGGACGTTTGAGGCGATGGAGGAGCGGCGGTTCGCTGCTGCTGTGTTTGTGTTTGTGGTTGTCGTGGGTGAGGAGGTGTGGTTTGTGATGGAGGCGTATTGGGGTGAGGAGGAGGAGGCGGAGCCCGGGGGGAGGGTGTGCGAGGACGAGGACGTCCGTGATGGGTTTTCCATCTTTGGTTGGTTTGTGGGAATAGAGTGTTTAAGAGTATGTTTGTATTTCTAGTGGGAAACGAGAAAAGGGATGGCTGTAATGAGAGACTAGTATGGAGGGTGTAGACCCGGGACGTTTACATTGAGCTCGAGGAGCAGAAACCAATCTTTCCATATTTCCGCGGAGGGGGATTGCCGCGTATTTATATCCTCTCTTCTGGGACGCACGAAAACTTGAGTCACATTTTACTTACTTTACTCCTGGTAAGTGTTGCTCCCAGGCGACAGACAGAAACGCGACAGGGCCTGGGATCCGGTCGCAATTCGGGCTATGGGGGTGGGAAATCGGCGCGGCGTTCGGGGTATCCACCGGGGGTGGGTACCCGCTTTTCCCGTCCGACGGTGCGATTTGTTTGGTCGGGCGGGTGTTCTCGTGAGAGTGAGGTATTCTAGACAGAAGGGGGTGTGTGTGTGTGTGTGTGTGTCTGCTTTGGAAAAAGGGCCTGGAAGCGATGGGAATAACTACCTAGATTACCAGACGTGGCCCGTGAGTCGTTCATGTGGGATTTTTCCAAGTCAGGTTTTTACGCTGATGGCGAATTCCCCACTGGTGTCTACCAACTTTGGTCATGTAACCGTACCGTCGCCGTGGGTTTTGCTGCGAGAACGGAGGCCGAGGGTGCTAATGTTGCGGTGATCGCTGAGATACGGGAGATGTGAATGCAGTCTCTATTGTCAGATTTCTCGTTGGTTGGAGCGATTGAGATGGAGGTTTGGGATGCAATAACACATCTCGCAGCTGTCATCAAAGAACAGGGGAGAGGGGTGAAGAAGACTGCATCACGAATACGTACCGGAAAACGTGTCGGGCACGTTTGACGTCTCGACATGGCGGTGCGACGCCAGAGGTGAAGCTATTCCCGGCTCGGGAAGGACAAATTTCCCTCTTTGGACTTTTTCTGAAGAAGCTTCGTTCGTGATGTGAGTTCTTGGTCCAATCGCGTCGTTTCCCAGGCCGATGCAATGCACGCGCATGGATGACATTTCTACCTCTTGGCGCGTTGTTTTTTCTCGTGAGAGTCCTTGCGGCTCTGTCCGGCGATGGCGCTGACGGGGTGTATGAGACTGCTGTGAGAGAGCCCAGGCAATCCAGGAGGGAGAACGGGTCTGGGAATAAGAGGAAATGACTTTTGGGCGTCTTGGCGGTGCTTAGTTCACTTGGTCGACAAGGGGTCCTTGGTGTGTTTTTCTGAGGGCTCCATCTCAGGGCTGAACAGGGGGGAGAATTCTCGGGATGTGTTCGGGGTGTCGTCATGTTTTTTCTCTCGTTGACATTTTCTCTGCGACGCGTTTCCCCAGTTCTCTCTCACAAGGGATCGTCCTGTTGATGTGATTTTCTCCTGTATTCTCCATGATGTTTCGACTCACCTTCCGTCCGAACTTTGGAAAGGCTATTCTAGCTCCATGTTTGGGGTTGAAGGACGAGTTTCTGGGATGTTGCTGTGTGCGTCGGTTGAACGCAGAGGCCTGGCCCCCTTTCGTCCGGGACGCACGGATCCGCAGAAGCCCGGCGACGACGGGACCCACTGCGGAGACCCGGTTCGGAGGGGGACCCACCGCCGGCCGCAGAGATTTCGTTACCCTGGTTTCTTGTGCGGCGAGAGACGCATTTGACTTGTTTTCTCGCGGCATTTTCCGTCCTGCTGGGTTGGTACTACTACGGATCTTGACTGATTTGTTTATTCCCATGCCAAGCTTGCTTTCGAGGCTGTCAAGCCGAGTCAAGTGTACAGATAAGCAACCCGCGCCGACGCTACCTTAGCGAGGACGGGCGCGGTAGGTGGAGTCGGAGCAAAAAGGTTTTCCAGGATGTTTAGATTGCGCTGCGGTTTGTGATTATTCCCGGAGCACTGGTGCGGAGTCTGGCTTTCGTCCGACTGCTGTACCGTTATCAGCGAGCTTTAACCTCGGTGTTCGTTGATAGCCAGAAGCGTGTTGGGCGTGTTGACGCGACTGCGTATGTGTGTGCACCTTGAGACGCCGCTGGATCCAGTTGTCCACCCCACCGTGTATCCCTTCTCTCACGAGGAAAGACAGAGGTTAATAAGAGGGGTTTGATCAGTCAGGGGAGACGTTTTACCATTGCACCGATATCGCATGTGGGAGCCTAGCAGACGAGTACAATGCAAGAGAAAGCTTGTGGTGGATAAAGAGACTGTCGCTTCTGTCGTCCTGCTGTCAAGGGGCGCGATGACAGAGTATCTTACGATGACATGGGTCTTTGGATGCACCCTGCGAGATGAGCCGAGATGGTGGGAGTCAGTCGAGTAGAGTACGTAGAAGGGTGTGTCTTGAGTGAGCAAGCGAGTGGATGGCGCGGGATAGTTCGCAATAGAGGGTTACGCGGGCTTGGGTTTACTGCAATTGATGCCCAAGAACCAAACCGTCGTCGCGGATATCGATCATCCAAGAATTCTCGGTCATGGGTGCTGACGTTTTTGGTTTGGCAGTTGGTCGACCAGCGGCCAGGTGGGGCCATTCTTAAAAGTCGGAGCTCGCGACTTTGCGATCCCCGCGTTTGCGGCCTCGTGGTCGGCGTTGGTCGTGCCGCTGGCCACCCCCGGGATCTGAGAGGATTTATCTTTCGGGTAATGCCCAGACGGGCTGATGCGGGAAGCGGCTTGGCTCTGTCACCTTTTCGAGACGTTCGACCAGTCAAGCTTACTCTCTCCTTGCCAGCGCCAAGTTTCTGGAGGAACATCGTCGAATCGATCAGCACTGATCTCGCACTAGGCCTATCCGAGTGACTCGAAAGAGCCGACAGTCGCCAACAACGGTCTTAACGCTATTTCTGTCGCTGTCGCGAGCGACCGACGGCGAAATTGTTCCGTCTTTCGAAGCTACCAACATCGCGGCTCGCCTGTCCGCTTGTCCCGACATGGAAGTGCCGATTATCTCTGCCGCCGTGAGATCGCGCTAGGTCGGAAGCTCGAGAGCGCCAGCACAACCGAGCAAAGGGAAGCAGGTCTCTCTGCGCTCTCTCACAGGTGTTGAGGTCGAGTTCTCCTCACGGAAATCGAATGGTACTTCCGCGTTCGCGAAGCGTCATCGGCCTGGTAGCTGCTGCCGTTGATGAAAGAAGCAAATAAGAGTGGCCTGAGTCGTAGACCTTCCATCTGCGGGGCCCCCAAGTTCAGCTTGGTAATCCGACAGCGATGAGTATGAATGCGTGCTGATTAGACCCTGCGGCAGAACTTCCGGGTGACGGCGGGAATTACGGCCCCGCTCTCGCCGTTCTCCGGGCCGAAGTGGGCCGACTCATCGGCGATGACGGCCAGGACGCAGCAAAGGTTCAGGAGACGATGCAAAAAGACGAAAGCTTCCAAGATTGAAATGGAAAAGTCGCTGCACTTCCTGTCGTAATCTCTGACTGAAATATGCGGCAGTCGCGACCCTTAACAGCTGCCTTGGGTAAGTTGATTTCCATCGGGGAGGGGAAGGAAAGGTCATGCTTTTCCCTGGCCTGCTTACTTTACTTGCAATTCAACGAGGAATCTCTGAAGGAACCAGCATGTCTCTTTCCCAAACTTCTGGGAGGTGGTATACGGTCAGTAATTTCCTCTCGTGCAACAGAATCCAGCATTACCTTAACCTCCCATCTTCATCCCCCAACTATCGTTGCTGGACCGGCATCGTCAATCAGATCCATCCCATACATCAGCAACAACATTCTTTCCTTTGTATGAGCTTATACAAGAAGCTTCGGTTATACTTTGCTGGATTCGCTTTGCCGTTTTCCCCCATCCACAGCACCATTCTCACGGAAGCCATGACGGCCGACGTGCTGCGCGTCCGAGGCCACACCCACAGCTTATCGGCGCCGCCTTCGATGCGACTTCCAGTCGAACTGATCCATCAGATATACGATTTTCTTCATCCTTTCGAGTTCAACTCCGCCAGACATGTCTGTAGATCATGGTTCAGGGCAAGCCTAAACCGATCCGTTCTAATCGCAATGCTAAGGAGGGGTGGATGGTGGTCAAGCGTCCATTCCATCCTCGGCTTCGACCTCCCTCCTTCCCAGCGACCACAGATACCCAACGAAGAATGGATCATGTCGAAGTGGCTGGCGAGGGAGTGCAGACTAGGGACACATTACTTCGGTTCGAAGTCAGCCTTCGTCGAGATCGGGCGGACGCAATTCGCTAGCTTAGGAATTGGCTATGCCGTTCCCGGGCTTCATGCCGCGACCTACGGCTTGACTACCAGTATTTGCGGCAAATTTCTCATGGTCAAATACGGGCGCCTCCTGTATATCTACGAACTGAATCACAAATGTGGCACGCTTCAGCAAAGTCTGCCTGTCTCTCCACGCGGGGAGAGCACCCAACATCCCACAGGCCTCCTTCGACCGGTGACGCGGATAGTCTGCCCATACAATATTGAGGCATGTGCGATGGATACGTCACTAGGGCGGCACACGGTTGCCATTCTTCTAGAGGGCCGGAAGGGCATTGTTTGCAATATCTCAAACCACAGCGTCTCGGCCAGAAATACGATCACGCCTCCTACACCTGGGTCGAAACCAGCTCCCCAAGGCGACGCGAGACATGAGGAGTGGTCCGCACAGGAACCTTGCATCTGTCAAAGATACCCAGTCTAGCAGACGCCTCCCCTTGAAAGTGGACCAAGAGACATGTATCAAAACGTCTGCCGTGCCGACGATCGACCTCGTTCTGTCGCCATTTGCCCCCACCGCGAATGCGTCGCCTTCGGTTGTGCATCCGCGATTGGTCTTTTCTGGTTCGACGATACTACAGGGCAAACCTTCTCGCGCAGTTTCCCGCTGTCTACGCCTGGCGACTTTCTTTACTTCTTACCACCTCGACCCGTTGTCGACACGACAAACAAGCTTCGGCTTCTTAGCTCTGCCGCTTCACTCAATCCCGAGTCATTTCTATCGCATGAGATTCTCGGTGCCTTTGCACAGCCTGTGGGAGGCCATCTTCAACAAATCCCAGCGGTAATCTCACGCCTCGAGACTTCTGCTGGCGGGACTGGGCCAGAGATTTCCAGCGTCTACACGCTCATAGAAGAGCCGACTGCCTTTGCGAATCGGCTTTCGGCGCATCATGAGTGGGTTAGAGGTTCGAACATACCACTCAGGTCAGCCTCTGCGACATCTTCCGAAAACTACCGAGCCGTTCCTCTCGGTGACGGCTATCACATTATCTTCAATGATCCCCAAACAGGGCATCTTTGCCTCGGCAAGGATGCGCCCATGGGCCCCATGTCTCGTCTCCAGCGAAAAGTTCAATTTCGAGCACCCGCAACAGCCAGTTCAACTGCACCCACTGCATTTGCTGTGGGAAAAGATTTGAGAGATGGCGTCCGCGTCGTCGCCGTGTTCCCAACTACAACATGGGTCGAAGGAGTTGGTTTTGAGTTCTGGAGGCAGCTTCTAGTCTTCTACACTATACCGCCAGATATGTTCCAGGACATATCCTTCTTCGAAAGTTTTGAAGAATTAGACCGACCTGTGGCAGACTGGATCTGGTGGTGGCAGCCGGTGAACACTCTTCGAGCGTTTGCAGCGGCTCACAACAGCGGACATCCGAGCCTTGACTTTCTTATCGGTCCTTCGTATCCCCTCGACGTTCACTGCCAAGTCATTGCGGCATGTTCCGGTGTCACTGAGCTTTCCTTGGATGTCGACCTCGACATCATCATCTGGGCCTTCAGCACCGCAGGTTGGGGACGCTGCTGGGCTCTCGACACTGGCAAGGCGGTACCGATAGTTCAATCCGCAATTCAGATGGACGGCAGTCTGCGCCCGATGGACCTTGAAGGAGACCTGATGATGCCGGACGCTGAGGATGACAGTCTACGCGCGATAGACTTTGAGGGAGACACGCTGATGCCAGACGCCGAGGATTTTTTTTAACAAGCTAGCGACGCAGCAGCACGTGTCCGTGACTGTGCCGTCAAACCCATTTAGGCACGTCCTGCACTCAGCATGCCGTCCAGGAACGAGTTTTAATACTGGACTACTGACATTGGACAGCGGTTGTGAGAACAGAGCAAACATTGTTAGCCTGGTGGAGAACCTACAAGTCATTACGAGACTTAACACCGAGATTCTTCAAGGCTTGGACGGCAGCTCGGGCCGGGCAGGATGGCACGGAAACATTACATGGCAAGGAGAATGATTAATAACATCAGTCATAGCATCAATAACTTACTTCTACGCTGGGTCCCCACATCTCAGAGTCCTCTTGAAGTATCCGTACCAGATGCTTGATAATGGATAATTCCTTAGCGTTGGTTGTTCACTCTCGATCTATCGTCTATATACTCCTTGTATCGTGTAATCCTTCTTCGGCCCGGTGACCGTGTATTCTATGTTCCATTCCTTCAGGTTGACAGCCTTGAAAATGAAGTCATAGTTGACGTTGTAGTAATCATCGATGCAGAGATGTCCCGCCTTGGCCTTCCATCCCTTGTCGTCACCTTCGGGAGGCTGGCTGAATTCGATCTCGTGGAATAAATAATCAGCCTTCTTGGCATCGTCCGTCTTGACGAACCACACGCTGACGCAGTCCTTCTTCTCATCATACCTCCAGACGTAGCGTCGCGTAGCGCGGAACACGAGCCCGTTGGCCGCGCGGAACTCGCCGTCCTCAATGTAGAGGTACTCCGTCGCCAGACCCTCGTCCGCGGGATCCTCGCCCGCCGGCGCCGTGCCCGAGACGCACTTCAGCCCGTCGGAGGTCCTGTCGCGGAGGAGGAACTGCGCTTTCCCGCTGAAGTGCCCGCTCGGGTGCGTGGGCAGCCTGCTCGTCAGGTCCCGCTCCAGGTTCCACGTCCCCAGCAGGCTGCGGAAGACGGCCTTGGCCGCGAAGCGCGGGGTGGTCAGGCCCGCGATGGCGGTGTCGCGGGTCGTCGCGAGCGACGTCGCGGCCTGTTCTCTGGCGGCGTCATCGGCGAGAGGGGAGAGGTAGCGCGCGGGCGTGAGGATGTCCATCGGTTTGCTGTTGTGCGGCAGGACGGGCGTCGGCGGGTCCGGGAAGGGGTTGATGGGGATCCCCAGCGCCGAGGAGAATTCCTGCATCAGGTACGCGTAGTCGCCCATGGGGAACTGCGACGCGCGGGGGTCGTCGCGGAGGGAGACGGTGCGCCAGTCGGAGGCGTCGTCGAGGAGGGCGTCCGCGAGCTTGGGCGGGCGCGGGGCGAGGGAGGACGGGGTCCAGAGGGCCGCGAGGAAGCGGGCCTGCATCTCCATCACGCCCCAGTAGGGCGACCTGTAGAAGCCGACGAAGCCGAGGGTCGGGAGGTCCTTGACGTGGGTGCCGTGGAAGGCGAGGGCGAGGGGCAGGTCGCGGTGTTGGGGGGAGTGTTGGAGGGTCTCGAGGACGGAGGGTGGCAGGAAGGAGAGGCACGGGGACGGGTCGAAGCCCGTGGCGAGGATGACGGCCGCGACGTCTTCTACGGGGTTCGTTGTTGTGGATGCGGTGTTGGAGGTGACCGAGGTGAGTTTGCCGTTGGAGACGGTGATGAGGCCGGAGCGGACGAGTTCCATGTAGTTCTCGCTCACGGCGAGGTAGGCGGGGTCGGAGTGGTGGTCGGGGGTGACGGCGACGGTCGGGGAGAAGGAGGATTGGTCTTCGCCGAGGGACGCGGTGTAGATGCCGTGGGTTAGCTTCGCGGCTTCGGGTGTGATGTGGCCTTGGCTGTTCTGGAGCGGCTGAGGGCGGTTGGCGAGGTTGTAGGACGGGAGGTCCAAGGGGAGAAAAGGGGCTGCTGCCGAGCCGGGCTGGAGGACGTTAGTTATTTGTTATGTGTTGATGGTGATGCTGTGCGTTACCTTTGGGGTGGTGTAGAGTGGGAATACCCAGACTGGACGCTGGATGAGGTGGTGAACCGAGAGTTTGTCTGCGTTTGGCACCGGTACCGGGTCGGGTGAGTTGACGGCCGCGGAGAGGTGAGTCGCGATGGTGCCGGATATCTCGACGCCCGACATCTGGCCTCCTACGACCAAGATCTTCCCGCCATTCTTAACGCCATCCGGGAACAGGCTTTGAAGATCGCGGTACTTGCTGCTGTGAATCACAGGCACGTCCGTCTTCCCAGCCACATCCGGCACGATAGGCTTCCCGAAGAATCCAGACGAGATGAGCAGGTAATCGAACACGCTCGTCTCCTCTCCAGCATCAGACTTCACAGTAACGCTCCACGTCCCGTCGCCGGCCAGATCGGTCTTCACGACGCGGTGACCGAGCTTCACCTCGGCGCCCTTGTAGCGCTCGAGGTACCGCTCGAGGTAGCGGCCGATCATCCAGGCGCGGGGGAACTCGGGATCGTCGGGGCTCCAGGCGTGGTCGCTGAACTGGACGGTGTGCTTGCTCTGGTTCGCGACCATGAGCGGGTGGACGAGGCCGTCGGAGTCATCGCGGCGGGTGGGCCAGAGGCCGCCGATGCGCTTCTGGGCGTCGTATACGGTGACGGTGAAGGCGCCCGCTGGCGCGTTGTGGAGGAGGGTCTTGGCGGCGACGAGGCCGGATGGGCCGGCGCCTGGGAACGGGGGGTTGGTTAGAGATCGGCCCGGCCGGGGGTTGGATCGGAACGGAAGAGTGAGCTCCGGGGAAGGGGGGTTCAGGTACCGACGATGCATACACGCTTGGCCATTGTTGAGGCTGTGAGCAGGGGATGAGGGTGGGATGAAGGTGGGATGAAATGCCCCTCACTTTTTTGAGTGATATCCCTGGCAGAAGATCTCAGAGATGCGGGAGAAGGTGAGAAGAGCTTGTTTTTGATCAGTAACTCGGCGCAAGATTCATAATCACGTGAAGCCTCAAGACTTGGTTCTTCATCGGCATTGAAGCGAGGGATGAAGTTCTCACGTCAGATGCCGCCCGCCGAGAACGCCTCTTGTCTTTCGGGGATTAGCGGCGATGGTGGGGGTTGTCGCCGATAGAAGCCGGCCTCGGTCTGAGTCAGCCGCCAGCTTGAATGATCGGCACCAGGGGCGACGATTAAGGTGGCGGGTAGCTTAAAGGGACCGGTGCCAGCTGTCAGTTTCTTCAAGTTAGCTGGTCGTCTTATCTCACAAAGAACGCCGGATCGTTTCAACATTGTGAGGAATTGTAGAGAATATACACCAAGTACCACAAAAATTATAGATTTTTAATGAGGTAAAAATATAAATGAATGAGACTTTTGAATGTACTCACCCTGATCTTATGAGATGGAAAGCTCATAACCGCCAATGTGGCGCGACTGTGACACGGACCTTCAATAACGCTGCGGCTTCATCGCTCCACGTGGTGATATCCCGTGGGCCATGGCCGTTAACATGTGAAAGCTGCAACTTTCTCATCAATATGCTCATAATAACCTTAAAGGTTCGTCTCTACTTCATAAGAATGTGAGATGCCCTCAACTCGCGCTGATCAGACAGCTCATCATGAAGCAGCACGGACATTCAATCAACTCATCGCTCCACGGGACAAGCCTCAAACCTATGGGCTGAGTGTCATCATCACGTGGATGTAGCTTGGTGTACAAATGAGGTATTCTGCCTCTCAAGCTACAAGAAATCTCTTCTCATCTCAGAAGCTGTCTTGAATAGCCGGCTTGAGCGGTCGTTCAATGTCGTGAGAGCACCGAGAGGGTATTACGAATGACTTATTAGTGAATATCATCAGTTCAAACCAAAATCACAAACCCAGATATTCAGATGGAAATCCGCTTCACTGATTATTAAGTAAATATGCGATATTACGATCAATATCATGCCAAATTGGTCATTGACATCCCATATACGATATGGATCGCGGGGCCATTACTTGAGATCTCATATTCTCGTGACGGTCCATTTCGTGAGGTTTGGTATTAAGCAGCGCAGATGCTGCTCACAGCCTGCAACTCAAACTGCTTTGTATGTACATATCACAGCATCAGGTAGCTCGACTCGGATGCCCTTTGCCTTATAGGACGCACCGGCGATCAAATAATACCACCACCACCACAAGCAAACTTCAAAGCATCACGAGAAATATACCGCACTTAAAATACTCTCGGCAGTGACACCATTCTGAAGCAATCCCCCGCAAGCCCCCTTCAGCCGGACAGCCGAAGCAAACCTTGACTTCAGACTAAGGCACACTGGCTGGACATCCGGGTTCCATATTGCCGTTTCTTCAGACGTCGCGAAGAACGAAAACATACAAGACCCGAGTCTTCATTTCGAAGCATTCATCCAGAAGCCCATAGACTGCACCCTTTTGACCCCGTAATCGTGAGTTTTCATGCAGTGGTTATCTCGGACATCTCAATTCGACGCCTCCCGAGTCCCGGAGACGACAAGGTGGTCCTATCGACGAAAATAGTCACCGCACTCCGGGGGAGACTAGAACGAGTATAGTCATCTCTTCCGACGTTTTCCCCTCCTGTCGTGCATACTGGGAGTATAAATTAAAAATTACACTTTTTTCGTCATCATTTTCACTTGACGTCGACACAGCACCATCTCCTCGAGCACAAACAGGTGTCTCATCGCCAAGAACCCAGCCGGCACTCGATTTCCATAGATCGCCGTCTTGGAGTACTCCATTTCGCAGGACCAGACTGCAAACTTTGAGTGGAACATCCAACTTTTCACGATAAAATGAGCGACACCGACAAGGCCACAGCTAGGCACAGGTCCGTCGTGGAAGCGGACAGTCTTCCCGATCCTGATGCACATCTCAGCACGGAGGAAAGGGCTCAGGTGGTAGGTTCGATGAAGAGCAATACATACACTCACAAGATCCTCACACTGATTCAGGAACGAAGGCTACTCAGGCGACTTGACTTGGCTCTGATTCCATGGGTACGGCCAAACCTTACTGATTGAATATGCTGCAATCTGACGTGTCTTACAGCTCACCCTCCTTTATCTGTTGGCCTTCATCGACCGGGCCAACATTGGAAACGCCAGGATCGCGGGCCTTCTCGACGACTTGCATCTGAGCGAGGCGCAGTACAACTGGACGCTCGCCATCTTCTTCATTTCATACTCGGTGTTTGAACCGTTCACGAATATTCTTCTCAAGTCATTTCAGCCTTCGGTGTTCATACCCCTTACCATGTAAGCGAATGCCCCGGCAGCGGCTGCTGAAAGGACTAACAGCCTAGGATACTATGGGGCATATGCATGACGAGCATGGGCTTCGTGACGAATTGGAGTGGGCTAATGGCGTCTCGGTGGTTTCTAGGCATGGCCGAGGCTGGTCTCTTCCCAGGAGTCAATTACTACCTGTCCTGTTGGTATCGACGGTCTGAGTTTGGGACGAGAGCTGTATGTTACCGTTGCGGTTTACGTTTCACAAAGCTGATGTTGCCAGGCATTATTCTTCTCAGCATCCGCCCTCTCAGGATCATTCGGAGGTGTTCTCGCCGCAGGGATCGAACAGATGGACGGCATTGGAAACCTCTCTGGCTGGTCTTGGATATTCATCGTCGAAGGTGTCCTCACCGTCCTCGTCGGCATTGCCTCCGTCTGGATGGTCCACGACTTCCCGGACGAAGCCACGTTCCTCTCCCCCGACGACCGCGCTCGCGTCATCCGCCGACTGAGGGCCGATCAGCAAGGATCCGCCGTGCGCGAGGATTTCAAGGCCCTGTACTTCTGGCAGGCCATGACCGACTGGAAGATGTGGATGACGATGCTGATATACACGGGATGTGACATGCCGCTGTTCGCATTCAGTCTGTTCATGCCTACCATCGTCAGCGGCCTCGGGTGGGAAGTCACCACTGTGTTCTCGCAGCTCATGACCGTTCCGCCGTACGCTGCAGCGGCGGTGTTCACGGTCATGGTCGGCTACGCTGCCGACCACTTTCGCCAGCGAGGGATGTTCAACATCATTGTTGGATTCATAGGGATCATCGGCTTCTCTTTGCTCATTATTACCGACAACTCTGTCATACAGTATATCGGTGTAATACTTGGTGCGATGGGTCTATATCCGTGCGTTTGTAATACGATCGCCTGGATTGCGAATAACACCGAGGGCGTGTACAAGCGCGGTGTGGTTCTGGGCTTTGTTATTGGATGGGGGAACCTCAGTGGTATTATCAGTTCCCACATTTACTTCAGAGGGCCGCGGTTTATCGAGGGCCACGGAGTCGTGTTGGGGTTCCTCGGCGTTTGTCTATGTCTAGGGAGCTTCATAATGATTATCTTGTTAAAGAGAGAGAACTTGGCACGGAGGCAGGGTAAGAGAGACTATTGGGTTGACGGGAAAACAACTCGAGAGATTGAAGAGCTTGGCGATCAGCGACCGGACTTTCAATATACTCTTTAAAGAGGCGCTGCATTCTACTAGGGATGCACGCAGGTAAATCATAGATCTTTTGATCTATAAGTAAATAAACGAAATTTGCTTTTCTTATGTCCCTGAGTTAAACTCATGGATGTTTCTCTCTGAGTTCCTCAAAACGTGGACCCTAAAAAATCGCAATCGTTCCACTCTAATCAGCCCCAGTCGGCGTCCCGGGTTACAATCTCGTTGTCACGACCTCCACCATATCAAGTTATCCAATCAACTTGTCAGCCCTGATGGTCTAGCGGTATGATTCTCCCTTAGGGCTTCAAAACCTATATCTGGGAGAGGTCCCAGGTTCGATCCCTGGTTAGGGCCCAATCTTTTTGCTTTTGCCTTCACGCGGCTTTTGTTCCTCTCTTTTTGCGATCTACAACCCTGGGACCTGCAGCCATAGCAACTATCTATTCTCTATTTAATTAAGAGCTTATACTATATCAGTCCGGGTTTAATACTTCTGTCCTAGGCTTATTAACTATAAATGGGCGTGCGAAGTGTTCGAAAACATGTGACGGGTGATGACATCTTCGTACTTTCATACTTTCATGACACTTTGAAAGAAACTAGCAGTTTTCTTTGGGCTTAAGAACATGGTGTCAATCTAAAATGAGCTGCACTGATGTCTCATTTGGGACTTGTTTGTCCCGTCTATTGGGTTTAAAGTACACCATCTTCTCGTTCTTATGTCTCCCTCATGTCCGCCCGGATCCCCAGGTCCGTGATACCCTCTCCAACAATTGACACGTTTGAACGACAACCTTACTTGCAATCGTCGCTGGGTACGTTGCTTGTAATGTTGGGCGGGATGTCAATGGAGCATTCTCCTAGGTTGTTGCAGGTTCCTTTGCTGTCAAACCCATCGATCTGCGCCGTGCACGCCTTTCCCGCCTTGCTGGCTGCAGTGTTATCAGTTAGCGCTCAAATTTTCAGGAGCGTGTAAGTTGAAGTGCCAGTTTCGTAGCCATACCCCGAGAGACTGGACCTGCCAGAACCTGGCCGATGAGTGAGGCGAGTATGATGTTGGAAACGGTTGAGAACTGCATTTTGTTGTAGCTGAACTAGGACGCTATGCCAGATAACGTGAGAAAAGAAGAATGAGGTGTGTCGGATATGATTGATTGGTGGAGTTTGCTGCGTGATCAGTTGAATTGAGCTTGAGGAAGACTTTTTGTTGACGGTATATATACATGGCTTGCTTGATAGCCTCTGCTCGCGCAAGACTGAGTTGCTGGTTACATTATACTGCTTGAAAAAATCTGAGGTCTAATGGATTACCCCCTCGACCATCAAACTTGCGCATCAAGCTAGTTCGACGGACATTCTGTCGAGTCCGACTGTGATGGGACGTACGTAAGAGCAGAGAGGCCCCAACTGCAATTGGAACATCCATGGGCACATGCAGGGAACGGGCCTCCAATGTCCCAATGACACACCAGATAGAATAGGCAAGAAACCAGACTTGCCTATAAGCTTGACGCTGAGTTGAATACCGTGGGTACGTTGCCAGACTCGGTAGGTTCCGGCAGTAGTTTAAGCTTCATCTGACATATTTGGCAGCTGTCAATTCAGGGGCGATACAACGGAAGTCAACTGTAAGAATGGTCATCTGAAGTATTCGGCGAGCAAAATCTCTTGTGAAATCAGATGTCACTAAACGATGACCTACATATCAGACATGCTAACGGATTTGAACGAAACCGTACAGGTTCAACTTCTTCTCGTAGCAAATCAAGTGACCTAAAAGCTGTTAGTCTGTGAGCAACTCTAGAACACTGTTGATTTCTTCATCCCCTGTGTTCGGGCGCGGCACAGCTACTCGGGACAGCTCCGGGCAATGTCTACGACATGGAACGCAAGTTCTTTTTTCGAAAATGACAGAGAATGAAAAAAAACCATCTTACCTGCATGATGACTGACCATTCATCAGTTCGTTCCATCCCCGCCAAGCTCTGCGTGTTCTGACGATACATGCTTACACTCGCGGATCTAGCCTGATCCATGCCTAAAACTCTGAGTTTAAAGCGAACACGTCCCCCAGGAAATCATGTTGTTTGATCCGCGTTCCACTGGAATCAAGCCCAAATTCACCGACCCCAGGCCGTTTGCCTCATATAAGCTCATTGAGGCCACGCCTTTCTGTCGCGTTTGAAGCAACCTTCCTCTTTCGGTGCAATCTGGATATCTACACCGTTCACACAGCTTATCACTTGTCATGTCTATGTCTCAGAACGCCAGTAACAACTCTGATTCGACTTTCGCTTCATTCATAAACAGCATAGAAAACGTGGGTTCTGCGTCTTTCAGCAATGAAGGGGAGCGGAGACAGGCGCTTCAGGCAGCCCAAGCCCTGTTGGTCCGCCTGGAGTCGCCATGGGACACAGCGATGAGACTGAACATGAGTCAGGTAATGCCTTCGCCACAGAGATCCTCACTTTGGACCACTGTCACCCCTTCAGTGCTGAATCAGGTGGTTGACTCCGTTGCTTAGCCTGCTGTCGGGGCTGCTTTGAGAATATTCAAAGACTTGAAAGTGTTTGAGAGATGGCACGAGCAAGGCAACGAACCACTCACAAGCGCTCAACTCGCCGGGATCATTGAAGAGAAATGCGATCCGACTCTGCTATGTAAGTGTTTGCTAAGTAAATTCCGCGCTGCAGTTGCTGACTTCCCGCCGAAGACCGGCTGCTGCGCTTACTTGCTGCGAATCATCTTGTCGAAGAGGTGTCGGTGGGAACCTTCAGGCCATCGCAATTCGGCACCGCAATCACCGCTCCCTTGTTCGATGGGCTTTTCAAAAGCTAGTAAGAAAGACATTGCGCCGAATCTCCAGGTAATTCTGACGCAGACTCTGAACAGCTACGAATTGATACTGCCGATATATCTGAACCTGCCGAAGTTCTTGGCCTCAACAAGCTACAAGAACCCGCAAGATCCAGAACAATCACCATTCCAATTCGCACATGATTGGAGAGGGAGTCTTTGGACATACTACCAGGCTCATCCTGAAAAACAAGCCGAGTTCAATCTCATACAGCAAAGTATTGCTTCGCTTCAGCCTGCCTGGACGGACATCTTCCCAACAAGTAGCTTCTTGGACTCCGACCCCGCGACGCCCCTTCTCGTTGATGTCGGGGGCAGCGCTGGCCATGACATCTTGAAGTTTACAGAACTTCGCCCCGAGTTGGCCTCTAGGCTTTATCTTGAAGACTTCGAGTCTGTGGTGGACGCAGCTCAGATGCCAAACGGTGTGAACAAGGTAGCCTATGACTTCTTCACTCCACAACCGGTCAAAGGTACGTCGGGATCGAGATATAACACGTTGTCAAACTTCGCTAATGGTATGCCAGGAGCGCGTGCGTATTACATGCATTCCATCCTTCACGATTGGTCAGACGAGCCTGCTAGGAAGATACTTCAAATGCAGAAAGATGCTATGACACCTGAATACAGCAGTCTGCTGCTTCACGATCACATTGATGTTGAAGGTCCCGCTAATCCACAAGCAACTGCTTTTGACATACAGATGATGGCAATGGTGGCTGGAAGAGAACGCACAGAGAAAGACTGGAGGGATCTTCTTGAGTCGGTGGGACTGGCCATTGTGAAAATTTGGACAATACCTTCTGCCCCTCAGAGTATCATCGAGGCTAAGTTGTTGACCTAGCCAGTTATTTCCATGTTCTGTTAAGTACCGAAAATTTCATTTCATGTTCAAAGTAGCAGAAACAAAGTAATTGTGGTTACACATCAAATCATCGCGAGGATCCCGTTGCTTCCATTTCACAAACCGCCCAAGCTTTGAGTCTGGTTCCTAGCGCTCTGGACAATCTCACCAGCGGTAGTCAGCTTCTCAACAACGTCATCAAAGTGAGCCCGCTTTTGAAGAGTGTCTTCATCCTCTCGAGCCAGCCTCTCTACTTCTTCTTCGTCCAGGTTGAACATCCAGTCTGTCGACAAACCCATCAGAGGCCCCTTGGAGTAAGAAATGAAGTCACTAGTGATGTACTTCGTGACATATCTGACGAAAGCCTCGAGCGAAAGCTGAAGTGTACATAAATATAAGTAAATGTTCAGGATGAAAGCTGGAGAGTAAACCCGGGGGATGTTCTCATACCTCGTAATACACCTTGACGATATCATGAGCATCATCAATCATGTTCTTCTCAATCGAGTGATGACAATGACCAAACACTGCGAAGATGTGGACGTTTGGATCTGTGTCTTTCTGAGGTTGAGGCATTGAGTGGTATGTGTTCAGCAACCGAACGCTGCGCAAAGCCCTCAGATTCTGCTCGAACCTCTTGTCCGTAGTCTGAAGATGGTGTTCTCTGTCTCGGCGGCAGTAATCCTCCAGCTCCGAGAGGGCTTTCTGCTTAGCTTGGGTCTGCAGCTGGCTCAGAATCGTCGACAGTTCCTGGAAGAGAATCGTGGAGCCAGTGGAAGGAGAACAGACGTTCTGGAGGATCGAGTTGGATGCGATTTCAATATCGCTGGCAATCTTGTTGATATGTGCCTCGGCCATGCCTTGCCATTTTTCCGACTGCTGCTTGTAAAGAACCTTGATCACCTCCGGATGGATGAGTCCCAGTAGCTCAGTTGTCTGCCAAACTTGAAGTTGCTTTTGGATCACGGACACGAAAGGTGCGGGGTTATTGTCCTGCGAGAGCGGCTTCCGTCCACGTCGTTCCTTCGGCGGTGTGGAGGGGGGCGTCATGACAGCCTCATACTCGCGCGTCTCCGCAGCTTGCTTCTTGGAAGTCTGATGCGGGTAGTGGTAAGCGAGAGCCTCTGTGAGCTTCGTCATTGAATCGACACCTTGATCTTCAAACTGATACACGTGCCCATGAGCACGCATTTCTTCAGTGAATGTCTCATTCGACTCCTTCACACGACTCCAGACACGAAGGGCTTCCATACTATCAGGCAACTTGCCGGGGCTGTTGATCGTCTTGAAAGCAATGGATCGGTACCGGTCGAGAATTTCCCGCAAGTACTGTTGGCGAAGATTGTGGTTAGACCTAGGATCTCCGAGACTCTTCCTCGAGCTTTGAGCATCTTGCAGAAGTCTTTGGATAGAACTCTGAATGGCGGGGAAGTTGTCGCGAATCCTGGCACAGAGAAGGTTGCCGAGATATTGCTTGAGCATGCTGGACCCTTTACGGTCACTGCGCACCTGAGCCCAGCGTGGTTGACTGAAGAGTCGATCCTCAGCGTCTTTGAGGTCGAAGTTGTCGCCCTCGTTCTCGGTGCGGTTTCTTACCACAAACCAGCCGTCATGCATTGACTTTCTGGAATGGGAACCTCCACCGCTGGCAATCTCCACCACCTTCATCAGTTGTCAGTTGAGATTCTCCTGTCTTGGCTCGAATGGAAACCGTACCTTGACTGGATCTTGAAGCAAATCACACTTGGTGAAAACTCCTACAAGCCGTTTCTTTTCAACAATGTTGATGGCCATGTTGAAGATGCCTTGGTTGGAAAGGTCGGTGATTGCATCAGCAACGCAGCTGCGCGCAATTCGTTAGTCCGTAAAACTCAGAAAAATGTCAGAAATCCTCTTACATGACAATATTGGCAGGCTGTCGCATGTATTCCTCTACCATTTTCTTGATACCGGTCATCTCCTTTGGCTTGACGGTATCTGGAAACTCAAAAACACCAGGAACATCCAGGATACTGAAGTGAGATCGATTCGGACCCGAGAGCTCAACACGGAGGACCTGTGTGGCAAAATTCTTGGATTGAACACCCGTTCCAGGACGAATTCCCATATACTTGGTGGTGATCTAAACACGTGATATCGTGTTATTCAATGACAGAGTTGCGTGCAAGTCAGCGCGATATGTGCATACCTCTTCCATGATGTCTCGAAATTGTTCAATCTCGAGGCGATCGCTGACGTAGCCTGGGTACTGCTTCCAAGCGTTATCCACTGGGTAACCGAAAGCATCCTTCACATCAGGGTCTGTGATGGTGATCTTGACGATGGGGTCGCTGCCCGGAGCGGTCCTGCGCGATACGATGCGTGTGGCAAAGCGAGTACACAGGCCCGCGCCGACAGGGAAAGGAATATCTGTTAAACTTTGAAGCAGCGAAGATTTACCAGTCGACTGTCCTCCGACAATGACGAGCTGAAATGGGGAAATGTTAGAATCTCGTGTTATCTGGACGGCTAGTCGAACTTGCCTGAGGAATAGACAATTCCTGGCTAACTCCACAAGATTGGAGTTGATCGATTGCGTCGAAGAGGATCTTACTACTCGTGCTATCGAATGGATTCTCTGGGATGCGCTTGTCTTGTGCCGCCTTGTCATGAGCATCCATGTAATTGGTGATTGGGGAAGTTGGGGCGGAGTTGGTCGCAGAGTTGGCTTCGGAGTCGACCTGCGACTCCAACCCAAAGACATCATCGGACTTGTTGTTGCTACGGGATGCCATTCTCAAGATGTCATGATCTGACTGGAACAGAGGCGATGGAAGAGACCGTTGAGCCATTGCTGTTGTCCGAAACTTGAAGAATGAGCGTGAGTGAAGTTGGAAGTGGTGCTTCAATGGAGTATGAAGTCTAAGAGTATACAATGGAAGACTGGAAGATTGGAAGTGAAGATGGTGAAAGAACTGTATGAGATGAGGGCTTATTCGAAGATTTGTGTTGCCAAGGAGTCGATTATTATAAATAATTGCTATGAATCGGCTCCTGACTCCGCCATCTCGTGCGAAGCAAAAGGGTCCAAATAGACGCCTAAGCGCTCGATACAGCAACTCAAAACTACAAGCATGCTGGTTTCTTCTAAATGCGTCTTGGCAAGGCAGATTCCGCTCGAGCTGATAGCGCCGGCTGGGTAACATTGCATCTGTTGCGGCCGGAGCAGCCTGGGCTTGAAACGCCATGAAAGTGTATTATTGATAACCATGGCTGACAAGTCTTGGGACTGTAGTGTCTTGGGAATAGCTTCCGGAAGCAGGTGTAGTTGAGGTACGGACTGACACCGTGGGTAGCAGATTGAACCAGCGACCGACGCGAGGCCATAGCTGGGCAAAAGCTCATTGCTCAGAGCCCGCCTGCTTATCTGCCCCTGAAGACCCGAGGGAATGGTCACGAAACCAACCCAGGAGGTGGGTGTTGGCCATGCCGACCTCCTTATATCGAATAGCCAATGCCGATTGCCGCCGGCCCGGCCCCGGCCGCAATTAGTAGGTAAATCCGTCGGGGCCGGTCCAGTCACAGAATGACGACCGAAAATCGACAGGGGGTAATCGAAACAAGGCCGATTGCGTGCAGCCATCATCACGACCCTGTGGCCGCCAGTCCCGCGGCCGAACCAACAGAGACCATGTTACCAACAGAAACCAAGCTTTCTTAGCAGACTTCTAAGAAGCCCAAACGAAAAAGTCTTAGCTCCCCCTGGAATCAGGAATCAAAGCGGCTGTGCTGCGAGTCAATCACTTGGTCACCATACTGATGTTGTCCGAAAAGTATCATCTTTCAAATCTCGTACGAGAGATTGGACTCAGCCCCGAAATAGTGACATGGCCTGCAGCGGACCGGCATGAATCATGTTTTACGCCTTCTCCTCGTGCCGCGCCGTAACAATCACGCCGGCCTTCTCGCCATCTTCCACATCCGCCTGAAACATATCCTCCGGCTTGTAGTTGCCAAATTTGCGCAGCGGAACCCCCTCGTTAAACATGCGATCGATTTGCTCCAAAGACTTGCCCTTGCACTCCGGTATGCAGAACCACGTGAATACGAATGCAAGAACTAGCATACCCGCGAATATGAAGCCCACTTTCGAGCCGAGTCCGGCGCCTGGAGTGTACAGGAGGTATGGTATGCTGAAGTTGACGAGGAAGTTGGCCAAAACATTGACCATGGAGGCCGTTCGTTGAGATGCATCTCGGAGTCGGAGGGCAGGGATCTCAGTCGTGATGACATAGTTCAGGGGCGCCCAGGCAAAAACGTAACCCGCAGCAAAGACGGTGAGCATAGCCACGATGCTCGTCTTAACGGCGAATGAGGGGTCTGATACGGTGCCAAGGGAACCCATGGTCACGATCGCCGCGAACTGCCAAACGGCGCCTATCATAAGAAGAGGTCTGGTAACAAGAGGTTAGCTGAGGCAACCGTGTTGAGAGATATGGGGCTACGTACCGTCGTCCTACGCGGTCGTTGAGGTAGAGGCCGACGAAGACCATTACCAAGTTGACTATGGCATTGACAATGGTCATCGTAAAGGGATTGACAGTTCCAATGTCTTTGATGAAGATTGCTCCGTAGGTGCTGGCGAAAGCCTGACCAGTCGCTTGTTGCAAGAAGTTCATAACCATAACCACGGCTGTTCTCTTCAGATTTACCCCCTTAAACAACTCCATGTATTTACCTTGCTCAACTTCTTGTTTCAGGGCGTATTGAAGGGCTGCGAACTGTTCGTCGATTTCGGCGTCGGAGATCGTACCGGCTCGAAGTTTCTTGAGCGACGTTTTGGCTTCCTCGATCCTATCCTGCATGAGAAGCCACCTTGGTGACTTGGCACAATGTTAGCCAGAGCTTTTCGGTTCAGACAGGCCGATAGTTACTTACCTCGGGAATGAAGAATATCAGGCACATGACGATGACAGGAATGACGTAGAATAGACCCATCGGGATTCTCCACGACGAATTACCTTCCAAGGTACTTGTGCCTCTGCAGACAGAGTTGACGATCAACGTACCGAACTAGAAACTTTGGTCAGGGCATGACTGACTACATTGCAGTTCGATGGTTTACCGAGAAAGTGTGGACATCGCGTAGCACGAGGGAAAAAGAAAAAAAAAAAACTCTATCATGCAACTTTGATGGGTTACTTACCATCAGACTGAACTGATACGAACCAACGGCAAAGCCTCGAATCTCGGAGGGCACAATCTCGGACTGAAAGACGGGGATGACGGAAAGCTCCATGCCAACGTAGATGTCTTGGGGGAAGCAGATCAGCAATGTCGCAACACTCACTCAGATTGGCTCTTACAGTTGAGAATACGCGCAGCCATAATCTGCTCTCGCGTACGAGAGGTCAGGGCAATTGTCGCAGGAATCACTGCCCAAGCACTCATTCCGAACATACACCATCGGCGACCCCAGCGAGCACTGACAAGACTACCAAGAATAACACCGGCTGCAAATCCGATGTAGTTCAAGGAGTTGAACAGAGCCAACCAAGATGACGGGATCTTCCACTTCCCAGTGACCGGATCTTGGTCGCCGAACTGCTGCTGGAACGCGTCCATTGCCTGAGTTGTTGAGTAGCCCGCATTGTCGAAACCGTAGTTGAATGTCGAGATGGCTACAACAGTAAACGCGGCACCCAAAGTGCGGTTGAAGTGCTTGAGAATCCTGTTGGGAGCCATGGCGCCGTGCCTCTTCGAGAGATTGGAGGTGTTGGTCCCTTCAAGAAACCGAATCGTGGAGGTAACATGGACGATGCATCCCTGATGATTAAGTATTGGAACGTGTTCGCAAAGTCGAACCGAGACCCCTCGTCAAGATTTCGTTGTCCCGGCTCTCCTTGAAGTGTGGAGTCAGAGCCTCAAGGCTTCAGAGCTAATGTGACCTCCACTAGTAATAAAAGTCGACCGATCAGAAGACTGATGTCAAACTAACACACGGCACAGCGGAGAAACACGGTTTCCCACCTCGGGGAGACTGGGGAAGCTGCACCATCTACGGCGCTAGAGGCCCGGGAACCATTTCCTGGAGAAAAGAGTGGAGGAGCTGAGTCCAGAACGAAAATCTTTCTGGAGTTGAGAGTGAACCCATTGACCAACCGGCCGGGTCTTTGGTAAGACTGGGGTGGCCCTGGGTTCGGAACTCGGGCGGAGGCATGACGAAGGACATATCACGGAACTCGGGCGGAACGGAACGCAAAACCATTCCCCCCCCGACTTCCCATTTCTTTTCCCGACTTCATGCAGCTCTCACACATCTGGGCTGTTTGACAAGAACTGCGGGTAACAAACATGGAGACGGCCGCACCATATCGAGCATCGGGGCGGCCCCGGAAAGGCCTGCAGATCTGTTTTCAATGCCGAAACCGGAAGGTGAGTTTTTCGGAGCTGCTCCGGATCGGATGAGGGTCCCCGTGGCTAACCCACACCCGATCAGGTCCGATGCGACGGCGCGGCCGGTGGTTGTGAGAATTGCCGTCGCCTCAAGTTTCACTGTTCTTTCTCGGTTTCTGATGCGCCAATTGAAGATGAAAACAATCCAACTTCACAAGACACGAGTCACCTGAGGTTGGAGAAGCGGCGCGTCCGCAGAGCTTGCATACCATGCAGGGACAAGAAAACCAAGTGCTGCGGAACGCAGCCGTTGTGTCGTCGTTGCTCGCAGAAAGGAGTCGCATGCCAATACCCAGAAATCACAACAAGGACAACAACTTCAAGTATAGCAACTTCGAATTCTCGAAACGAACTATTTGAAATTACGGTCAGCAATAAATCGACTGGCAATCTCGCCCAAAGAAGTACGCCATCCGCGCGAGAAGTCTCAATTTCGGCCTCTCCGGCTTCGCCTCTTGATCTGTAAGTATCACTGAACCTCGACAAGCTATCTACACATATGCTGATGCCAAAAACTTAATCAGTGAGCTGAACTCGGACAAACTTGTCGTCAGGCAACACATCGACGCTTTTTTTGACTTGGTGTACCCCATACCATGTTACAGTTTCATACACAAAGCAACCTTCTGCCAAAGCTGGGCCCAAGATACGCACAACCCGCGACTCCTGAAGGCGATGTGTGGTCTTACCGCCCGCTACTTGTCGTCGGGAGACCAAAATAGGTTGCAGCAAGCAACGAGGTGGATTCGAGAGGCCGAGATGCAACTGTTCATGCGACTAAGTGAACCGTCGATGTCAGACGTCGGGGCTCTACTGCTCACGACACTGGACCACATAATTGCGCGACGATTTAGCAAAATGTTGGTTTCGTCATGTCTTGCTGCGAGGCTGGCTTACATGATGAGACTCAACTATGAGGATAGTAGACACAACTCTCTCATCCAGGAGCGACGTCGGCGTCTCATGTGGGCAATTTTCACTCTGGACACGCTCTACTCCAGCGGAAGGGATGAATTTACCGGGTGTTCCAAAGACACTCTTCACTTGCAACTTCCTTGTAATGAGCGGTCCTTCACCTTGGACATTCCCGTCCTGACGGAGCCATTGACACCGCCTCTGGATCGTTGCTCCACGAATCTGGGTCTCATGGCGTACAATATCAGGGTACTTGACATACGGGATCGCATACAAAGGTAAGCACGTCATCAAATTTAGCAATGGACCGTAAGACTGACAAACCGAAGACTATGCCACAGAATTACTCATGGTCAGAAGCCTTTACAAGAGAGCATCGTGCAGCTGAAACATCTTGCGCACGAACTCGACAAATTGCTCCTCTCTCTGCCCCAGCATTACACCTTCGACAAAAAGAACCTATTTCTTCGGGCATATACCCCTCAACGAACTTCATTTGTCATGTTTCACGCATGGTGGCATCAGTGTCAGTGCGACATGTATCGATTTACCATCCCAGGCTTCCGCGAAGGTCTTCCTTTTGAGGAGCTGCAAGCCTTACCGTCAGAATTTGTCAACTACTGCAGACAGAAGTGTCTTGAACATGCACTGGGTGTTGCTGATATCATGTCCACGGTGACGGAAATGGGAAAAGACATTTTCATCACAGACCCATCATTGGCGATGTGCGCATTTCACTCAGCACGCGTCATAAATCGACTTGGATCCCCTCAGTTTTCGCACCTGCCGCGGGCGACTTTGATCACCAAATTGAAGGCTTGTTGGAATATCTTAGAGATACCATCCGAAATCTATCCCACGACAAAACTGTTGCGGAGCGGTATCTCTGATCTGATTCATGACGCTGAAAGGAACTCGGGTGATTCAAGCCCACTGAGGTCCAATTGGGAGGCGGAGCAGCCTGCAGCGAGAGGTGAAGTGACTTCATCTGCACGGCCAGCTGTTCAACAAGGGCTTAATGGTGAAACTCCAGAAGTTTACTCCAAGTTCAGCGTCACGGACGAGATCAGGAAACTGAAGTTCAAGCCGGACGAAGAGGATAACCCACATGTGTACCAGGTCGAGCAGGAAGCGAGGGCGACTGGTGAAGCCCTGGAGGCACCTCACTTCGAGCCACCCAGTACATCCAAGCCGGAGGGCTTTCAACCATACATGACGATGTCTCAAGATATCGGTGGAAGTGGATTCTTTCCAGAAGCTGGATTTGGGGCAACTACTGCGCTATACGATGTGTCGATGACGTTGGGTTTTGAGCCGAGTTATGGAGACTGTCAGCCTGATCTGTTCTTAGACTCTTTCATGCCATTGCAGAATGACTGGAACATGGCTGACTCTGGATGCTTCTAGACTTGTATTACACCTCAAGATAGCAATTTCTGCCGTGGATATGTACCCCCGCCCGATCTCTGCCTGTGAATCCCCTCTGAATCAATCTCAATGCACTGGTTTTCCGGTCTAGAGCCCGTTCCAAAAAGTGCTCTTTTCCAGCTCGAAGCTTCCCTCTAGGCATTGCTCACCCGCGACAACAGAAGCAGTGTACGAGCCCTTCTCGCAGCACCAACTATTCCTCTTCTCATCCCACACTGCTGTGCTGTATCTGTCAATTGCTATGACGACCTCCTTTCGTTCTTTTGGTTCAAGGTAAATCTTCTGGAACCCGACCAGCACACGTTTTGTCCTGGCGAAGCGAGATTTAGGCGTAGTAAAGCTGAGGTAAAGACGAATAACCTCGGCACCAGCAAGGCTTCCTGTGTTCTCGGCACTGACTAGAACGCGGGAGGGGTTTGCCTGCAGCCCAGATATTGAGAAAGTCGTATAGCTCAGTCCATGCCTAGAAGAAAAAAGTAAATGTGATTTCAGACCATAGATCGGGCACCGGACTTACCCGAAAGGAAACGCAACTTCCATTCTCCGCGCTTCATACCATCGATATCCAACGAATACTCCCTCAGAGTAATGAACTTCGCCATTGTCGCTTCCGAATCCCAGGAAAGCAGGGTTATCTTCCAAGCGAGCTGGGAAGGTCATCGGAAGTTTCCCACTGGGGTTGATGCGGCCAAAGACTACATCCGCAACCGCGTTTCCGGCTTCGTTGCCACCATACCAGCTGTGAAGCATAGTACTCGCCTTGTGTCTCCAAGGCATGCTGACCGGGTTCCCTGCCTGGGTGATTATGATAGCATTTGGCTGTGCTTTGAGCACCTCCGAGATGAGCTCATCAACATGGGGAGGCATGTCCATGGTATCCCTATCCTTGCCCTCTTTCTCTAAATCAGCCTGCCATTGGATTAGCCGGGAACACTTTAAATGCATAGCATCTACTGCAAGAAACCACTCACATTCAGACCTGCAACAACGAATGTGTATGTGCACTTCTTGGCCAGCTCAACCGCTCTCCGAATGCCCTCGGCCGGGTCAATCTTGAGGCATCCACCTAACCGGCAAGCACCTCCCGGGATCGCCAACAGCGAACCACCATTGACCTTGGATGTTAATGCACTTCCGGCTTCTACTCGCAGGCAGTACCGATTGCCTGCCTGTAAGTCATAAGTGGCTCGCCTTTCCGCCGACCCCTTGCCAAAGAACATGCCACCCGGAGTTTGTTCAGTGGAATTATCGATCACCAACTCATCGTTGATGAACAAGTCCCCAATACCATACGTAGCCAGTCCGAACTCATACACACCAGATTTTTCAGGGGTGAAGTGAGCACGCATTGACATGAAGAAGACGTCTGACTTCTCAGGGTGCTTGTAGTCCATCAGCTGGTATGTTGTGTCAGGTATCGTGACGTGATCGAAAGGCTTTCGATGTTCCACCGTATGTGGTTCGTTGAACATTTCTATCGTAACACCGGGACTTCCAGCATCGTTGCGGGCATTCTCTTCCGTAAAGGCGGGTAAGAGGATGTGTCCATATACACCTGGCTCATGGTGTATCGTCGAGATAGGTGGCAAAGAATCCCGAATGCCCTTGAGCACAGAGCTGGTGTAGTATGGTCTGAGACTTGCGCTTCCTCCACCACATGCAGCCGGTAGATCCGAGTTCGGACCAATGATGGCAACTTCATCGCAACGTTCAGGGTGAAGAGGAAGCAAATGAGATGAGTTCTTCAGTAACACCACGCTTTCTCCAGCTAGTCGCCGGTTGAGACTCCGATCCTCGGGCACGTCTCGTGTGGTCTCTTCTTTCCCAACGCGTGCTGAAGACGCGTCGTTGACGAACTCCAGGACTTTTGTCGCACGCTCGTCTATGATGTGATGAGGCACCTTTCCGGAGAAGACGGCGGCCAGAGCCTCATTTTCTCGATAACGGCTTGGTCCCGGCATCTCAATGTCGACTCCCGCGTTGAGAGCTGCCTCACAAGAGTATGTACCATACCTATTCACGTCAGGAAACGTCCGGGCTGTGGTAGTGCATTCAAAACATACCAATCGCTCATGATGAGACCGTTGAATCCCCATTCCTTTCGCAAGATGTCCTGTAGAATCTTGGGATTCTCGGAAACATGCAATCCCTCAACTTTGTTGTATGATGACATGACTACTCTGGGATTGCTATCCCTCAGAGCAATCTGAAATGGCATGAGATAGATCTCACGCAGTGCTCTCTCAGACATGCGAACGTCGACCGACATCTTCTCGGTTTCCTGATCGTTAGCCACAAAGTGTTTCAGAGCCGCTAGCGTCCCCCGAGACTGGACGCCTCTGATGATGGCAGCTGCCAGAATACCGCTGAGATACGGATCCTCAGAAAAAGACTCAAACCCTCGGCCATTCAAAGGCGAACGTATGATGTTGACAGTAGGACCAAGCCAGACATGGGCACCTTTGGCGTCACATTCTTTGGATAAGAGCTGACCAGCTTGCTCTATCAGCTCGAGATTCCAAGTTGCGCCCAACCCACTACCACAAGGGATGCACAAGGCGGGCACCGGGTTGAAGAACCTCGAGCCGCGGACGCCGTTAGGCCCATCAGTGCATTTGATGGCCGGAACGTCGTGCTGGGGAAGAGGGGTAGAGTGCCAAAAGTCGGAGCCTGAATATTTTCGTTAGCATTGACCTGAAGTCATCTTTTTGAGATCTTGGTGTACCAGCAAGAAGTGATATCTTTTCTGCAAGAGTGGCGTTCTCGAGGACGCGGCCAATGTTGACCAACTTCCGAGGAGGGGGTTGCATAGTTGAGAAGCAGTTCGCGGGCTTCATGGGTCTTCGACTCCGATATAGGAAGATCTGATCCGAACTACAGATGTAATGGATTCGAAGAACGTGTCAGATCGGGAACCACTTGGAGACGCACGAGTAGAAGTTCGAAAAGCTCCGGCGGCCGGCCCTGAGATGAGACTCTGACTCGGATGTCGGCGACGGAACGGTCCCGGAAGTCGCCATAGTGCAGATGATCGGCTGCATGCCGTGTGGAGTAGACTAAATTAGGCCCGTCGCCGGTGGGATGCCCCCTGAATCTCACTGAAAGCAAGGCACAATTCATGTCTAGAAGCGACGAGATTCCCGACTTATGAGTTGGCACGATTGAAGTGTCGCCTGAGTTCTGTTGACAAGCACCCAGAAATGATGGCTTGAAGCCTTTTTAACCGATATTTGTTGAGAAACACCAACGTAACAAGAGAAAGTCTTAACCGAAAGCCGCCAGCACACTTCGGTGTCCTCCATTAGCACTAACAGCAGCCCCGTTTACCCATCTGCCCTCCTCGCTAGCCAAGAAACCCACGATGTACGCGATATCCTCTGGCTCGCCCACTCTACCACAAATCGAATCCTGGATTTGCTTCATGAGAAAATCCGAAGGGAAGGACCCTTTAGCCCTCTCAAGCGCGTCTGTAGCCGTCGGTCCAACGCCAACACTGTTGAAGGTCATACCTTTCTCCGCGGAGTACTGGTCAGCGAAAGATCTTGTGAAGCTCTCCAGAGCAGCTTTGCTGGCACCGTAAGTCATGATCGGATCCCGGTTTCCCTGCTTGGCGGCGATGCTGGAGATGTTGATGACCCGCCCGCCATATGCCGGCGCATGAGGCAAGAAAGCGACCGTGAGAGCAACTGGCGCGAACACGTTGGCGTGCATCATTTCATTGAAGTCTTCTGGCGTCGTGTCGACCACAGACTTCACCTTGTCGGAGTTTCCAAGGATGGCGTTGTTGACGAGAATGTCGATAGTCTTCGTGTCTAGCCCACTGAGTGCTTCATTGATGACCCTCTGACCGACGCCATGTTCGACCATATCCGCTTGAATCATGCAGGTTCGCTGAGCCCCAAGTTCGCGACAAGCTTTGAGGGTCTCCTCTGCCGCCGTCTTGTTCGCAACGTAAGTGATGGCGATGTTTGAGGCACCCTTTCGCGCAAAGTGGATTGCGATTCCTCGTCCGATTCCGCGAGAGCCTCCCGTGATAATCGCAGTCTTCCCAGCCAATGACCACGGCTGCGGCGTGGAATTAGATTCAGACATGATGAGATTGAGATCCATTTGAACGGCTGGTGTAGGAAAGATGAGATGCTGGTTAATCGGTCTCCCCCGCCCAGGTTGGCGAACGGCTCCAAATATGTACTACCGATGCTTCAGCTATATTACAAATAGTATCAAACTTCAGATGGTGATCTCATCGCGCTCGTATCTCATACTGAGTTCTAGCTAAGCAAGTTTGAGTTTCGGTACGGGCAGTGAGAAGGTCCGAGGCACCTGACCTCACAGACGGTTATGAAACGGGCGTGATGAGAAAGCCGTTGTGGTGAACTTTGTGATCGCAAGCAGGCTGTCGCATTTCTGTTTCGATGACTCTCATTATGAGTTGAACATATGGCATTGCAGCAGTCGTTGCGCAACCGTCATACAGCTCGAATATGCACATGGTCAATACCACGGAAGAGCCACAGAGCTTCCAGAAACATTCATCATCGCAGACCATTCGACTTCAAATTCGTAAGGTTTAGATATCTATGTCAACAAGAAGCATTTTTGACAGATAGGAGAGAGACTGGGCCCGAGACAGGCACCTTTTGTTGATCATCTTCGTCTCTCCCAAGCGGACATCGACGACGCATTCGACTATTTTTTCGTTTGGCTAAGGCCAAAGCTCGTTAGATGAGGCCAATCTAGATTGGAAATGTTAGCAAATAGATCTTTCATTTTAGCAACTAATGACTGACCAAACGTCGTTCTTGCTGTGTTGACATGAGTCACCGTGGCTCTTTCGCCAACGCGCAAGGACTTTCCAACCGAGGACCCAAAGCAATAGCCATAGCGTCCGAACACAGGACTGTACTTTGCGCCCTTGTCAACTCTTCGATCCTTATTGAGCTTTTTCCACGCCATGCCGCGGTCGTCTGTTGCCGTCTTCCCAGTATCGAAGTCGACTGTGATGCTCTGACACCTGTAGCAGTTTGCAGTCAGGGGCATCTGGATCCCTCCGTCAAATGTCAGCTCGCCCCAGAAGTCCTCTACAAAAGGACCAGAAGCTCCCTTTACAACTATGTTCGGTCGAAACTTCGTGACGTCCATCGTGCATCCTCCCTCCAGCCGTGACGACAGATGGTTGTTCGACTCTTCGGTGACCACGAGATAGTGGGCGATGTCGTTAAAGACGAGACGCTCTTCCGGAAAAGAGAGGAACGGAACGAAGGACTGGAGGCGTTTCAGAAGTCTTGCCTTTCTCAGTCCTATCTTGCTGTGAGGTGCCATGGAGCCGAGAACGGGCCGAGAGCCATGGCCTATGTAGGCGAGCCGAGTCTCGAAGCCAAGTCTCTCGGAGAACCATGAAGACAGCTGATCGCCCATGTCGTAGGCTTTGGCCTGACTTCCGTGTAGACTAGTTTCGTATTCATCGCGGCCTTCAGTCGTAGGATTCAATGGGAATCGAATCTCGTCCTGGGTATTGACCCCCGCATCTCTTGCAGCTGCGCCAAACTCGGTGTTACGGCCCAACCATCTCACTATTATCTCACCATCGTCGTCATTTTCTCTTCTGCCCTCGAATTCAACCGTTGCTTGAAACAGCGCCAGTTGAAGATAGTACCCAGCAAGCATGGTTTCATATCTTTTCGCCTTCGCATCTTCCCCATCTCTATGAATTCTTTGCAAAGAGAAAGTGCGGTCTCCTAGGAATCCGTATTTTCCCAGACGAGCTCTATTGATAGCGCATCCTCGGAGTCCTTTTACTGGATAACAGTAGAGCTGATACAAACCGTCAGATTCTCTATCGTGCTAGCTCGGGTTGATGGGAGGTAAATAATTTTATCTTACTTGTGTAATCTCAAGTATCTCTCCAGAAGTTCGGGTCGAGTCCAACAATCTACTACCCACGAAGAGTGTTACAATCAAAGCGGCAACTGCAATAAGCGCAACGTTGGACGATATCGCGGATAAGGATGTTATCGGAAGATGAATATCCGTCAGGTTGGTGAAAGCGTTCATGGTCAGGATAGCTCGTTTTGTATCATAGAAGTTCTTCGATAGGGCCGTGATGAGAAGCAGCCAGCAGACTTTCTCACAGAGGGTTGTCCAACACTTTTATTCGGGGCTTTGACCGGCCGTCGGTATCCCACTCTGGGTTGGACCCTGGACCAAGCTTCAAGATGTCATTCTTTGAGCAGGCGGAGACCATCCTGGAGAACTTCAACTAAACCCGTTATGGAAACAAGATGGACCAAATCCTGCAGGGTGTTGACTTGATGTCGAGAGACCCCGGCCCGGGTTCCAAGCTGTCTCCCACTCATTCCCCGCATGTCTCCCCCAGATGCCGAGTCTTTATCGCCTATCATCGGTGAGGGGGCGAGCGGAGCAGATGTTCGCAGCCCTGATAACAGCTGGCAACGTCAGTCTTACTGCGTCCGTTATCCAATATCATCCTGCATGAATCAAATCCGCTTTACATCACCACATATCCACGATCTCGACGTCGAGGCAACCATTCGGTACATCTCTCATCATGGTCACCAACCGCATCCGTGTTGTCGAGGGCTCTTGCTGGCCGTGCAAGAAACGACGCATCAAATGCGACCTCACCAAACCACAATGCGTCCGTTGTGCCAAAATTGGAGCCGACTGCGATTTCAGTCCACGAAGATTGAAATGGAGCACACGACCAACGATCAAAGCCCCGGCGATTTATCAAATCACCACGCGAGACGAGCAACTCGCGTCATCACTTGCGGCCGACGAGAAACGAGCTCTCGACTACTTCCACCACCGTCTTTGGCCAATGCTTACCACGGCACCGGAGCCATGCGCCGCGCCTATTTTGCAGGCTCTCGAACATCGTGTCGTTCTTCTGGCGACTTGCGTCATCGCCGACGCTCATAGGGTGCTACAAGACGGCAGGAACAGTCGTAACCTCCTTCGGATGAAGCGGCTAGAGTGTCTTGCGGCAGTAAGGGGAGAGCTAGGAGGTGCTCAGATTGACAGCATTGATAAGGGCTCGCTGATGACACTGCTGCTGGCAGTACTCCTTCTCTACTTCCATGATGGTTATCTCGAATGTGCGCAGTCTTCAGCATCGACTTTGAGTCATCACGGAGGCGTCAAGGCGATCGTCGAAAGTCTTGGGGGCATCAACACGGTGCTGGAGACCAGCCATGAGTCCATTCACATGCTTCTCTCAGAGTTCGTATCGACAGATCTCACTACGGTGATGCTCAAAGGAGGACCGCCATCGTTCCAACCAGAGATCTGGCAAACGATAGACAAAAGATCTGTCTGGTGGGGAAGAGACATCTTGGGCCGGTCATCATTGGCATCTGTCTTTCAGCAGACATCAAGGCTGGCGTGGTATTTGGATAGTCTCAGCAGTGGGACGGACAAACTCTCCATGGACGTCGTTCGCAATTTCGAAACCACCTTGTCGCCGGTATACGCGAGAATAACGGATGCGGCAGACAGCGATAGCGAGATGGAGGCCGAAGCAAACCATGCATTCACCCTTATTCGGGCCTTCCAACACACGGCACTCATTTATATGTACCGAGCGATTTGCGGCTTGCCGGTCTATCACTCTCTCGTTCAGCAGCATGTGTTACCGTGTTTGGAGTGCATCCTCGACATCAAGCAGCCCTCGAAGGTGCTCAACTGCGTCATTTTCCCACTGCTGGTCGCCGGGGCACACGTTCGGTCACCAAGGCACCGGAAAGCTGTGCTGGGGTTAGTTCACGTAATCCGGGATGAAGTTCGCTTTGCCTCTTTCCACTCTGTTTGCGATGTTCTCACTGGTATCTGGAAAGCGGATCAGGAGGAAGTCACTTGGTTTGAAATGTTTTATGAACTTGGAGCGGACGCAGTTATTCTCTGAACGAAACAGGCTTCTTCCATGTGTATCTGATATCTCATATTAAAATACCCAAAGCGCTACTTCAAAGGACCGTTCCCATGTTCAGATGAACAGACTTGGTCTGGGTGTACGCCGCAAGGCCAGCCTCACCTAATTCACGACCGACACCACTTTGCTTGACTCCTCCAAATGGTACGCGGATATCGGAGTCATTGGAACTGTTGATCCAAACCATTCCAGACTCCAAACGGGCTGCGACCCGGTGACCACGCTCGATGTCCCGAGTGAACAACGCAGCGCCAAGGCCATAAGAAGTGTTGTTGGCCAAGGCAATAGCTTCTTGTTCGGTCTTGAAGGGAGTAATGGCAACGAATGGCCCAAACACCTCTTCTTGGAAGATTCTCATGTCCTTCTTCACATCGGAGAAGACCGTGGGCTCGATGAAGAAGCCCTTGCCATCGCCAACGTTCTTGTGAGGCACGCCGCCAGTGATAAGCTTCGCACCCTCGTCTTTTCCAGACTGGATATAGCCCAGGACCTTGTCGTACTGAGCCTTCGTGATCTGAGGCCCTTGGAAGGTATCGTCATCAAATGGGTTGCCAACCTTGTTCTCGAGGCAGATCTGCTTGAAACGGGCAACGTAGTCTTGGTAAACCTCCTCTTGGACCAGAATTCTTGAGGTTGAAGTGCAAATTTGGCCTTGATTGCTCATGATACCAACATGGCCCCACTTGGCAGCTTGATCCAGATCGGCGTCCTTGAAAACTACCAGAGGCGACTTGCCACCGGTCTCCAAGGTGATGTTCTTGAGGTTGACACTGGCACCCTTCATGATCTGTCGACCAGTCGCAGTGGAACCGGTGAAGGCAATCTTGTCAACATCGTCATGGGAAACAAGGGCGTTTCCAGCCTCTCGTCCCAAGCCGTTGACAATGTTGATAACACCCGGGGGGAAACCCGCCTTCTCGATTAGAGTAGCGAAGTAAAGGATCGAAAGAGGGGTCTGTTCAGCAGGCTTGAGGACAACGGTGTTACCACAAGCTAAGGCGGGGCCGAGTTTCCATCTGCGAGAGTTGGCGGTTAGCATGGGCATAGTCATGCCTTGAGAGAGAACTTGGAAACTCACGCAGCCATCATCACCGGGTAGTTCCATGGGATGATCTGCCCGCAGACACCAATTGGCTGCTTGAGTGTGTACGCAAACTTCTGCGGGGTGGTCGGAATGGTTTCGCCGTGGATCTTATCGGCCCATCCGGCGTAGTAGCGCAAAGTGGCAATGGTCTCAGCAAGATCTTCTCCCACTGCCACGCTGAACGGCTTTCCGCCGTTCCATGTCTCAAGCGTGGCGATGGTCTCCTGGTGTTCCTCCACAAGATCAGCCAGCTTGAAGATGAGCTGGCCCCTCTCGGTGTTGGAGATGTCGCCCCAGCCAGGGCCGTAGAGAGCGGCGCGTGCAGCCTTCACGGCCTTGTCGACGTCCTCCGGGGAGGCAGCCTCTACTGATGCGATTTCGGACTCATCGCTAGAATGCTAGTTAGCTAAGGTAGGTTCAGCTGATACCTCTGTGACTTATTTACCTTGGGTTGATGGCTGTGATCTTGGAGCCTGAAGTTGCCTTCACGAATTCGTTGTTGATAAAGAGACCTGTGGGGAGGGCGATTTTAGTGCCATTGGGCGCAGTGAGATCTATCGTCAGGGCCGACATTTTGGAGAATTTGAAGCGGTGATGTAGAGAAGAACGATTTGAATGAGAGAATACAAGAGACGAGCTAGGCACGTTGCAATATGTGTCGACCGAGAAGGTCGTGGGTCTTAAGGCTTGATATCTCAGCTAGTCTCGAGGCGAATTGATGCTTAGGGAAGCAAACGGGGCCAAAGAACAGGCCGCAGATACATTGCCTCGGATGAGCGATCTGCCCAACTCGCCGTATCGGTGGTTGACCCAGCGGCAAATGGATACTCTCCCAAAGTAGACAAAAGATGGGCAATGACCAGCATTGGAACGGAGCTGTCAAAACCAGTCCACGAACTGTCAAGCCGAACCAGCCTGGGGAACAGGCAGATAGCTTCCCCGCACTCTCCAACACTCAGCTTCGAGCCCAGCCCGCTCGTCATTGGGGAACACAACGCGTGCGGGGATTCCCTGCAGGATAGATGATCTCCCGCATAGTCTTGCCTATTAGGGTAATGAAATGGACCACTTTGGCGGGGTACTGCAGATGTCCGAATATTTGCACTTCATGGGAACGAGGATGTTGATTACGCCGATTCGATTCTCACAGCTCTCCATCTACAATGCTCTAACGTTGTGCTGATGACGACGCCTTGACTTGAAAGAAGATAACAGCAACTGAGGACAGGAGAAACAACATGGCAACCTCTACGATGCCCTTCCAGTAGGGCACCAGCAATATCCAGCCGCGAGAATCCGGTTTGGTTTGTGTCTAGGAGGATTCAACATTAGAGAGGACCCAATCTTTTGAAGGGGCGTTCTACCTTTGGTTCAATCTTGAGCACCCCGACAAGAAGGGCTTCGAGTTGGGCTTGAGCGCCCTTGCTGTGTCCTACTTCGTGGAATGCCTCGGTAGCATCCTGGCCAAGGACCTCTGCTAGTATATCGTCGCCGCCGCTGCCCAAGAGAAATTAGTCTTGTAGAAAGATCATAGAGACCAGAGATCTCACGGGTGCTTTGCCATGTAATCCGTAATGTTGTAGACCTTTCCCTCGATCACAATCAGCCCGCTCTTGTCAGTAGACTGCTCCGCAACTTGGTCTAAGGTGAAAGTCGATAGCATTTTGAAGATATTGCGAAGTCCGGTGACGTTTACCGATAGTTGCTGATGTGAAGAGTACCATATTATCAAGTACACGCGGAGACTCTTGTAGTATATATACTCGATCTCAATATCTAGCATGGTATACATAACAGAGGTCAGATCGATGTGAAGCTTCTGTCGGCGAAAAGACCCGCTCTGAGGATTGAAAACAGGGAGCTTAACTCATGTCAATTCATCGGGGCTTGTTTTCTGACACAATCATGCCTGCTATTTGACATGTCGAGCCTCGAAAAGATTGAAAAGGACAGTCCTAACTTCATAAAACTTGTCTGGGGAGCGAGTCAATGGGATCATTTTGTTGAAAGGCTGTGTAGATTCATCATAACACAATTTCGAGATGGCATTGCACAATTACTGCTTTCCATTTTTCATGTTGTCACCAACCAAATCTCTGTTTCTGATGGCATCCATTACATGGCGCTCTCCATCCGAACACAGCTAATTACGAAGGGACCAAAGCCTCAACTTCGATTTCCACCTGCATTCCCTCCAATCCAAGCTTTCCGATCTGGATACACGTCCAGATCGGACGGTGGTTGGGGAAGAGCTTCTTGAACAACCCAGTCATGACGTCGAAGCTCGTGTCCATCTCGAGGTGGTATGAACGAATTGCGTGGATGTCGTTGAACGTCAAACGGGAGTCGACCGCCTTGAGCGCTTTCAGGACATTGTCGAATGTGGTGGCGATCTGCTTCTCGAGATCGGGAGTGATGTTGCCTTGTTCGTCCCAGCCACCTTGACCGGAAGTGCGAACGATGTTGCCAAGCTTGACAGCTTGAGAGTAATGGTATTGCTCGGCGTTTGATTCAGTGCCGGGATAGTTGAAGAACTGAGCGGAAGCCATGGTTCAAGGTTTGTGACTTCTTGAGAAGTGAGATGGACTAGCGTATGAGACCGTATGAGGTAGTCTGAGTCGTGGGAAATGGTGACGATTGAGTGGTAGTCGGGTTGAAAGGTCAAGCATTGTCCGCCTACTTATCTATGCGGCTGGCGCGACAGGTGTGGGAAACATGGGTATTCCGACCGAATGCGGGGTGATTGCCAAGTTTGATCGGGCTTGTTTTCGCTTGATAAAGCATATCTGCATGGTCAATCTTACTACTAATTAAGTGCTGGTCGATTTTCTACCACGCTGTTCCGAGATACTCATGCATTGCACAGCCCATCGGCTGGGCTGCGTGTGTTCTTCCGTGATGTTCACGCAGCAAAGTGGGCAATCTCTCGAGAATGGTCCAATACCTTTCCCAACAAGGTATGGTTTCATGCTGCAGCAGTATGCCGGTATGACGCGGTGTGGCCATCATTCGATGCCCAACTTCGGGTCAATATGCGTTCAGATAGCCGTGGGCGTTGCCAAGATGCAGGGGATAGTCACTGCGATCCCAGAAATTGCGAAGGACCCGGCCATGTAGTTCGAATCCAGTTTAGTCAATACGTGTAAAGTACCAACAAAGGTATGCTGGAACGCAGGTTTGGACTGCGTCCAATTACTGCCTTATGACCAAATGGCCACCATTTGCATATCTGCGTACCGCTGCACAGATCAAAGAACCACGTGCCATGTTGGAGAATTGCGACTCGTCCTCGACTTTCTACTATGCTCGTGGTCTCGAGGACATATTTTGTGCAGTATGAATGCCTAAGAACTTCAGTAGGCTGGAGGCTCTAATATCAATTTGCTGCATTTCTACCGTCTTAATACGGTGCTTGAATGATCTGGCACAAATATCATATAATGAATAAGGACGCATGTCTTAAGATTATGCAACTTCATCCAGTCTCCATCCATATCTAAAGTCATCGAGTATAGCTGAACGCGAGACTTCATTAATCACGAATATGTCTGGGTCTGATTCCTCACTCTCAATAGGGTGTCTCTAGATTTGGACATCTCTTCCTACCACTTACCAGGCAGCCGCCATTTGATTATTCACCACACACCGCATATGTCAAAATTCGAATTCACAGTCTGCCTCAAATAAGTCTGCCCACGCCATTTCTCAAGACTGTACTCAATGTGCCAATGCTCCGTGATCTTCAACAAGCTTCCAGTAAGGACCTGCTGCACTCCTCCTGAATGATTTCCCAACGAAGATCATGACCAAACACAAAGCCCATAAGCCCACACCAAGTGCAGCCGTCAGTATGAACGCATTTCGAAGTCCTATGTTCTCGATCATCGGTACGACAGCGTAGCTGAAAGCAAAACCTACATGTAAACCGAGTTAGCTAAACATTCGACCCCAAAGTCGACGTCTGAAATTGAACTTACCCATAGAGTTGCGAATCAGAATAGCGGACACAAAACCTTCCCCGGCCACCTCCTTGAAGCTGTCTAGTATGTATGTGAAAGCCAGACTCGTTCCAAGAGGGAGGGTTACCGAGATCATACCCAGACCGAAAGCTATCCCAACCCAGTGAACACCATAGAAAGCGCCCACCCCGTAAAGAATACAACCCACAGGATGCGCAATAATGGCCAAAATGCAAAGCCAGAGACGGTATTCGGGCTCCATGACTCCTCCACGCCTCCGAGACATCATCACGGACAAGGCGTCGCTAGCATATCCCGAGACAGCGCATCCTATGGAAACCCCGATTACTGAAGCGAGATAAAAGAGGCCGATAACGTTGGAACGAAAGTTGTAAGGTGGATTGCCTAGAATCAGGGCAAGAGATCCGCCGACAACGTTGTACCATGACAAGATACCTCCAACGAGAAGACCTGCGAATAGAACGGTCGGAAAGCGAAGAAGTCGGAACGGGAGGAGGGCGTTCTTGAAGCTGCTGGGTTTCCGTGGATCCTGATGTCCCCAAAGCTTCAGCTTGGATGCAAAGGAAATGTCCGAGGCGCAACCGGAAGCGTGAGACTCGGTGATGTCAACGTTTGACATGATTCTTGTAAGACCTCCATCAACAGCGTCTCCGGGCTTTGACTCTTTCGTTTCCGTCAAGTGTTGTTCGCCTAAGACCCCGGTCTCTGTCACCGTATGTTCGGTGCTGACTGTACCGATAATTTCAGCATGGGTAGTCGGTCGGTAGAACATGGTTTCCTCGAAGAAAAGGAAGGTCGAGACGCTGACAGCGCCGCCCAAAATCGATAAAATGTATTGTATCCATCTCCAGCCCAAGGTTTCTGCGACGAAGCCGGACGCCACTGGGCAGAGAAGCGCTCCACACCATAGAGTCCAACTATAGATGCCCATGTAGAACCCTCGCTGGTGGACGAAGAACAGATCGTCGATGACGACTTCGATGAGGGTCTCCATCGGAGAGGAGACGATACCGATGATGATTCGGTTGACGAAGAACTCGACACGGGATTTGACGTATGCTGACCAGAGGTTGACAAAAGTCGTCAGAACGATCGAAACAACAAGAGTTGGTCGTCGGCCATAGTTGAGCGCAAAACTCTGCGTGATCAGAGTTCCCCAGCCGAGGAAGAGAAACAAGAGACCATTACCAGTGCTCAGATCAGCCACAGAAATGCCAGTATCGGCCTGGATTTGCAGGTATGCAGGCGACAGGCCCGAGATGATGGCAGCTGCGAAGAAGCACCAGGTCATCACCCAGAATATGTTGAAAGTCTTGCGCTTCTGCGTCCACGAAAGGGGGTCTTTTGGGTCGCTGCTTGGTTGGGGGACAAGAACGATGTTCGCTTGGCCACTTCCATGCTTGACATCGAGAACACCTCGGTTGTCGACAAGTTGAACAGTCCCCGGAACGTCGACGGCGGAATGCTTTTGTGGCATGGTTGATACGTGATGCAAATACAGTTTGGGTGTTATTCCTTCTTGATTCAAAAAGCTTTGTGGTGACTCAAGGATAATATATCAACATAATCTGCATCGTCCAAGTTGTAGGAGTGCATACCTGGCTTACAACGGTCGTCATGCAGAGCAACTGTTCGTGGGATTCAAAGGCCTCATCCCTGTCAGCGCTAAACCAATCGTAGGTAAAAGATGGACCAGTACCACATGGCCTGTCTCACGAGTCGCGCCGAAAGTCTATTGAACCTACTGTCAGTCTGTCAATCTGCCATGAGTTATCAATGCCGTTGTGTTCAAGCGTTCCCCCTGAAAACCCCGGGCGTTATCTCTCTGATAATCACTGCACAGCTATCTCTGCAGATCTGCTGAGGATGCGTTACCTTTCAAGACTCTGCACCCAGCTATCCCCCCAATGAAATGCGGACTATCTCTTGGCCCTTTTGGTTGGGGAATTCGACGAACAAGCATCCTTTCTTTCCTAGTCCTCAAGCCTTGTGACTAGCTTTTCAACGTGCACAGCTGGCCGCAATATAGGAAGACATTTTGAGTGGATAGAAGAGGGGATAGAAGGATAGAAGGATATAGTTTATCGTATAATCTTAGTAGTAGAAAGGATAATCTCTTATAGACTAATATCCCTTATTAAGGTCTTACTACTTTTAACCTTAAGAGTAAAGCTATTTATATACTATTAAATATACTAAAAATCTTATTAAGATAGAGTTTTATTCTTTTAGAAATTAAATATTAAATATATACTTATTAGGTATAATAAGATATCTAAAAATAAATTTTAAGGGTAGCTATATTATATTGCGCAGCTTATTGCATTTATTTAGTGGTGCACAGCTGGCCGCCAACCGTGTAGTTCGTAATCATCCTTACTACAAGTCCACACACTCTACCTTTCCTCATCAAAGGGTCTTGGGCTTAGTTGAAGCAAGACTAGATGCCAATAACCAACAGGTAGTATCGCCGCCAGTCTCCAGGCACATTTGTTTGATTCTTAAATGATCCGAGCATGCAGTTGCAACGAAGGAAAGGCAGTTCTGTGCCTTCAAGCGACATATCGAAACATGCTATTTGCGCTCATGAAATCTGAACCAGTATGTTCTATAAGCACGAACCTCCCAATATAAGGAGAAAATCAAAAAAGTTCAGCCCGGCCTTTTTTATTACTGCCTTGATGATTATTGCAACTGCGGCCCTGACTGCTAAAGCATGGAGCGCAGTGTCTATCTCGATTCAACCCCACATTCGGTCTTGACGACTATAGCCAAGTTTATTTGCCAGTTTGCGTCCGCCTTACCGATGCCAAGGGCTGCGAATAGACGCCCCTCTGTTTCTTCCTGTCCTTGTGGTTTGACACGCAGCACCACACACAACATCCAACAAGAAGGCAGAAGATGACCGTCGGAACAACGGCGATAATAATAATTGCCGTCTCCAGTCCCGTGAAAGGCGGCTGGGATTGATATGTCTGGGTTGGTCTTGGTACTAGCTCCTGCCCCGGAACCCACGTGCTCAAAGTTGTTGAAAGACTCGGCGGCTGAGGAGACAACGTCGATGTATCAGACTCTTGCCATGTGATGTGCCACGCTGGATGAACATCGTAGCCCTCTGTAATAACAGTAGTTGATCCGTTGGAGTACGTCGCAGTACGGTTCCCGTACACATTCAAACTGCCAACAAAGTTTACCAGGCAGACTGGATACAGCGTCTGAACCGGAATCGCTGTGGATGTGTCCGTGACCCGCGTTATGACGCGGTATCTGCCGCTGAGAGAGCCGTTAGCTTGAAGAGTGCCCGGAGTTGCAAGAAGCTCGTGTGGTGTTTACTCGAGACAACAGTAGGCTGTCGTCAAAGTAGTGGAAGACAGAACCGTAGTGGCCATCATGTGAGCTACCCAGTCAGATGGACACACCGCGGGGCTGAAGTTCAGCTGCCTGCTATCCCCTCTACTCTTCCACTCCGGTGGTTGGCATGCGGAAACAAGAGGGTCGGCTAGATTGGAAATGGCCACATCCCACGTTTTTGTTGTCGTTCCATCTATGCGAACCATCGATATGGCTTCTAGGATGGCGCTGCATGAAAGCGGATATCGAAAAGGAGTAGTAAGTGCGACTTCTTCCGATATGGTAGATGTCGCGAATTTCGTAAGTTCTGAACTCGTGGGCGACGACATTTTGTGATAGAACCGAGGTATATTGGTAAAAGAATACGAAAATGGACTTTTGGAATCGATCTCGAATGCGGTAGCGCGGGCGATGGTTAAATAAGACCTCTTATACCCTGGTCTTTCAGCTTCGTATTCTACTGAAGCCCCTGGGTTCTGGGCACCCGTACTTCAAGACCGGACTTTATGTCATTATCAACCGAAGTTCCTAATTTCAATAATTTAACCTGAAAGATGTGGCTGAATGCCTTTGCTTTTGACGTGCTCTGCATTGGCACCTGCCTAATCGAGCCATGCTTCATGGCCAACGGCTTTCAAGCTTGTTGGTGTTGGTGGTTGTACGCCAGCTAAGCCACCGTCGAAATTAGCCTGCAAGGGACACGATGAGTCTCATTGGTGGTGAATGTTGGACATGTTGAGCAGCTAACCTCGTTTGGACACCTGGAAACATATTGGCTGCATGACAAGGGTCAATAAGCTTACTTCGCGATGCAACAAAACCCTCCATGCCCACAGCGCCTGCAGAGACCTCGGGATTCAACTCCTTTCATACATCAAATGCTCCGAGAACTCATTAGTACATTAATACATTTCTGGCAGAAAATGGCCTTCACGGTTTGCGTGATGGCATTTGCGTTTACATCAGCCGCTATAATCTGGTCAGAGTTGAGACCTTTGCCTGACTTAATTTCAACTCGAATATTTTCTGACTAGCAACTTGCGCTTCGGTTGACGTACTTAACTCATAGACACGACACCAATCATTTAATTTGTTCTATTCGCAGCTTAAGCTCTAGTTTGATGGAAAAGCAACACTACATGTCTGCTAACAACACACTGCTCGTGGACAATTATAATACAGCGGTTATGTCTTTGTACGACTCCGGTCTGAGTTCTTTCCCATCTCCCCACTCCCACTCGTCCGGTACTGAGTCAAAGGTTTCAACTCTGTTAAAGTTGGTTTAAAGTAAGAACGTGCCTATGACGGAGCTGTCCGAATGCTACGTTCTCAAGAGAGTCGCAGCCCCTGATCGCTGAAACAGTCGATCCCTGATGATAGCCCCCGAGCTATTTCAACCCCTTATAATTGCCTTGAAACCTCTGGGCCAACCAATAGTAGACTGAAAATCGAAGCTGTGGTCTGATCATAGCATTCCGGCTAAGTTTTATGAGACGAAAGGTCAACGTCGCCTGGAGCATTCCGCTATTGACCATATCCCATAAAACAGCAGACAGCTTTCAGCTGTCTGATAAAATCAATTGCCAGAAGCAGGATGCCTACTGACAGTCATGGATAACCCTGCCCCGTGGTTCTAAAAAGGAGTTCCACGGCGATACCCAAGACTTGGTTTGCGTTTCCGTATGTTGGCGAAGGCTCCACCAACTCAATGGAACAGCTGAGTCGAGTTGAGGTTAAATAGACCTCACGAGACCTCACAAAAACAACAGAACTTCGCAGAAAGGCACATCAACCATCATACTTTTTTTTAATACTGAAGTCTGTCCGGAACAGAAAACTCTTACTAATCACTTTTACCTTGGTTCAAACCATCCTTCTCTAAAATCGCGATCTTGTCGAAGAGCCATAACCAACCGGCATGAAGTTGACTGTCTCGATCGCCCTCCTCATTGCCATGGCCGGCTCTACTTTAGCACGTAAGAGAATCACTCTACTATCGCTTTTTGTATCAGGTGTTGACAGTTCTTCCAGAAAGCTGCAATAATGGCCGAGGGTTTTGTCAAGGCGGCAGATGTCAACCCAACAACGACCCCAGCGGCGCCGGCCCCTTCGTCGGTAACTTCAAAGAATGTCAGACTGGTAGCGGAAGATCCAAGGTCGACGATTTCATCCTCGGCGGCGGCAATCAGAACGCCAAAGTCAACGCTGGCGCAGCCTGCAACAACGGTAGAGGCACATGCAGTGCACGAGGCGCTTGTGAACCAAACAACGATCCGAGCGGTGCCGGGCCATTTGTTGGAACGTTCGATGAGTGCTTCAGTTAGTCGATTGCTATGAGATACACGAATGGTCTGCAAATATCTTCCAAGAATGTTCTGTGTATTATCGGCCAATTCTCATTCGACCTCCACATCGCTCTTCATGTCGAGCACAAATCTGATACCCATGTGATGCCACTCAAAACTGGCCAATTGAGTTCTTTGAAACAGCGAATGAAAGTCATTCCAAGTATCTGAGAATCCAGACGAAGCCGGAGTTAAGAACTCCGTTCTCCGGGCTTCAGAGAATAGATAACTTCTTCCATTTTGCAAGCACTACCAATCAACACTCACGCACGCTGTTTTTTCAATCCATATCACGCCATTGGCACAAGTAGTCTTTGCTAAGTCCGGAATGCGGCTTGATGTCAGCAGCACGCATCTATGAGTGATGAATTTCCACATTTGAGGGGCAGAAAGACGGTGATCAGCGCAGTGCGGGGTAGCTCTTCGCCTTTCGGTGCCGTCTACTACCCGCGCTGTGACCCCTCCATTGTATGTCGCGATCGGCCCTTCATGACGTTACGTTAGCCGTGAAGGCGGGAGGATATATCTGTAATGTTCTCCCACCCATAAGCGAATCCTTCCTGCAAGATTAAGTGCTGACAGGTATCAGTAACCGAAATCCTTATTGCAGATCTCGACACACACCAATAGACATCACTTCAGCAACAATGGCGTCAAAGCAACTTCCCACGCGTCTCAAGGAGTCGGTCGAGAACACCAAAGTCGAGTACCGCCAACTTGGAAAGTCCGGACTTCGTGTTTCAGTTCCCATCTTTGGCTGCATGAGCTTTGGCGACCCGCGAACAATTCCATGGGCTCTTGGAGAGGAAGACGTACGTTGCTGCACAATTTTCGATGCTTCCAAAGTGCATGTGACTGACATCGTTGTTTGCAGGCCCTGCCCTTGCTGAAAGCCGCCTATGATCGAGGACTCAACACTTGGGATACAGCCAACGTGTATTCCAATGGCGCTTCGGAGGTCACCATTGCGAAGGCCCTGAAGAAGTACAACATTCCCCGAGAGAAGGTTGTCATTCTGACGAAGTGCTTCTTTGCGGTCGGTGAAGAACCAGGTATTTTCTGGGGCGTCCAGCTGGATAATGGTAGCCTATACTGACCTGTAGCATGAAGAGGCGCGTCAGTTCAACTTTCGCGATGAGTTCAACACAGCCAAAGACTACCAGAACCAATTCGGTCTCTCGCGAGCGGCGATCTTTAACCAGGTTGAGGCCTCGTTGAAACGGCTCGATACCCCTTATATCGACCTCCTCCAAATCCACCGCTTCGATCCCCGAACGCCCATCGAGGAAACCATGAAGGCACTACACGATCTGGTGCAGTCCGGAAAGGTGCGGTATATTGGAGCAAGTAGTATGTGGGGAACACAATTCGCCCAGATGCAGTTCGTTGCAGAAAAGAATGGCTGGACCAAGTTCGTCAGCATGCAGAACCACTATAACCTCCTGTATCGGGAGGAAGAGAGAGAGATGAACCGGTTCTGTAACGACACCGGGGTCGGCCTCATTCCGTGGGCTCCGCTGTGTAAGTGCTCCCCGATGCTCCCCGACCCAGATGCCAGGCGTTCAGGATTAAGCTAACCATCGATGTCAGGTCGCGGCCATCTCGCCCGACCCCCTGCTGACTTTGGCTCTACCTCGCGCAGCAAGGGTGAGAAGGAAGGTCAACCCGGATCTCACGGGACCGTGGAGCCGGACATCAGCATCATCAAGAGAGTTATTGAGATCTCAGAGAAGCGCAACTGGCCCATGGCGCACGTGGCTCTTGCGTGGATCAACAAGCGGGTTACCAGCCCCATCATTGGCTTCAGCAGCGTCGAGAGAATCGATCAGGCAATGACGGCCGACGGCAAGGTTCTCACCGAGGAGGAGGAGAAGCATCTTGAAGAACTGTACAAGCCCAAGGCCATCACTGGGCACATGTAATACTTCTAAGCGAGACAAGGTCTAGCTAGCAACAACAGAAAACATTATCCAATCGGAACTTCTCTCGACTCTGATTCGAGCCGCACCGTTCGTTGCGAAGTGGGCGGAGTCGGATCCGACGAGAAACGTCCTTGATGTCGTGTTGTTTGCAGCGAACCCAGGCCGAGCTGAAGCTTTGGAAATGCATCCAAGCTTCTGAGTGTTTTCCTGGGTTCTCTCTATGTTCGGGAAGCCGATTACGAGATCGGAGGGTCGGAATTGGCAGCGTAGATTGGGTGAAGCGTTTTCCGTCTGATATTCCACATGCTTCGCAACGGCGACCGTCGCAGAATAAGCTTCACCGCCGGGTCTATCGGGGAGGAAATCCACGGCCTGACGTCGATGGTATCCGATCCATAGACTCAGGTTCGATTCCATCCCCTCTCTTCACCCCCGCATCCGCGGTGGGCAGCACTCCGTATTGGGCGAATGCCTTGGTACAGACTTGCCGGTTTGCGACCCTCCATCTGATGCTCGCGGGCGCATGACACCTGCCGGCTCATAATATCACGCACTAGTTGCCGAGGGTCGGAGGAATCTGTTCGGGTCGAAGTGACGGCACAAGCACTACATGGGATAGCTCTAGAACCCTCCCATCCATGGAATCCTTCTAAGGGCCTTCCCAACCGCCCAGGACCTTGACGGGTGTCAAAATTTAGGAACACTTCTGTTTCTGGCGATGCGATGCGAACAATTCCCCAGCAGTTTCCGAAGTCATCGCGCTGTCCCGCAGCACGCTACCTGGTTCATCCGACTTTAAGCTACCTGGGCAAACCCAAACGTATTCCATGAGATCTCTGGGTCTCTATCATATGATATCATTGCCTTTTTCCATAGTTGCCGAAGGCGACATGGAGGTGCATGACTCTAACCTGATATATCCAGCTGTCGTGGCCCGGGCCTCTTCGACCCCTTAGTCTGACCACAACTCCGTAATGTGTCGTGAGAACAGACTTCACCGGTCTTCTCCAAATTATTCTTTTTCTTCTTTACAACTACTTCACTAATATGATGCTGTCGACGCTGGCCTTCGTCAGTTGCGCCGTTCTGGCTTGGGCAGCGCCGCAAGCGAAAGGAGGCGTGCCTCAAGTTACAATCAAGAGTCCACAAGCCAACATCAAAGGAACGACAAAAGGATTTCTCGGAGCAAAGGCCGGCGAAGTCGAGTCTTTCAATGGAATCCCATTCGCGAAGCCTCCCATCGGCGAGCTGCGTTTCAAACCTCCGGTTCGTCTCACGGAACCTATGGGAAACGTCGACGCAACGACCGACCAGCCCGAATCTTGCCCACAATTTGCGTTGAATACCAACTTTGGCTCTCCTCTCATCCCTCCAGATCTTCTCGATAAGGTTCTCAACTTGCCTATTCTGAAGAACTTGGCTGTGGGACAAGAAGACTGCCTCACGATCAACGTTCAGAGGCCAGCCGGAACTACCGAAAACAGCAAACTCCCGGTCATGTACTGGATCTTCGGAGGCGGCTTTGAGCTCGGAAGTACATCGATGTATAACGGCGCTGGTATTGTGGCGGAGGGTATGTCCACGGGAAAGCCGATCATCTTTGTGGCCGTGAATTACCGGGTAGGAGCTTTTGGCTTCATGCCCGGAAAGGATCTCATGATGGAAGGAAGCTCCAACGCCGGACTTTTGGATCAAAGAATGGGCCTCGAATGGGTACAAGACAACATTGCCAGTTTTGGGTAAGTTCACACTCCGTCGCCTGCTTCGACGTGCGAAGCTGCCGTTTGCTGACTTCGAATTTTCCAGCGGAGACCCAGACAAGGTTACTCTCTGGGGAGAATCGGCCGGAGCTATTTCGATCTTCAGCCAACTTACACTCAACAATGGCAATATCACTCGCAACGGAAAGGCTCTCTTTCATGGCGCGATCATGAACTCGGGTTCTGCTGTTCCAACAGATCCCATGGACTCGCCAAAGGCCCAGAAGATCTACGATCAAGTAGTGACCACGGCTGGGTGCGGTAACAGCGGAGATCGTCTCAAATGCCTCCGAGATCTTCCTTACGATGTAGGAACCCCGATATGCAGTGCTCAGATTAGAGCGTTCGCTAACCCCGAACGATACAGGACATGCGAAAAGCGGCAAACTCGGTTCCTGGGCTTCTGAGTTTTAGCTCTATCGCTCTGTCATATCTTCCTAGACCAGACGGCAAGGCCATTGTTTCCAGTCCCGAAATCTTTGCGACATCGGGCAAGCTTCCCAAGGTCCCCTTCATTCTCGGCGACCAAGAGGACGAGGGCACCCTTTTTGCACTCTTTACACCAAACATCTCGACCACGAGAGACGTTGAAAATTATTTTTCAACTCTCTTCTTCAACAACGCTTCCCCCCAGCAAGTCAAAGCTCTCGTCGCAACATACAAGAACCGCCCTTCCGCAGGATCGCCTTTCCGAACAGCTGGCTTCAACAACGTGTATCCGCAATTCAAGCGCATGGCCGCCATCTTGGGTGATTCTGTCTTCACTCTGACCCGCAGGGCAGTTCTCAACATTTCCAACACAGTCCAGCCTGACGTCCCGAACTGGAGTTACCTAGCCAGTTATGATTATGGCACTCCAGTTCTCGGCACCTTCCATGGCTCTGATCTCCTTCAAGTGTTCTATGGAATCAAGCCAAACTATGCTGCTTCGGCCACGAGAGCTTACTATTTCAACTTCGCCTACAATCAGGATCCTAATGACTCAAAGGGTGGTACTGGCGTCGCAAATGTCAAGCTGATTGATTGGCCAAAGTGGAAGGATGGTGGCAAGCTACTACACATGATGGCAGACAATGCTGACCTGATTGATGATGACTTCCGCCAGGAAAGTTTCAACTTTTTGCTTAACAACGTACAGAGCTTACGTTTTTGAGTTTGGGGAGGCGAGGCGAGGCGAGGCGTAGATGATGTTTTGTCTGGATGCGACGTGGGGAACATTGGACTGGGCTTCCGGGACCGTCGATGAAGTGTGATAGTTGAGCTTGAGAGTCCCGAGGGCATTCATAATTTGATTGAGTGTCGTCCTCAATTTAAGCGTATGAATTGTTTTGACAAACGTGCACCGTCGGGAGCCGCAACACAAGGAACCAGATGAAAGTTTCCATCCGAAGAGGAGGACCCTTAGCAAGCACAACATCACCTCGGGACAACTTTGTGAATGTCATCCAAGCGTTTTCCTCATTCCGCAGAAGTTACGATGAGTCTAAAACACGTTATGTATGAACGCTTCGGGATATCATGTCTCGATGTGACGGAACTGGAACGCCTTAAGAAGACAATTCCCTTCGCAACTCGCCTAGGGCGCACTAATGAAGACGTATGGATGAGTGGCCGGAATTGAAAGCCGATTGGTCAATGTTTCACTGCTTTTCATGCTGACTGAACCTCTAATCGTCGTACTGTTGCCCGCTTCTGGAAGTCTTTCCTTTTCGGTTGGTACATACGAGAAAGTCGTTGTGAGGCGCACATAGGCTTGGCTGACGCAATGTGAAAGTCCTAGACAAAAGGGAGCTGAAAATCAAGCCTAGCCAGTCTGATATGACTTTTGAGGCGATTTGATTGCTGTTCGCTGCCGCCGAGGTCCACTCTAAAGGATCAAATCCTTGCCACATGGCAATGATCTCCCATGTAGTGTTTGCCCCGTGAGGTCGAGAGGGCAAGTAAATATCAAGTATTAATATTGGCTTGCGATGAGAAGGTCGGTTCCTCTTACTAATACTCAAACTTCTTGGACGATTGGTTTTTAACCCATATTACTCTGAAGACCAGTTTATCTCATGGACTCGGTCGCCAACATGGATACCAGTAGTGTCAATGATGACGACCTCGCCAATGATCTCATCGCCCGCATCACACTGATGGGTGTCATTTCCATTGCGTCCACCACACTTCTGGGGTGGTCTATCCTGAACCGATCGAAGGTGAATGATGTTTTCATGAACACTGCTTTGGCATTATTCGTTACGTATGGTTCGCCCTCCCGCGATAAGCCAAAACACCAACCCACTAAGTGCCGTTTAGCTTTATGACTCTCAGCATTGCCACAAAACTCGTCACCTTTGTCGCGATCAAGAGATCGGCAAACGACACGACATCTATTATGGCAAGCGGATATTACATACACGCTGTCTCGGTTCTTCTTGAAAACTTGACCCACGCCATCCTCTTCACCGATCTGTTTTTTGTCAGCTTTGACATAATATTTACGACCGATGACGACGACTTCGATTCCATGAGGTTTCTTGCCTTCGTCGCGGGGGCTTACACTGTCTGCGCGCTTGCTGCGGTCTTAGCGCTCCTCGCAGTAGTCGCGTGTGGCCTCGACGTTGCCAGCATAGCTCAAAGTAGCATGCCAGAGAAGGTAGAGTGGCTAAGTCTGTGTCAAAAGCGCGTCCAGGCGGTTATACAATGTCTCTTCCTGTCGCTCTCTCTAGTCACAGTATGGGGCTGCTACTTCGTTCACCGGGCACGGAGATACGAAAACGAAATGCACATTGTGCGCCGAGTAAGAAGACTGCATTTTCTTTCCAATTACTCTGTCTTACTAAGGTTTTCCCAGTTGTCAGCTTGGTTCGTCATCTGTTCCTTATGCTGGCTATTGAGGCACATCTGGACCGTTCTCGTGAGCGTATATTTCACCGACATCACTGGCAGCTCTCAACCCGCCAAGCGAAATGTCACGTATTTCTGGACCATCGATACCATCCTGAACCCACTGCCTACAGCTTTCATATTTCTGATCGTGTACGAAATTCATCTGGTAATGGGAGGGAACTCATTTTTCTGGATGGAGAATCAATGGGCGCCAACACATGCTGGGTCTGGATTAGAACAAAAAGAGCAGATTTGAGAGCCTGAGCGGGCAGAGAAATTTCAAGGCACTTATAGAAGTCTCCGATCCCCAATGGTTCCGGGTCTTATCGATTCATGTGTTTGCAAAATACCCCAGAAGTCCAGTTGTATCTCTTCATCCTTCCGCAGAGACTAGAAGGTTTACCCTCAAGCAATTGCAACAGGCAGAAAACAGCATGCTGTCATTTTATTGTTCCGAAGACTCTGAAAGATCATTCTGCTTTAGTTTCCTCAAAGTAAGGCCTCTCAGCCTGCGGTGTGATCCTCAACATGTGCCTCCTGGTAGTTCCCTCCTCCACACGGAAGTCCCTCAGTGCTGAATGCTGAGTGTTTCTGTTATCATACACCACGACCGTTCCAGGTTTCCAGTGTACTCTCAGATGCCAATCCTGTCCCCTTTCAATGTGATCAAACAAGAAGTTCAAAAGCGACGCGCTCTCCTCTTGCTTCATACCAACAATTCTCTTGGTGTATAGCCTGTTGACGTAGAGAGACAGCTTCTTGGTGACGGGATGAGTCCGGACCACAGGGTGGACAGTTTCGATTGGTTCTCTGATGTATCTCTCTCTGTGGTCATGCACCGAGGCTTGAGAGAAGCCAGAGTGAACTGCCTTCAGGCCGTGAAGAAGCGTACGGTATGTGTCTGAGAGGGCGTAATAGGCAGCTGTGGTGGAAAGATACAAGGTATCACCGCCTGAAGATGGTGTGCTCAGCGCAAGGAACGTCGTCGTACCCATGCCGTTTCTGCCAATGTTAGTTGTTGGATCGCAGTGTATCTGCTCGATTCTTACATCTCGTAACTCATATCACTATGCCACTTCACGCTCGTGATATTGTCTTTGATCTCATTGTCGACAGCTCCAGCCCTACGCGTAGTTAATGACGAAACGATCTGTCCATGATGAAGCTCAAAACTCACGTGAAGTCACGATAGACAGGCAGCAGCTCAGGGTAGTCCTTGATCTGACCGCCCATCTGATGCACATGTAGAGGTCCGAAATGCTTCCCGTATTCCCTTTGCCTCTCGGGCCCGATGTCCGCAAAATCTTGGTCGTGGAACAGCACGACGCCGCGCTCCGCAGCCAGAAGAGCCAGGTCATCCAGCTGAGCGGAGTTCAGCTTGCTCAGCTGGATTCCATGAATCTCGGTGCCGATAGCGGGCGTGATTTCTTCAGCGTTGACCCCCGGAGCCTGCAACAAGTTCTTCTTCTCGGGATCTGCTCTCAAGCCAACATCGACATGTTCAAACTCCTCGAGAGGCGGCTGGGTTCCGGGCGTGAAGTGCGACAAGTACCTTTCGTACTTATACTATCGTAAAGCATTTAGCAATCAGTCTCGTTAGACGCTTCACCCTCTTAACCTACCTTCTCTTTGTCGTAGTCGATAGACGTTTCAGCGCGAAGCTGCAGCGTCTGAGGCTCGGCAGTCGTGGTCTGCACTTCAGTCGACATGATGATGAATTAATGATCCGAATTACCTCAGAACTCAGAGAACCCAGCAAAAAATGTGCAACTTATAAGCATTCTCGGGAGACTTTTCCCGCGGGAACGGCGCGGGCACGCGATCCCGTGTTGCTTGTTGCGACATCATCCTTGGAGATTCGTCATAGCTTCCTGGTCCTTCACATTGGCCAGACCTCACCTCTTCCACACCAACCTTATCTTTCTCCACATGAAATCCCATGCATGCTGTATGAAATCTCCGACAGCCTGCTCTTCACATCGGAGAGACGTCCGCTTGTTCTGCTGCAGGTCAACTATCATCGGACTATTCCCGAGCAGCCTCGCTCCTTTGCGACTTGCCGGCATATTCTGTGCCTGTTGCAGACCGGACATGCATGCTGGCCCCACGTGAAACAGAGTACGTGATTTCAAGGATTAATTGTGATGCTGGTGGCGTGCTGGCAGAGTGTTGTCCGGCTCGGGCAGCATGCCGACACATTATATGAGGATAGATGTCTGTGAGGGGACTGAAGCGCCGTACTGAACACACCAATACCGAATGCTCCAAGACAGCATCATGTCTACCGAAGGCACAAAACACGACACCGTGGTGTCAACTGAGACCGAGTCTGAACTCCGGTCCCAGGAGGCACCGTCGAAGGGATTGTTCTCTACAATCGCCCGGAAGATATGGGGCGATGATGTTCGAGAAAGGAAGTACATACAAAAGCTCGACAGTTTTCTATTGTAAGAAAAGTCCTCAGCTCAAGCTGGCCTACAAGCTGCTGACGTATAGCAGCTCTTACGTACTTCTCGGTTACTTCATCAAGTACCTAGACCAGAACAACTACAGCAACGCGTTCGTCAGCGGCATGCAGGAGGAACTCGGGCTCTACGGAAACGAGAGGAATCTTCTCAACACATACTTCAACATCGGCATCATCCTGGGTACCATCCCAGCCCAGATGATTCAGCTGAAATGGGTTCGGCCGTCGATATGGATTCCCGCTTGCGAGCTGGCTTGGTCTGTCTTGACGATGGTCATGGCAAGCGCGAAGAATGTCGAAACGGTATGTGGATGCCTCGGAATCTGGATCGCACGCTTATCAAATCTCCAGCTTTATGCTCTTCGGTTCTTTGTCGGCCTGCTGGAATCGTGCTCATTCCCGGGTTTCGCCAGCATTCTGGGGAGTTGGTACGGGAAGTCTCAGCTTGCGAAGAGGATGGCCTTGTTTGAGCAGACTGCAGCAATCGCCGCCTGTAGGTTGACGCCTATCAATCAGGCTGCATCGTCACTGACACGTTGTCCGTTTCCAGTCTTCAGCGGATATCTTCAAGCAGGTTTGTACACCGGAATGAATGGCACGGCAGGGTTGTCAGGCTGGCGGTGGTTATTCATCATGGATGGTATGCAATCGGGTTGCCTTTTAAGCTTGATCGATTATCGACTAACTCGAAGCAGGTGTCATTTCAATCCCGATTGCGTTGTATGGTTTCTTCGCGCTGCCGGACTTGCCTCACAACACGAGGGCATTCTATCTGAAGAAAGAGGTAAATCTTCCTCTCCCATCCTGACAAACGAGCATCGCGCTGATGAAGGTTTAGGACCGAGAGTACGGCATGGAGCGAATCAAAAAGATGGGACGTAAGCCGCCGTCAAAACTCACGCTCAAGGGCATCAAAGATATTTACACCTCGTGGCAACTCTGGGCCTTCATCCTGCCGTATCTTATGGTTGCCGAGGCTGGTTCCGGCACCGGATACTTCAACCTTTATCTCAAGGCAGAGGGCTACAGCGTAGTCAAGACGAACATCCTCCCAACCATCGGCAAGTAAATCACTCGTCGTAACAGACACAATTACTGACTGATAATTCTACTCCAGGCAACGTCATCCAAGTCGTTGCCGCGTTTTCTGTAGGCTGGCTATCGGACGCGACAGGTAGCCGTGTTCTCACCGTCGTGTTTGTGCAAGTTCTGGTGCTGGTGTCGAACATCTTATTATCGGTCTGGAACGTGCCGAAGGCAGCATTGCTGGCCGCGTTTTACCTGAGCTACACGGGTGGTGCAGCACAGCCTGTGGTTATCAGCTACGGGCATGAAATCACTCAGTGGAATGCCAACCTGCGCCAGCTTCTCGTGGCTACGGGGAATATCTTCACTTACACCTTCAGCGCATGGATGCCAGGTGAGTCGAAAGTCGAAGTCCCATTTCGACAAGTGCTCAATTCCTACTGCACTGGCGATACTGACTGGCTTCCCCAGTTGTGCTATTCCCAACGTATGATGCGCCCAAGTACAAGTATGGCTATCAGATACTCATCTTGTTTGGCGGTCTCGCCGTCATCGGCATGTATCTTCTGGATTACCTGTACAAGCGGGACTTGTGAGTACTATGCACCAACATTAGATGGCATTGACTGAGCTTACATACGTACAGGATGCGGAATCCTCATCTTTATGAGACGGAATATGAGTCCGACCCTGAGCAAGATGACACAGGTGACCTACACAGCCAGGACGGGCTCCAACCAGGCCAGGATGGAGAAAGACGATGAGGTTAGCTCCGTGCCAATGAGATGGATGCTGCATCGGTGCAAGATCGAGATAAGGGAGCGTTAGTTTCGCGTTGTCGATCCAAGTAGAAGGAACCTCTGCGATAGGAAAGTAATGAAATCAATTGAGGCAGATTCATATTGGCGTGCGTGGCATTAGACGTCGTTAGACGCACGATAACTAGCACTCGTGGAGATTCTCTGTTTTCGTCTATGAAATTAACATCGCATTTGAATCTGGGAATCTGGGAGTTATCAGTCGACTTTCAGTCGCTTTCGTTATGATCAAGACCCCAAAACACATTAGAACCTGCCACGATACCAATCATGATACTACCGGGAACTCGTCCCGATGGTCCGTCTGAGAGATTAACCACTTTGGTTGAAATTCCCTGGCAATCTACCACGTTTTTCGTTAAAACGACGACCAAAAGTCGATTGTTTCCGGATGGCACAGGGAAGAAACGTATGCCTCTCTAGCCAAGTCGATTGAAAGCCACAGTCGGGAGACCATCGGAAGGCGGGTCCGATCAATCGGCGGCTTCCGGAGCAGCAATGCTCCACTAACACATGGCAGACCGATTGACACGACCCGCTCAAGGTGCCGCTACAGGTGTCGACCCGGACCACTGGGATCCGGGGCGAAAGCCGTCTTGGGCTTCATGACCGCCGAGCCGGTTTGAACTTGGTGAATCGTTTCTTTCCAGATACGTCTGACCTTACATTAAAGATGGCCGAAGGGCAAAAGTCAGGCATGTTGGGTACAAGACTTACGACTGAATAGTGGGCGTGGACAGCTCGTTCGGAACAAGCAGCAGCTGTCTCTTGAGGCAACGTCATTCCACTCTTGAACCCTGTAGGTGAGGAGATATCTCACGTTACCAACTACATCAATCATCTACACAGAGTTTGCTCACGATTTGTAGTGCGATTGCTTCCCAGGTGGTCTATGCGGCAAAAGTTTCCCTCCCGTGGGTGTTAATCTGCCTGTCACATGCGTCATTCATCCCCTGCAAATGCATGCTCACTGCTGCCCCCCTTTTCTCCCCTCCAAAAGCAACCCAAAGAGACTCAAAAAGACAGGCTAGACTAAGCCAAGAGAATCCAAGACTGGGGGACTGACGAAGGCCTTTCCATTTCCTCCAGTCCTGCAGACAACAAACACCCAAAGCCAACCAGTCGTGGTCGTCCGTTGGTTCCCATCCCGAGCTCCCGGCTCCACCCCGGGACTTTGTCTAGTTCTTATTAGTCGCGTGGTCGTGTCGACGGGTGTGTGCTCTCCTCGCGGGCGGTTTTTGGGGGGCCAGGGGAGCCGTCAAAACGACCAAAATGTTCCCCATAAAAGTCACGCCACTCGTCCCCATCGGCCTTGAATCATCCCTCCTTTCTCGGGGCTTCCCTCCAACGTCATTTGCTGGGCGGCCAGAACGACTCAGAGTTCTGCTGACCGTTTACGGCAGCTCGACGTGGTTTTTGGTTTTTGCCGAGCCTGCGAAACTTGACAGCTGCCCGAGGTAAAGAAGGACGAGAATTCGCAGGAATCACGGCCGTCTTCCCCCCACGCGAACGCATCGTATCCGACGGTCTGTATGGCTGGGTTTTCCGCTCTTCTGCCCTGTGAACCCAGACCCAAAGTCCGAGCGGCCCTCGAAGGTCCTTCGGGGTCCCGCTTTGCCGCCGGGCCGCTGTCGGTGAGGTAATCGGCTGGGGGATTTCCTAAATAGGTCTTTCAGGTATCATCCCCGGGTTGCCTCTGAGTAGATAATTTCTGCGCCTTTCCTTGCCGTAATCTTCTCTTTCTCTCCTCTCCAACTTTCGTAATTTTCCTTCTCTCGTTTTTTTCCGTCACACACACGATAGACCGATTTCCTCTCTACGGTTCCTATTTCCCGTTTCCTTTTGCGACAGACCGATTCCTTATAGATTGACTTGGCTTATTACATCAACGTCACAAGGTGAGTCCTGTCCTATTGTCACCTTCCGGCTCACGTTCGGGCCAAGATACCCCGCGATCATTCCAGAAGCTGACGAGACCGACGACAGTCACAAAATCCCGAGACATCGAAGAAATACACTCAAGACCAAACACGCAAAACCAGAAACAAACAACCGCCACCATGGTCCTCATCACCCGCGCCATCTCCCTCACCAACTTCCTCGTCGCGAGCAGCGCCCTCGGCTTCCAGGTCTTCGTCCTGTACCCCTGGCACGAGCAGCTCTCCCACGACTTCGAGGAGCTCAAGAAGGAGCACATTCGCGTGCTCGACTACGTCAAGGGCGTCGATGCCGGCCTGAGAAAAGGACAAGGCGGCGCCCCCGCGGGCCAGTCGATCCTGGAGCGCCTGGGCTACAAGTCGTAAACTACACCATGTGCGACTGTAGCCCGTGTTCTCTCTTTTTCTTTTTCTTTTTTGGGGTTATCCAAGGGTCGGTCTGTCTTGTCACAACTTGTCTTCATTTGTACGATTGCATGCGATATTCCCGAAATGCGAATTTAGAAAGAACTTATACCCCCTCAAACATCGGTAGTCTCGGCCTTCCTGATGCTTGCTTTGTCCCTTCCCTGACCGTTGCGGTACGTCTTGTGTATCACGTCGAGGCAGCTTGCCATTTTCCTAGTGCAGTGTTCCATAGTTACTCGCAAACCGTTGGCCGGCGCATCGAGGGGTGTTACACGGCGACTGCTCCGCATCCGGTGGTTCCACGATGGAGGCTTCCGGTCAACGCCATGTCTCAGTCTGCCTTCAACAACTGGACGCCTCTCAGAACACGGCATTCTTTCAGATCTTTCGAACATAATACCTTGGAAAACAGCTTCTCATAACAACTGGGCGATTGGTTTAGGGGTATAACGACCGCTTCGCATGCGGTAGGTCCTAGGTTCGATTCCTAGATTGTCCACAGCTTTCTTTTTTGCCTCTGGGAAGCCTGCCAAACATGCTCCTACCGTAGTAACAGATGCAATTATGTGTCTACCTTGCCTCACGTCATGAGGCCTGGGTTCTCACCAGTTTACTTTGGTGTAAATGTGCACACGTAATGCGAATAACAAGCGTGTTTTCGGCGCAGGAAGATGCTTCGGCAGATACGGAACGGGTTCGGCATGTAAGAGAATTGCTCCACTGCCTCCAGGTGTTCGCCGGAGCTCGCTCCGGATGGGACCCGCCCGGGCGTACATTAGGTCGGGTCGCCATGGTTTGATAGCGATTACAAAAGCAGGTCTCGCCCTTCAATAGATTCGCCGTTACTCGACATACTAATTCATTGATTCTGAATAGCGTTTTCCAATGATATCTCGACAACGCTCCTATTCACTATGATGAGATTCCACTGCTACTCCGCTACAGATCGCATCAACTGAAGCAAAGACTGACCCTTTTATCGCTGAAGACTACGCGACTACGCCGTTTTCGACAGACTAAACAGAGCTCATTCGAACGGAAGACTTCATAGCCAATATCAAAGTGACACTAGAAGCATGTCACATAAGTGCGGCATCCAATTGCCAAGGTTACACAGTTTCATTCGATCGCTAACTCATTCAAGTTGAACAGAAATTCATTTGCTTCTAACCATGAGATCCAGCGTCCGCGATTCCAAGCCTCATAAAGGGTATCGTAAACTCCAAATTTCAAGTCCGTCTCTGAAGAATAATCTTCATTTTCTCTCATCCGTTCATTTCACAGCACTCCTCAACACCCTGCGTCTCATTCATAAAGAGTCCACCTGACGGTCGCTTCGAGATGAATGCCAATGACGATCCCCAGAATCAGGCGTAGCTCTCCGGCTCAGCGGGCCAATTGCACACCCAAGCAACGCCGAAAATGAGCAACCACATGATGAGCCAAGTAACATAGCCGCCAGCCGTGCCGAGTCCAAAAAAGCTCCCCACCAGAATCGCGGCATGAATAAACGCGGTAACCAGCAGAAAAATGTCAAAATGCCAACGGCCCTACCACGCAATCACAGTCAGAACGGGTGCAAAATTCCTCTCATCGACAGCCAAGACGGCACTGCCGTGCCGGAGCCAAGCCGAGTCGCACTCACCAGCATAACCCCAAACACCTTCCGACGGCCCTCGGCCTGCCCGATGACGGCCAGACACCACGCGATGAAGAAGAAACCCAGGACGCCCAGGATGATGCCGATGATCCAGCTCGCGACGCGGCCGGCGACGGCGTCGCGGACGATGCCGACGATGGAGAGCGCGGTGCGGATGCCGAGGATGATGTACATGCAGATGCGGCGCAGGAGCGCCGCCTTGTCCGAGGTCTTGAGGCTGTAGGCCTCCCACGAGAAGGACCAGCAGCCGCGCATGTTGGGGCAGTTGCGGTCCTTGAAGCTGCCGCCGCCCTGGGCGGGTGCCGCCGCGGTCTGGCCTGCGTATTGGGTCATCTCGTGAGTATTAGACGGGCGGTTTTTTGGCTTGGTTGGGAGGGGAGGGTCGATCGTGAACTCGTCGTTGTGGAGGAGGGAGGTTTGGCGGTCGGGAACTAGGGGCAGCACACAAAATCTCGCGAAGCGGTTGAAGGTATGTTGGGAGAGATGCTGCTTTTATATAGCAGTCTGGCCAAGCGAGATGGGATTCCTGAAGCGGAGGGGTCTTGTTGGACATGGTGGGCTGGGGGCGGAGTCTGTGTGACTTGGGGGCGGCCAGTTGGTCCTTGTCTCATGACAGGGGAGGCGTTTCCTCGCCATCATCTTGAGGGAGCAAATTCTGGTCATTCAGCAATGGCTGCCTGGAATCTTATCAAATAAACTTTTCAGAATATCGTATTAAGCGTGTGTTATGTTGCCAGATCTGACGAACTGAACAGAGACACAGAAGAGTAGTTGCGTTGAATCTCAGCGGCATATCAAACTGTAAGTAAGAGAATGACAGGGGAGGCTTGTTCATAGAGTGGAAAATGCATGGGGGCCTTTGGGGTCCCGAGCAGGCGGCCGGTTTCTGCCTAGAAGGCGGCCGCCAAATGAGCAGAGGATTTTTTACCTGCTTCTGGCTTTGTGCGGCCAATTGCTGTTGTTACACGAGCGGTTGCGCTGGTTGGTGAGACGTGAAGATTCCGTCCGGTTTGTTGCGGTGATGGCCGCGTAATCCAAGCAGGACTCAAGATTCCAAGGAAGAATATCTGCCGAAAACAAAGGGTTCAACTCTTGGCGACAAACTCGCGGGAAAGCCTCACCGTACAGAGCCAACAAACTTATTAGGACTTTTGAGTGACAGAAATAGATTGAAGAGACGTTGTTGGTTGGACTCGTAGCCCCAGCCGTAAGTCGTCCGATTCTCAGCCCGGCCCCCGAGTGCACCCACCCACAACGCTCATGGATGTCACCCTCGACTTTTAAGCTTAATCCAGGACAGCTCCATCCTATGAGGGTAGTGAGACGCCAAGACAGGCGCGCACCAGAGGCACGGAAGCTATTTGGCGTGTCATTTCGAGATGAGATATCTGGAAAGCTTAGACTCTTAGCATAGCCGCCTTCGACAAGCACGTCTGCGGTATTCGAGTTGCAAATGTGCTCTCAACATATTTCATTTCAGGGGTTTCGACCCGCAAAAGAGCCGGTCGCTCGTTAGTCTAGGCAGCGGCCATTAGGCCCCCGCGGTTCCTTGGCGTGCGATCCTTTGCCATCGTGATTCAGCCACATCCTTCGCTCCTTCGCCCGTACACCGCACACAGTTTTCTCCGTGGTATGAGTCAAGCGGTGACGATCTTTTGTACGGTAATATAATACATGTTATATACAGCTCGTCGAAGAACTGATGACACGAGCAAGGCGTTACTCGGAGCCCTCCTCTTTGCGACCGATAGGTGGTATGACGCCGCTTTCGGGGCCCCAGCCCGTGGTAGATGTTTTCCCAACAGGATTCTTGGGACGGTTGAACTTGAGGGGTTTGGCCGCGTGCCTTCTGGGATCCTGTTCGCGAAGAGCGCTCCTGTCTTCCTCAAACTTCTGAACGAAAGTCTGGCCCCATGCTCCGTGGTCGGGTATCGCGGGCGTTTCAACGGTTGGAAGGGTGTCGGGCTTGCGATCCGGCTCCTCACGCCGTATCTCCCTTTTTGGAGCCTTTCGAATGCGCTCGAGATGCCTGGCATTTCCCCATTCGCCGCCTCCCGGATTCTTCCACCTTCCGTTCTTTGCAAAGAGACGTCCTTGGCGTCTTTTCGACAGATCTCTCCCGGCTTGACGGAGCATCTGCTTTGCTTCGTCCCGAGTGATTGGCTTATCCTCCCCCCGAGGCGTGGACTTACCACGTCGAGACCTGACTAGACCTTGGCCCGTCTGCGAAGCCTCGCGAGCAGCACTGAACATCTGCTTGAATTCGCCTGGAGTGATTGGCTGCTTGTTTCCCCCAGATGTAGACTTTTCCTCGCGAGAAAGGCGGGCGTGTCTTGCGTACGCCGCAAGGCCGTACTTCGCTTCCTGATTCGTTCTCCTGTCTTGGCTCCAGAAGTATTGGACTACATCCTCTGAGAACGGTTTGTCGTCGCCGACCGTGTCATATACGAAGTACGCCGAGCTGTTGGCCCTGCTCATCACACCGCACTTCCGGCCTTTCGCCAGGGCAGCTCTTTTCAGCCATTCCAACAAGGTCACCAGCTTCCTCAGCGCTACCTGGTTCTGGTCTTCCCAGGCCGACAAGAGCGGTGCTCCGTGGTAATGTTCTGGCGTATAGAACATCCCGTCTCGATGTTGGGCAACAATGAGATGCGGTGTGCGGCCGAACCACATCTGAGTTAGAGTAGAGTCCTGGTTGAGCTCGGAGTCTATATGTACCGTTTTGATTTCCGCCGCCATAGACTGCAGTGGCATAGACCCGCCGAATTGTCGAGCGATTTCGACCACAAGGTCTGGTCTAGCCTCCGTTTTGGACTTGATGTACTCGGTCGTTGGCATGTCTTTCAGAGATAGTCCCCATGCGGCATCGACGTCCGTCTGCACGACGATATTCAGACTGCCGAACTGGTATCGCACATAGCGAATGCACTGTTCAGTGTGCTCGAGCTGAGGCGGTAGCCTTGTGGCGTTCTTCTCGAAGGCGTGTCCATACGAGTGGCCTTCACGACTGACAACTCCGTCTTGGGGTGGTCGTGTCATGAACAGCGTGTTATGTACCATCTCGATATCGAAACGGGACATGTGCTTATCCTTGCCATTGATACGTCTGAGAAGAGACATGAGGAGGCCTCGTGAAATGACAATATCCACATTGTCAAAGCTAGTACGTCGACGTAACGCACGATCCGTCGCGCGAGCAGCCAGGAGCATTGTTTCAAAGACGTGGGTGGTGCTCTGGCCTTCGTACAGGGCACGATGATAGTATGCGGCGTTCCTGGGCGGATCTGGCTCCAGCTTGCGCGGCCACATACCTTCACTCTCAACATATACAGGGGGACATCCTGTCCATAATCAGCTATGTTCGCGTATTGAAATCGGCCTCGAGTTTTTCATGTGGGAGATCTTTACCTGGGACTAGCAGATGCAATTTGGAAATGTCATCCTTGGCGCGCATGGAAAACCGAGTGTTGTAGCTGCACAGCACTTCAGGGTTTGACCACCTTGTGACTAGAAGCTCTGCGGGCTGCAAGGTTAGGCAATTGATGAGGGCAAAGGCTCTGGCTTTGCCTCGCGGTGCGTCCACAATATGGGGGGTTGCGCCCGCGATATCTTTCCAGGCCCAGTTGATCCTCCTTTGGTGTTGTTCCTCATCTGTCCAATCGAGTTTGTCAACAGTGCGTTGCCGTCTGCCTGCTGCACGTTCGGCTCTCCGTAACGGGCTGTTATGTATCCTCTCATGGTAAAGTGCTTCCTCCTGAGCCTTTCTGCGTTCCGCTATCAAAGTTTGTCTTTTGGCTTCAGCCCATCGAGATCCTGCCCGCGAAGCCTCTAGTCTGATTTCTTCTTCCGCTCTCAACCGGTCCTCACGCGCCTTAATACGGGCACGTTCTTCTTCAACTGACACTCGAAGTTTCGGTTTCCGTTTAGGTTTATCAGGGTCCACTACCCTCTTGCGCCTGAAGGTCAATGTCGCTTCCACCCGCGGCGGCTCCGGCTCTTCCTCCTCTTCCCAGGCCGCAGGGTTGCTCTTCAGGCGCGGGGCGACCGGCGGTTCAATGAAACGTCGTCCTAGATTGACTGCTTTCTGGCCTGGTAGAAGCAAACGAGGCGGAATTCGACCTCCTGCTCTACTCGCCGGTGCCGGTTGTGCTCCTGGTTTGCTCGTACTTTGACTTGAGAGAGCCGATGGAGATGGTTCTGGTTCTGGTCGCGCTCCTGGGTTGCTTGCACTCTGGCTTGGGAGAGCCGAAGTAGGTGGTGCTGGTTCCGGTGGTGCTCGTCTTATTACTGGTGGTGTTCTGGCGTCCCAGCCCCTCATACTTGGGTGAACCGACGGAGGGGGGCCTCTGCGCGATGAGGCAAAGCCCCTGGCGTGACACCATTGAGAGACCCTGTGGCCTACATTCGGCGGGGGCATCTGCGCTCGAGTGTGATTGAACGGTGTCGAGTGAGGGTGAGCGTCCCGAGTGAGCGACGCGTCGGTTGAGCTTCAGCGCGAAGTGGACTTTGTCCCGGCCGGCAAACGGCACCGACTGGTTTTTTTTTTTTTCTTTTTTTGGAGGATCGGAAGAGAAGATTATCCGCGACCCACTACGGAGCCGGAGGTTCGGCCCGGGCGCGATTTCCCCGCCATACCATAGCGGGTCCAAGATTATATGGACCAATCGGACTCCATCCTTGGAAACGTCACCAAGCGATCAGAGTGTATTGATTGCACGTTCATTAAACTCCTTTTCGATCACTTTGGACAAGGTTTGAATTGATATGCTATGTACCCAAGTATGTTCTCGTTCCTATGTTATGTAAAATTCATGTGGTATAATTCAATCCGTTGACATGCGCTCACCCAACGCCCGAAACCCCATCCCATCCGAGTCCACCGCCCCGACGTCTCATGAGGTCAACCTTTTCTCAATCTGAGTCACCCCATGTTCCTTGACGGAATTCACAGACGACTCAACGTGCTCATCTCTCAAACTGCTGACCGATGTCTTGCTAAATTTCCTCGCCGACACGCCCCTCTCAAAGAGGACATCGAGGTCGAGGTATGTCCTGTCCTTGGGTTCCGGCAGGCGGAAATATGTCCACACGAAACACAAGAAACAGGTGGCCGCCCAGAAGAACCCGGCCTTGGCACCCCAGTTCCACGCCGACGGGTTCAGCATGTTGGGCGTGAGGATGTTGGTCACGATGCCCGTGATGTTGTACAGGTTTCTCGCGAGCACCACCGTCTTGGTCTTGAGGCGCGTGGAGCTGAGCTCGGAGACGAGAGAGTAGCACACGGGTCCGACGGTGCAGTCGTAGAAGAAGGTGTACACGAGAAGCAAGCTGCCGATCGCCCACTGGGCGCCGACGTTGCTGCGTCCCGCGAGCGAGGTGAAGCCGATGGTGAGCAGGGTCAGGCACATGGTGAGCTGCCCGGTCAGGTAAAGCGTGCGACGGCCGAAGTGCTTCATGAGGACCCATGACAGGACGGTTCCAACGAAGCCGATGGAGTACTGGCCCAAGGACATGTTGAAAGAGTTCTCCACCGCCATACCGGCCTGCTGGAAGAAGTAGGTCGAGAAGCCCATGAAGGTCGAGCCGCAAAGTGTTTGGACGGCCCAGGTACCGCAGACGATTTCGGTTCGGCGGAGATCAGTGCCCTTGAAGCAGTCGGCGTAGGTCGTCCCGGCGTTTATTTCCTTCTCCGTCTCGTTGGTCTTGACCAGCATGGCGATGTACTCGTCGGGGTTGAAGCCTCCACGTTGCATGACGTTGCTCGAGGTCAGACGGAGGACCGCTTCCCTAGCATCTTCGAGACGCTCCTTGCGTACAAGCCACCAGGGGGACTCGGGGGCGAAGAAGATGCCAATGATGAGGGGAACTGGCCACATCCACTGCAGGGCAAACGGAATCCTGTATCCCCATTCGTCTGTGCGATCGACCATGGCGCGGAGAACACCGCTGGCAATCAGTTGGCCAATGACCCAGCAGAGATTGACGTAGGTGGTCTGGTATCGCATCGTGTCAGCTCAGTTCTCGACTTGAGGCAAAAGATAGACTCCAACATACCAGGTAGGCTCGCAGATGGGTAGGGCAAACTTCGGAGGCGTAGGTGACAGTCAAGGTCTGGAAGATGCCCCATGGAACACCAATGAGAATCTCTCCTACCAACAGCACAGGCAGGTTCGGGGCGAAGAACAGGATGAAGACAAAGCATGTTACAGCGATCAGACCACCGATCATGGTCTTGCGGTAACCGAACTTGTCAGCGATAATACCGTTGAGGAAGAGACCACAGATCTCGCCGACCAGAGCGCCGTTGCTGAGGCCGGACTGCCAGGCCGAGGTAAGCTGGTAGGAGCCGTCGGGCTGGAGCTCGCCAAACCTCCTCTGGAAGACCGGGTAGGCGTAGAGGTTGTTCAGAAGAGTCTTGTCAAAGCCTTCCATGATGACAGCGGTACTGAAAAACATGGACCAGAAGATGGCTTGCGGGTACAGCTTGATGGATTGCAACAAACCCATGTTGAGTTCCGCCTCGGTCGCCGCCTCGGCTCCTGAGATGGGGTTGACTCTTTTGGCGTCGGACTCTCGACTGGTGGCCTCGAGGTCGAGGGAGGCAAGCGCCTCGGGCGATGTTGATTTGGAGTCGATCATTGCGGTGGTTTTCCAAAACGTCGTATTTGAAGGATGTAAAGAATGCGAGCTCGACGTGGACGTACAAGCGACTCGAGTAGATGTTTCGGAGTGCTATGACAAGCGTATGATTCAGAAGATTGGTTGTCTTCTGGTTCGAGCGTGTTCAGACTGGTGAAGCTGATGATCCTATGATGCTGTCAAGGTGGGAAAACGAGCGTCTTATAACCTTTTGAAGCCAACCTCCTGTCCTCCGCCAAGATATGATGGTGATGCTCCCTTCAGGAGAGGACCAGGTTGTCGCTCGAGGTGCGAACGCTTCTCACTGGCTCGCTCAAATTCATTCGAAGGTGGCGTGGAGGAGGTGTTGACCTCATGGGCCACTTGTGTGTTATGTTGTTCAATGCAAGAAGAAACCCGATCCGGATCCTGTCGGGCCCTAACCCACGCGCAAAGTTCCCGGGAACTAAGAAAGGACCCAGTGGCTCACGCGGGGTAGTCTGGGGGTATGCCGTCGCAGTTGAATGGGACCGATGATAGAACGACAGAGGCCTTTCCTCCCCTCGAGAATGGAAAAGAGGATGTCGTCCCGCTGCGGAAGTCAGGCCGATCCAGTGAAAAGAAGTGTCAAAACCTTTTCAATGGGGCGATATTGGCTACACTGGGGAAAGGCGAGACATGCAGGCTTGCAACACCGTCTGGACTCGACGACCGTCCGGCCGGCGTCACCGCGGACATCCCTGCACCATGTGGCGTGCGTGATGCCGCTTTGGGTCATGGAGCTTTTCCTCGCTGGGTAAGGCCTCTCGAGCCAGAAGAATTTATCCATGTTCCTCCCAATCACCATCAAGAGAATGCTCGGTAGAACCACTCATCGGCAATTGGCGCGAGGGTTTCTGCGAGATTTAGGGACACGGATTGGCCAATTGGGATTTTTACCTGACGTCGCTGAAACTAGGGGCCCCGGTAGACGACGGGGATCGGATGGGACGATGGTACCGGTGGGTGTTCTGGGGTGCGTGTTGGTTTGCAAGAAATACTATCCCCTCCTTCTTTGTTCCTGGCGACGTTGAGATCTGTGTGACAAGATCGGCGCCGTGTCAGACGACAGGTGCTTTTCTTAGCATGTCTTTCGACGCAAGTTCCTGTCATCACTATCAAACCAAGACAATGAGACTCCGCAAATACATCGATAATATGCGCGTCTCGAAAGATGGAAGCCGTGGTTGGCGCCAGAGTTCCAGCGATTCGTCCGCAGACACTAAACGAACTAACTACCTTCAGAGTTCGTTCGACGCGGTGTGAGGTTGGCGGGAGAACTCCAGACCGTCCCCAACCTCCCCCCAGACTTTTGAAGTTCCAGATCATTGAAAGTTTAAAGAAGCCTCCGGGCCTATTACGGGGGCCATACCAGTCTGTTTGGCCGTTCGACGGCCACATCGTGTGTGATTCCCTCGTCTTGAAGAGACGAGAGGTCTCGGGCCAGGTGCGCTACTCTTTTTCCCCGTGGGGAGGAGCATGTTGGACCTGGTAATAGACTTAAACGTGAGGCGAGGTGAAAGTATCTGCGACTGTCACAACTCCCCTTTCCCAAATCAAGGATAACATGAGATATCGGGTCTGATCCATATTGTCTTGTTGGGCATTTTCCCCGCACTTCCTCGTGCCTCCCGAGACCCGGCCTCTCCCTAGCCCCACGACGGTCGCCAAGTCCGAAACCCGTTGATCCTGTCCTTGCTCCTATTCATTGCTGCTGGCCTTGGTCAGGCTTGCCCTTCAAAACTCATCAAACGCTTGAGATAACCGTCAATGACAGATTCTCAAGTATCATGATCTCGAGATAGAGTAAGTAAGCTACACATGCCGCTTTAAAGTGACAACCACTAGAGGACAATGCATTGAAATCGAAGGTTATAATAAGAAAGGCCAGCGACGATGGAAGTCTGTGTCGCATTTCGCAGAATTTTGGCCGTCACATGTGGGCTCCATGCCTGTACCTCCGGCTTGGAACGGCCCCCAAGTGGATAGCCTCGGGGGCGGCTTTTGACCGGCTGATCGACGAGAATTACGGGACGGCCGGTCAAGTCTGATTCAGACCGAAAGGCTTAGTCATACCAAGCGGTGTATTTCGGTGGGGACAGGCAAGGTGAAGCTATCCGCAGATTCCTAGAGATGCAAAATCCTGAATGTGAGAAGTTATCTTGTCGCACTGATGAGCCCGTCTACCTTTCAACATGTTATGCCGGGATCAACAGATAAAATTCTGCAACAACCTGCATTTGGCCGTGGTGTAGACGTAGTTACGACGAATGAAGAGAGGTTGCATGTAGAAAAGCATCACTATCATCGTACTAGAACTCGTCCAAATGATTCGTATTCTCGAATTTTAGACGGGTTTGACAGGCACAGCGATGGAGTTAATGATGATTTCAACAAGAGTACCACCCGTTTGAGTTCGCACAATTCGAAACCAAATTATGAAAGCAGGATTCTTGTTTAATTCAATCCGTTGTGCATTTCCAGTATGCAAACTTCATAAACGCAATGCTGAGATGTTATGTCAAGCGCATCTGTGGCTGAGCAGAAGTGCGCCTCTGCTCTTTGCTGGTGCTCCAACATCAGCTCTCGTATTCGGGTTGAACCAATCTGTTCCCACTTTACGCCCCCAAAGTTGGATCTGAGATCTGAGCAACCGACCAACACCATACTCAGATAGCGTGCAACAGGAGACGCGCGTTGGTACCACCAACGAATCTGAGAAAGATCGTGGACGAATTTCGCACGTTTGAAGAGATGCGAATTCGTTCATTTCCCGTCTCCACTTCCGATCTGCCTTGAAGCGTAGGACCAATTACGTGAAGCAGCGAGGACCCGCGATGCTGTGCCGTAGTAAGCTGCTTCTACGCATTCGTATTCGGATACAGCTGTGCTCCCTGGCTGACTTATCGTTATCGCGTATTCGTTTCTCTTTACCAAAGGCCCTTGAGACGTAGGATTGAGAGAATATGTGGTTGAAGCACAATGGGTTCTCTGGAAATAGATATAAAAGGGACGAAGTCAGGAAAAGAAGAGAAAGAATGGCATGACAATTATCGAGTACGCTGCTGTAGCCGTCAAGTTTATCAACAATCTCTTCTTCGTCGTCACGGAATAGTTTGAGCCAATCTTTTCGCACACCAGTCTTCTTGCAAAGCCAAAATGGTTGAACATACTGCTGAAGAGGGCCAAGTCCTCTTGGCTCGAGATGCCACCTTCGAGAAAATCCTCCACAAGGGCACTTCGAAAGTCAATGTCGGCATGTCGGCAATGTTGAAGAAGGACTACGAAGCTCAGAAGGCCGCGTCCGAGGATTACTTCAGACACTGGGACAACAAGCTCGACGCTAAGAAGGAGACAAAGGAAGACAGAGAAGTAAGTTTTGGAAAACTTTGATGTTGGCCGTTGACTTGCTAACCGACCCGTTATCTACTTAGGCTCGAGCTGCAGACTACGAATCACTCACAAGACAGTACGTTGACAACACACGTTCGTACTTCGATACCAAAGTCAATCTAACGATGTAGATACTACAACCTGGCCACGGACTTTTACGAATACGGCTTTGGAGAGAGCTTCCACTTCTCCCGCGCAGCAATCGCCGAGAACTTCAAGCAAACCATTGCCAGACATGAACACTACCTCGCACATGTCATCAACATCAAGAAGGGAATGAAGGTGCTGGATGTTGGATGCGGCGTTGGCGGGCCGGCTCGAGAGATTGCCAAGTTCACTGGTGCCTACGTTACCGGAATCAACATCAACGAGTACCAAGTGGAAAGGGCAACTCGGTACGCCAAGAAGCAACAGATGGACAAACAACTGCAATACGTCCAAGCCGACTTCATGGTACATTCATCCCTTTCCCTCGCAATAAATCTCATCTAACACGCAATTATCAGAACATCCCATTCGAAGACAACACCTTCGACGCGGTGTACGCAATCGAAGCCACCGTCCACGCGCCCTCGCTCCAAGCAGTCTACTCCGAAATCCACCGCGTCCTCAAGCCCGGCGGCGTCTTCGGCGTTTACGAATGGGTCATGACAGACAACTACGACAACGACAACCTCCTCCACCGCAAGACGCGCATCGAGATCGAACAAGGCAACGGCATCGCCAACATGGTCAGCACCGCCGAGGCGCTGCGCTCCTTCGAGGCCGCCGGGTTCGAGATGCTCGAGCACGAGGACTTGGCGGAGCGTCCGGACCCGATCCCGTGGTACTGGCCTCTCGACGCCGCCAGCTGGCGACACGCCCAGACTATGGGAGACCTGATGTACACTTTCCGCATGACCGGTCTCGGGAGGACGGCGACGCATTGCTTCCTGAGCGTGATGGAGACGTTGAGACTTGCGCCGCCGGGTATGGCGAAGACATCCCAGAGTCTCTGTGTGGCGGCTGACGCGCTGGTTCTTGGTGGAAAGGAGAAGATCTTCACACCGATGTATCTCATGGTTGGGCGGAAGTCTGGGAAGGCGGAATGATTTATAGAACAGAGAGGTTTGGGAAGCGTAAGGGCAAATAATAGAGAAATAGACCAAGAGATAGAGATATAATACTAGACAAGCAACTCACACAGGTATGTTTTACTTCCTGTTCCTCCTGCAGCCCTAGCAGACCCAACTTGACCTCCTCTCATCACTGGACCTCAAAAATAAGTTCAAAAACGTTATAGACATCGTGAATGGCAAAAGATTGGACGAACAGGGTACGTACCTCACCCCTCTACCTAGAGCAAAAAAGCAAAGAAGATGCTTAGCGAGTATTATACCACTAAACCATCCGCCCAACAAGATGATTTCGCCCGGACTTGAACCGGAGACCTTCAGTGTGTTAGACTGACGTGATAACCAACTACACCACGAAACCATTTGGATTGTTGAAGACCAGACGCGTAGTTTGGGAATATGTTGCGTTGGTGGTGCGGGTGGGAAATTTCGAGTCACGAAGCGAAAGCAAAGCCCTCATGTGGGGCCGAGTCGGGACCCGGTTGGGGCCAGTGGAGCTGCCGGAGACTCGGCCGGTCGTGTATCTCACCGAGTGAGGGATCTAATCTCATAAGCCAAGCATGCAGGATGTCGACGGAGAAGCAAGACCAACCATGATCTTGCTTTTTCTGGATCAAGCCCCATTTCCGAGACAGTTTGGTTCACGGAATAATCAGAGCAGGCCTCCGGTGTGGCGTCGCCGGCTACACGAAAATCAGCTCGGCGAGGGTTCCTGCAAGACCAAATATCCCCAATGCATGGTCGGGTGTTTACTTCATCTAATCCATTGGCTAATGTCCTTCTGTGCCTCACAGTATACGTCAACGACCATGCCGACGGTCCTCCTCATCAAACACAGAACGAGGGGAACGCCGTCCAGTGCCTGAATCAATTACAACGCAATCTATTTCTCTTCCGGAACCATTCCGTCGAAGAGCTGCAACAGCAATGTCGTCAAATTCTCGTCCAAATTGAGGGCGAGGGACTTTATTTGACTTCCGGGAAGACTGGAGTGTCTCCATGAGCTTATTATTTCCGGTCCAACCAACGTCACGCGAGCGCTCACATCAGGCCCCTCTTCTCCAACATGTTCCTCTTCCTCGGCCTGCTTATACCCGCCAAGTTCGCTGATCTTCCCCCGCAACCGACCATTCGTCTAAGCATTCGGATGAAGCCAATTGCTCCTGCTGACCGTCGAAATCACACCTTGCCCCGCCTCCCATATCTGCAGCTCAAGTCACACCAACATCACGAATGCCACGCGGAACTCCCCCCATTTCGCTTGCACATCATGACACTCGCAATTCTTGGCTGCGTTGGATCTTCCACCCCGATTCATTCTGCACGAACTGTAGAAACATTTCGCCCGTCACCCAGCTCGAAACGGATCTCTGAATTTCCACCATTGACAGCAAGTTCCTCAGCATTAGCCGGCTCTTGGCGCAGCCTCTCTACAGCATCGTGGCTGGACCAAGGGTCCCGACCCAACATGCTGGATCGCAATCATTGGCGTTGCTTTATTGGAGACGGACAGGGTTCTCCGCATGGGACCTCCTCGAGGCTCCATGATGCGAAAACCGGAGATGAGTTACCGGGGTTTTTGAAGCTTTGGATCAACACCTTGGGTTGCGCCAGCTCGGCGGATGGGTGCATCATCGCATGGCAGCGTTGCATCATGATCGTGTATAAGTAGCTTCTGAAAGCCTGCTCCCATCCTCCGAGTTCTGTGTGGACCAGCTCTCCCTGCCTTTCTGACGTTATATTCTGTCTTCTCTAGAGGCTCGGTTATCTGCCCTGTCAAGCACAATGAGACTCAACGCCCCAGCTCTTCTATCCCTCTTCGCAAGCTTAGCAACCGCCAACCCTCTGGACTGGCTTGGCATTGCCTCTTGGGATGTCGAGGGTTACGCGAAGGACAACCCGTTGGGCAAGACCACTGGAGGCAAAGGTGGTCCTACCGTGACCGTCTCCAGCGTCCCGGAGCTCCAGACTGCCGTCACTGGCGCCGAACCCAAGACCATCGTCCTCAAGGGCGAGTTCGCTCTACCCGCGCGTCTCAAGGTCGGCTCCAACAAGAGTCTCGTCGGGTACAAGACCTCGGCACACATCACCGGCAAAGGTGTTGACGTGGTGAACTCGACCAATGTCATCTTGCAGAACCTCAAGATCAGCCATATCTTGGACAATGACTGCATAACCATTCGGAACTCAACGAGGGTGTGGGTTGACCACAACGAGTTCACTTCGGATATCTCCAAGGGTCCTGACTTCTATGTATGTCGAATCTCTCTGCCACCTTGGAGAAGAACAGGAACTAACTGCGCGCTTCAGGACGGCCAAGTCGACATCATCCGAGCCTCGGACTGGATCACCGTTTCCTGGAACTACTTCCACGACCACTGGAAGTCCTCTCTCGTAGGAAACGACGCCACATTCCGTGCCCTCGACTTTGGTCACCTTCACGTCAGTTACCACCACAACTACTGGAAGAACGAGGGCACCCGCGGTCCTGCCGGCCGATTCGGTCACCAGCACATCTACAACAACCTCTACGAGGACTTCCTCTACCAGGCAATCCACTCACGATCTGACAACCAAGTTCTCGTCGAGGGCAACGTCTTCCGGGGCAACACACGCGAGGCGCTCAGCACGTACGGTCTCGTGATTCCCGACGACTCGCCTAATACCTGTACTTGCGGCGATTATGAGCTGGATGGGTTTGCCAACCTCGGTGCTCGTGAGTTGTCCAGGACAGTGACCATTGTGTTTCAAAGCTGACATCGCATCTACAGGTAACGATTGGGGAAAGGCTGGCGTGAACATCACCCAGAAAGGCGACTTCTATAAAGCTCCTTACAAGTTCAAGCTGACACCGTTGCCTTTGGTAGCGCCTATCATCAAGCTTGGAGCTGGTATTGGAAGAGTCTGAGTATATTGATTAGTAACATAATGGTAATGAAGGAGTTGGTTTCGGGAACGAGTACTGAGCATGAAGTATTGATGAGATGACGGCTTAAACACAATTATATTCTAAGAAATGTCTATTACGCCTACAAAAGGCAAGGATTATATTTCACTCAGATTCGCTCAAACGTTTCCTGCTTGCTCATCTCCCACCATCCATCGCACACCCTTGCATCATACTCCTGACCACACATCTTCTAACTCATCGAATGGTGCATCTCCCTCTCAGCTTAAGCCAGAGCGTAAGCCATAAGGCGAGGCTCGGCAAGAAGCTTGGGGACGTAAGCCAGCAGACGAATACCGGCAGCAACAATCGTGCCGGCAGTGGCAACACCGTCCTCGAGCGTCAGACCAGGGGCAATGTAGTTCTTGCAGACGTCGTTGAAGTTGATCCTGCTAACCTGGGCGGGTCCCTGGTTCACCAGCGCATCCTTGATCAGGGCCGCCGTGAGGGGGTTGAACAGCATCGTCGCATGGCCGTAGACGCTGCCGGCAGGGCGACCGGCGCAGACTTGCTGGACCTCGATGTTCGTAACTCCGACGCGGCGAGCATCGTTCAGGTAGGCGGAAGCAGCGGTGCCCTGCTGAGGCTCGACAACCTCGTCAAAGAGAGCAGAGTAGAAAGTGGTGGTGGGGACGTAGGCGTCGGCTCCGCCCTTGGCTCTCAGAGTCTTGACGAAGAGGGAGGTGTACTCCTGCTGGATGACGGAAGGGTCGCAGGGGGCGTTGAGGGCACCGGATCCGGGAGACAGGCAGAGCACGTTGGCAAGGACGGTTCCGTGGAAGTCGGGGGAGACGGGGAGGAAGTTGGACACGACGCTGCGGGTGGACGGCCAGAAGGTGAAGGCCCACTGGGTGTCGAGACCACCCTGGGACCAGCTGATGATGCTCGAGTTCTTGCTGGTGATGCCGTTGATGTAGTTAATGGCATAGGCGACGTACTCGGAGTTAACCTGGGCGTCGCCGAGCAGGGCACCGGGGATGTTGAGCCAGACGGGGTCGGCGTAGGGGACGTTGGTGAGGAGCTTGAGAAGGTTGGGGCTAAAGGCCTCGCCTCCGTAGACGCCCGTACCCGGGACGAAGATGACGGGCGGCTTTTGGCCGTAGGTGAATGTCTTGGGAATGTAGATTGCCTGGCGGAGCTGTTGCTCGGAAAGGGTGTAAGGCGCGTCGGCCGCATCCTTCTTCGGGTAGATGGGCTTGGCGGGGTTGAGAGGGTTGTTGTTGTTGGTCGAGTCGATGGGGTTGATGGGAGCAATGAGCTTGCCAGCGACGTTGGCCAAGTCTACGCTGCCGAGGCCGAGGAGGCCGCCTCCACCGAGGAGACCCTGAAAGCCAGAGAGGAGACCAGAGGGGACGATTCCCTGGCCGATTTGCTTCTGGACGTTGCCGTAAAAGTCGCTGTTGGATCCTGCCTGCTTCGAGTTCCAAATAGATCCAAGCTTCGTTTGGAGGTCGTTGGCATTGAGAACGCCAGCGCCGTTTGCGGTTGTAGCTCCCAGGACGCCGGTAAGAGATTGAACATAGTTGGCCGGAAGAAGAAGGTTAGTGACACCGCCGAGGGCATCGAGAAGACCGGCCGGGGCGGCGTCGGCCGACTGAAGGAGGAGCGCGGCGAGCGCGGCTTGCTGGATGGTAGAACGCATGTTTATGTGAGTAATGAAAGTAGCTCTTGATATGAGATGACTGAGTAGTTAGAAAAGAACGAAAGTTGTGGCTTTGGAAAGAGAGTGAGTCTTGTGATGAAGCTTGTGAGGTGGATGAAGGATTTCTCTCATGAAGATGGAGCACTGCTAAGCTTATATCCTTTCAAATTGAAGGCAAAACGAAGGATTTGATGTTTAGGTGGGAAAGAAAACCGTTGCCGTGCGCCATGAACGTGTCCGGGACATCGGCATTCGAAGCCATCCCGCGGTCCTCCGCAGCCTAGCAAGCTCTCACGGAAATAGGTTAGGGCGTTGTGGACAAGCTTCCCACGGTAGACTTGAAGATCTATGAGCTAAAAGCTCCAAGGACCGGGCTTCTCGGGCGGGCGACTGGGTGAGTGTGTGATATTTTCGGTGTTATTGCATGTCGTGTTGGTCATAGAGTTCGGTAGTGGTTGTTGGTGTTACTGTAAGAGGAAACGTTGGAAGCCTAGCGCGTGGCCGATAAGATTCCCGTCCAGGCCCCGTCCAGGGTGCCGCTCTCGGATGGTTCTCCGTTTAGAAAGCCTCATCGTCGGTCTGACGTTGAATATCAGAGACTGACTGTCTTTGTTCTGTTCGAGTGCTCTGCTATAGCAGTTCTTTGATGAAATTTAAGCTTGACCCGTGGCGCCACAACCGGCCGCCAGCCGCAACTTTCATTAACAGCCCAAATTTGTGGTTCGACATTCGAGAAACAGAATCTGCGTCATGGAAGTATGTCGGCATAACCATTACCACTTTCTTGTCCGAAAGTCTCGGAAATCTTCTTATAGAGGACCATTCACACATTGTTTACACGATGTTCTTCATGGACAACCCTTGTTTCATTGTATTCCTTAAATTCCATCATCCGAATCTGTCCCAGCAACCTACGGTCCAAGCTTCCATGATAAGCTCACGGATGCAGGTAAACACGCGCCACACAGGCCTTTTGGCGTCTGGCTCGGACGAAGAGCGGGATACCCCGTGGAGCTCTGGAGCGTTCTGCCCAGGGCCAAGTTTTGTCTTCAACAAATGACGGCTCCGCCGCTCCGGCTTTGCAGACTGCCGTATCAGATCTTTTATTCTCCGTAGCCTTCTTCATCGGCGGTTCTCACACTTCGCAGTCTATGCTTCGGACCGATATCAGGTGGACGCATCTTCCGCTTGACTGCGGTGACCTGGCAACTGTGAGATTCTTTCACGATCTGCCTTTTGTTGTGCAACGGGAGAGACATCGTTCGACGAATTGGCTGGCTACGAAATGACGAGACGATTTTGAGATTCCCCGACTCACCTGAGAGGTCCCCGGCCTTCGACCGCTGATCTGGGTTCCTCGTGCAAGCCGGACCGATTTGAGCATCAGACTCCTAGCTCTCGTGAAGGTCTTGGCAGTAGGCTTGAACAAGGCCATGTGATAGAAGCGCTCTTGTATGTTCACCATGATCGTCCGATGAGTGATCCAGCAGAAAAGCTGTGTTTTTTCCTGAAGATGAGACCAAGCTAGCAATACAAGTACGGGAAGTTCGGTCACGAGTATGAGTGTGGCCTTGAAAAGATAGCATCGATGCAATTTAGCTGAAGACACGGATCTCAGCAGAATTATATGACCTGCATACCACATTCCATTTCGGTTGATGGGCATCATCACCGTCGTCCAGATACACAACTCGTACATCGTCTTAGCTATATATTTGGCGTTCAAAGCCTCAACTAAACATCGAAATGAACTCCGCTGTTGGACTGTGCGACATAGAAGCCACTTGCTGCGCAATCTTCTCTTATGGACACGCCAACAGTGCCAGACTGAAAGATAGCCATTTCGACTGATGTCAGACTAAAGAAATAGACAAATGAAGACCCGTTTCTGGCTTGGAGTATTGCGCTTCGAATACACACTAGAAGAAACCGAGGGACAACCTCTCTTAGAAGCTATGTGTTCTGCGTCAATAAATTCTGTTCAAACGAACCCTCGCTAGCTCGATTCAACTCCGCAAGAACTTGTGTCCAGTTTCGGTGAAGCCGAGTACCTCGCTAACCACCTGGTCTTGGTAGGAATTACTGTTAGTAGCTTCAAAGAGCCATTAACTATCTTTTCGAGATGACCTACGTCCTTAAATTCGAGAGATGTGTTACCGGCTGCGTATCAGATCCAGTTGTATTGTAACATGCAATGCCTACCTACATGTAAGAGCTATTGCCATCTACTGACATTCGAGAAGCTCTCAAAGTGTACGTGTTCCCAGAATTTGACAATGACAGCGTCATCTTGGACGCAACTAACCGACCGCTCGAAACCATCAACTGACGTATTCAAGCGATAGACCGAGCCATTCGAGTATAAGAAAAGGCACCCCAGCACAGTTTGGATCGTCACGAAACAAACGATTCTTCGTGTCTTTAGTGTTCCAGGGGCAAAAGGGGTTGTCACAAATAATCGGTCTCGGTGTCAAGATCTCGCAATGTAACGGCGAAACTACCATACTGCCACGGTGCTTCCACTTCCTATCTTCCTCAAAACCCCCACAATCCCATCACTTGCCCCCAGCATCCTTGATATCCTTAGTATATCAGAAAGCAATACCCCACAAGCGTATGAACGACGAAGACCAAACATGATGACGGCGTTGATATACCTGGGTTGTCAGGTAACAGGGAAACCATCACAACAAAGCCGGCACGGAATAGCAGCGCCTGAAATCCTTGCAGAAGTACAAGCTTCACTTTGGGCTGGGCCATATGAATCGTCGAAGCCGGCTCGTCTCTTAAATACAATCCGGATACATCATACTCATGAATGACACGAGAAGTTCCGTCCTCTTCAACCTTCCGACATACTGAGCTAGCATTGCGTTCCAACTGAAAAGCTAGCTTCGTGTTGAAACGGTATATCCACATGATCGTAGGGAGTCGACCATTCGAGTATAAAAAGACGTCCCCCGCCATCGCCACATAGGAAACCCCAAGTTTAGCCGTAGCGACAATCGTCTATGAATGTGAAGTATCCGCCTCCAGGCGAGACACTCAAGAATTTGCATACATGTTCCTGCCAACCACTTACCTAAACATTAACACAATCGTGATCCAGCTGCCCCCTCCCGACATCGTTTCTATCCTTCGTCTATCCCGCAGCAATACTCCAGGACTTGACGACTCACGAGACATAAGACACAACTTGAAAAGCAACGCCTTCGTACGGTCCCTACAGAAGCAAGTCCATGAGAGTTGAGAGAACCCAATGACAAATTACCGGCAACGACACTGTTGCTGTTGGACTTGAAACCGCCGACAGAATCATGCGTATACAGATACGTCCTCGTGACGTTGCTCCCCGGACTGGGCGGGAAGAGGTGGTTTCCAAGACTCCCGAGTCGGCGCTTCGAACTACGTCCAACATCGGAAGCCATCGACGAAGTCTTAACTCTCATCTCCTCGTACATCCAGCATACCCCACACATCGACGGCCAAGCCGCAAAACCAGCCTGATTCTCCCCACAACCCACCGCTACACATCACCTTTGAACCATTATCAGTTCCATCAAGCAACCCAGAACATCATCATCACGGGATCAGTCACGAGCAAACACTCAACAACCAACAACCTTACGGTCCTCATCCCCAGTGACGTAGCCAACCCTTCCACGACTCAAACAACCTTCCTTCACTCCCACCCTCGCAAACCACCAAAACCCAGGTCTTCCTTCCACCCTCACAAGAAAAGACCCCGACGTCTCCCCGACGAAGGCAGACCAACTTCAGCACACCCTCTTCAGACGAAACAAACCAACCAACCCACCCGCTTCCCCTCGAACCTTCGACTGCAAACACACATGAGACGGAAAGAGAGAGAAAAAAAGGGCCCAACATCCGTTCGTCCAGCTTCTAACTACCCAGCCCGGCGTCTAACAACACACTTTCCTCCCTAGTCAGGTCTCTCTCCCAACCACCAATGGGTTAACGTTCAAGTCGCTCCGTGGTTTTCTATCCAAACTCCCGGGCCAGTCCAATCTTTTTGTTGTTGACTATCCACTCACACACACCATCAAAATCCTCCAACTTCGCCCCAAACGAGGCAACGGAATCGTGCCAAATTCACCACAGCACCAGCTGAAAGAGTCGAGCAATGTGCCGTCCAGCTCGCTCGTCGGACCGTCTTCGCGACGAACTATATCAAACTCGCATATCGTCACCCCGAAACCCCACCAGGAATGGAACGTCAAACCTGGCCAACGTGTCGATTGACTTTGACGCGGCATATAAAAAAGGACATTTCAGGCCTCCCTCGGAGATTGATATCACATGCATAGCACGCGTGCGCCTCGACAACACAGTTGTATCCGGAAGACATACTCAACCTCGTTGATGCTGAGGCTCCGTCAGAAGAGGAAAGTCGCAGCGTCGGCTGTGGTTCGCGTTGAATAGCCGGAGACCAATATCCGTAAGCGCGGCGACGCTATTGCCTCTCGGAGGCGTTCGCGGAGGATGCAACCTCACCGCTCACTAAGACCATCCGACGTCGGCCGAAATTCGTCGACTCGCGCGACTGCGGCGCCGCAGCGATGACCCTTCCAGTACGTGTGAGTGCGGTCAACTCGAAGGAGTTGACAGAAGTCAAGCTTGCGGTTGATCTCACCACGACCCCTCGCCTCTACTCAGCTTCACATGACAATCCGATCATGTACACAAGAACTTCAACCTGCGCGCCAACACTACAGGTGGCGGTTGGCTAAAACTCTTAATTAAGGTTCAGCTACCCGACTCACCATCATCCAAAACGGAACACTTTCTAACCGCCTTGGAAGACTTGCCGTAGAGGCCAGACGCCAACAAGCTTCCCCGGGTGGACGGCTGACGTTCGGGCCTCCTTGTCGTTGCCGGGGATAGCGGAAGAACATGGATGGTGGTCCACGTCCAACCAGAGCTTCGGATTGGTCATCGACAAGACTTGGTTGGAGACAAGCTCATGTTGGAGACCGGAT